TTATAATATTATAATTTTGCTGCAAAATTATAATTTTAAAAAATATGTATATATGTATAAATATTCTTAGAAAGAAAATATTTTTTAAAAAATAACTTACAAAGTTACTATCCATTTCTTTTTCACATTGAATAATGATTTTTTTTATTCTTTTTCTCTCAACATAATATGCACATATATTTATTTAATTTTAAATATTGGAAATATAAAAAATACAGCTAGATAGTATAAAAATAAATTTTAAGACTCACTATATGAATGTGCTACTGCCATCTGTCGCAGATACAGGAGAAAAGTTGAGTAGAAGAAGTTGCTCGTTGCTGCACCATTCCATGCCATCTGTAACAGTAACTGAGATTTAATTTATAATAAAAAATAATTATCAACGATCGTAAATGTAGAGAATTTTTTTCTAATCTTTTTTTCTTTATTCATAATTTAATTTTAAAATAATTTTATTTATTGATAATAAAATTATGAAAAATTTATACTATCAGGCACTCTTAATCTGGAAAATTAAATATTACAGAATATAATATTTATTTATCATTGTATTTATTTATTATATTGTTTTATCAAGAGTAGCCATATTTTCTTTTTCAAATAGCAATGTTTAATAAATATTTGTTTATTGTATAAAATTAGAAACATCTCATTTAATAAAAGATAATTTTAATATTTAATTCTTCTCAAAAAACTTTATATAACTTATTATAAATTATAAACATAATATTTTAAATAATGTTTAAGAAGATAGCTAAACTCAAGTTTACGTTCGATATCTAAATATAAAAAATTAAAAAAAAAAAGCTTTGAAATGCTGTCTTTTGTTATGTAGATTTTGAATATTAAATAATTGTAATGGTAAAACTTTACTAGAGCTCGAATACTTATCATTTTGCTTGATATAACAGAGACCGCGTCATTGCTAAATAATCTGATATTGCGAGTGTTGTAACGCAAATAAAAATCCAGCACGAAGAAGCTTAAACAGGACATGAACCACCAATGATGTAACATGTGGGTCGTATATTTTAGCAGCAATTATCGTATCCAGTAATAATCTTACGCTGTGTGAGTCTTTTAAATGGTCATTAATATCGTTAAATGAAACATTTTAAGCATCGAGTAATAATGAGTCCGTCGTGATTAGCGACAATTATTTAATCGTTTTTCAATCAAGCTAATCGGTAAATTAGAAACAAGATGCATGCTTTAACTAGACGTTAGAAAATAAATCAAACAATGAATAAAAAAAGATGAAATTTGGAATGCTGACTTTCTTGTTTCTCTGATTTTAATATCGCGATTTTTTTCAAAGCTTTATATATTCTTAAATTATTTATAAAATATTTTAAACTACATATATAATAATTTACAAAATTCTTGTTCAAGATTTTTTTGCATGTTCCAAGATGCAATCAAGAAATCAAGAACAATATTCCGATCGCTTTCATGAAAACATTCAAAGTCGAGAAAGATCTACATTATCAGATATACGAGGAAAATTTCGTTGTACAACGTTATATTCCTAAAATAAGTAAACAGACCTTGAGACAGCTATTTGATAGAATCAATTTGAGCAAGATCAGGGTCGCGCTCTTTCGTTAAACATTAGCATGCAAGGTTCTATTGCTTGTTAGCTCTTTTTGTTCCTACTTACGGCCCACTTAGATCCGACTCGCGCATTAATAGACACAGAAGATTTGTATATCAAGCGCAAGTGGTTACATGTACGTTTTGCGCGCGCTTTTATAACGATATAACGAGTAGAACACTTAAAGATTGTCTAGATAAATAAAGATGAAAAAAGCAATTCGAATATTCTTATTTCTTTTCCAAACATATCGAGATATGTAATAGAGTAAAAATAGAGTAAAAATGCTTAAAAAATTTATAAAATATTGTTTGAATTAAATATATACGTATAAAATATAATTAAATATATATGTTTTTAAAAAAAAAGTTTCCTATTCTTATTTTTTCTACTTATAATACATTTTTTTTTACATTTTTATTTGTTAGTCAGTAATGTGAGATATGAGATCCATTGAACGTTAGTATATTCAATTATTAGATAGTTGAATTGTGTACAAACACCTGAGCAACGATAAATTACAAACAAATAACATGTCTAAAAACTCAACCTCTCGATGTGATTTCTCATAATTCAAAAATTTTTCTCTAATCAAATTAATTTCACTTGTACTGGAAATAACTGGTTGTAGTTATCGTATAAGATTATGACCTTGTTTTTTCACACATGAATAACAGAATATAATTTCTTTATTTTCTTTGCATCTCTTAAATATGCATAATAAAACAAGAGACATAGAGCAATATTTTTTCTTCCAGTACAAGTTTAATTTTTAGTAAAAAAAAAGTTTAAAAAATTTACATATTTTAAAAATATTTATCTAAAAGTTTACATATAATATTTATGAAGATTTTGAAACTTCTCTTAGATGTGTTTATTCACTTGTGATTATTTATTAATTATAACTATCTAATCATAGCTACATTATTTATTCTAACAATAAAATTAAAATTATTATATTATTATTAAATACATCGATAGAATGTAATGAAAATAAATGTTACTCGTTCATAAATTGCAACTATGTGCATGCATGGCAAAACACGTGCATGAATAACAAACCTGAAGAGAGCAAATAGAGTAAGTAGTATGGCTGGTTGCGTATAGATATACACGAAGAGTTCGTATATGCGTGCACGATAATATGCCTTGACCTTCTGAATATCAGATCTTACCAGGTTATTTTCATATCAAAATATCATTTATATATATCAATTTAAAAATGTATATATCCATGATATTTTACTTTACGTGAGGATAAGATAATTTAGTGAATAAAACGATCAATTTACATCTACATATGTACGCATGCACATACACATACACACACACACACACACACACATCTTATCATGTGTCAAATGTACATAATCACACATTGACGAATATAAATGCCAAAAAATGTTTGTAGATTACTTTGTACGTCATTGATTTGAAAATATGTTTTGCAAAAAAAAGTGCATGAATGTTATGCATTTAATCACAAATATTTTACATTTAATTATTAGCTTCAAGGAATTCGGTATATATAGTGCGTATGAATTAGTTGCTATTCCGAGAAGGAATCGCTCTTGGACACGATAGCGATTAATATATTAGTTACGTAGAAATAATTGTAAGCAATTCTATTATTGTAAGAAATGTAAGTCAAGATTGTATTTATTGCATGTCAAAGTTTCCGCGTTTATGTTGTTTTAAATTATATAAACATTAAATAAAAAATTTAATTTTAAAGAAAAAACTCTGAAATGTTATAAATTTGTAAATAAAAAATATAAATACTTTTACTTCAGGATTTCTTATTTTATTCTCTTCTTAAATATTAAGATGTTCTATTGAGCTAAAAACAAAATTAAGCTATGTTATGTAACTATTTTAATAATTCTATCTAAAACGATCTCATTGATCATAGGAACTTGTTATTTTTACATTGTGTGTGTACGTGTGCAAATTTTTTAATTGAGAGCATATATAGGTTACATACAATTTAGATATAAATAGATTAATAAAAAATATAAAAACATATGTCATAATATCTTTTTATAATTTGTATAATAAATAGATTTTGTCTTGTCTCGAATGAATGCGAAGAGATTTCACGAGAAAAATAAAATATGACGACGGATGACGGTTGATTTGCGGATAAAAGACATTTATCCGGTTTAGAAGTAATTGCATATCTCAAATCTCTCGGTCGTCCTAGCGTGGAAGACTATTGTTGAATTGCGCTTGGAAATGATTGCAACGTTGAGCTACGACGAATACGTCAGGTCGACAACCCTCATATTTATTTTCATTATCAGGATATATTCAGGGACATGCCGAACAATGAGACAGTTCTCAATATCAATAATTAGGTGTAATTCTTTTAGCTAATTTTTTATAATGAAATACAATTTTTTAACGTGCATTTATACAAGAGATCTGAAACGCCTTTGTTTTCTTCTGGAACGAAACGATGGAAAGTACGGTCACCTCCCTCCACGACAACGAAACCGACCTTCTGATACTCCGCTAACGAGTCGGATGTGTTTAGGGCCAATTTGTCTATTATCTCGTCAGTTTTATTTATTACACTTCTAACGTCTCTCACGACGTGGTACATATACGTGCGACTCTTCCATCAGGCTGAGATTCCTCGATGCAAGTTAATCAACTCTGATTTCTCTTGACTGTGCTGGTTTTAGAGTCATCGAGATCACTCACGCACATGCGTGACCAACTCTCAGAGATCGACGTACTCTTTCTTGTAGCGATTTGTTTGCACAACAAAAAGCTTGCAATTAAATTGCATTAATTCTAAACTGAGCTAATCCGTTTAATTACTTGTTATTTTCTATATTTTGGCCTTTGGATATCATTCTTAATGTAATGTTAATATTTTAAATCTAGAATCACTTTTTACATATATCAGAATTTTCAAATGTATGTGCAAAATAATTTATATTTTAATTAATATTTTAATTTATTAAATCTTAATTATATAACACATCATCAGTATATACTCTTATATTTTTTTATCTCCAGATTACATTTATATTATTTTTTTCTATTATTTTTCTTATTATGAATAAATTCTTAAAATTACGTTTCATAATTATTATGAATAAACTAACATTACAATTAAAATATATTCTCACATAACTTTATTATACCAGGATTATTTTTAAACAATTTTTTTTAATGAATCCTTGAACCCATTATGTGAGAATATATTTTAGTAGAATTTTAGAAATTTTTTAGAAATTTTTTAAATCCCCACGCCAAAATTTTCCTATAAAAATTATACATTCGATCTTAATGAACGAGCTTCTATTATCGCGGCACACCGATTGATACGCACCTGAATGTGTGGGTGGAGGAAAAGTCTAGTATGATCAGCGTATGGGGAGAATGAAGTTGATGTGCCAGTCGTGAGCGCGATTCCGTCGCGCCGCGTACTTAAGGAGCCGCGTGCGGCGAAGAAGCGGCGGAACGGAGGGTGGAAAAGAGTGAGGGAGCAAGGGGAGGGAGCCCCCGAAAAAGAAGAAAGGATTCTCTCCCGTCGAGGGGATTGTCGCGTCGGGACTCAACGCTCAGTCCGTCCACGTCCGCTGTCGAAGAGACGACCGGAAGACCGGTCTTCCCGCGCGATTGCCTCTTCCTGCCTCCGAGGAGAACGACTAGAATCGAAACGGAACTTCTTCCTCTTCGTCGAGCTAAGAAACGCGTCTTCCGCGTGTGCGGAATCCTCGAAGATCTCAATCATCTCGCGAGTCTAGATTGATTGCAAACGTTGAATGAATCTGTGCATAGTTTTTGACTCGATTATTTTCAAGGAGATCAAATTGTCGGTAAGAATAAACGATGTAATTAATTAATGATTTAAGCACGAGGTCGTATCATTCTGTTCTAGTTTCCTTAACGTGTAAGTTTAGAATGCAGGAAGCTCATCCTCGTTTACGAAACTGCATGACTTCTCACGTGCTTCCTGTTCGTAACAAGGAAGTATATGTATATATCATTCGTCGCAACTTTGTAAAGAGGAGAAATATTAGTGGCATACAGATTAATCTCGTAGCTTTAAAAAAAGATGACCTTAATTACTACTTAATTGCGATAAAGTATCAAATCGTGATAAATAACGCTTCGTAAGTCGCTTCCACAAATTTTAGAATTTAATGTTATAATTCTCTTCTTTGGTAAAATATAAAAAAAAATATCTTAAAGACAATATATTTTCACATATACATTTTTTTTATCGAGACATCAGAAAATAATAGAAAACGATTCAATTAATTTAATGTTTTCGCATGAAAAATCAGAACGTACAACTAATGAAAGAGGATTTGCCAAGAGAGGCGCAGGAATTTTGCAGTTCGTTAAGCAATTATTATTTCACGTGACACTATTATGACACTCGTGACAATCATGCCGAGAGTCTTGCACTTTTCTTGTAATGCTAATTGTACACTTTGTATTATCACCGATCTGGTTTCAACCGGCTACCTTTATTTATCTAGCAAAAAAAATTTCAAGTGCTCATGTCGATTGCAAGACGTAGGTGACATTTTCTTGATAACGACGTGCTTTACTAATGACTGCAAGAGCAGCTGTAAATATCTAATTTGTTTCTTTGTAGCAATGTGCGCAAAAAATTGTGTAAAATTTAGTTAGAAATGATTAGTAATTTATATAAATTATATTTAAAAATTTTAATTGTTATTGTACTTTTTAAAATTTCATGTGTATGTTCAAAGCTTCAATAATTATTTAAAAAATATTTTTGACAAAAAATACATAATATTTGGAATATTACTTTAAGGGAAATATCAAAAAATAAAACGAGTTTTTTATTAGTCTTCTGATATCAAGGCAAACACTGACAAATTTAAAGTATTTTAAGAAAATTAAAATTAAAATTAACTTAAGATTAATAATATCAATAATTTTCTACATTCCTTTATTATCTTTATTAAAATAGATTTCGACTTAATCATTAATGCGTTATGTATTGGAAGACTAGTCAGATAATTTTGTGAAAAATAAAAGCACAAAGAGAGAGTTTCAGCAACAAGTCACGTGTCTGAATCATCAATTTTATCATCATCCATTAATCGATTCCTTCCACGATTTTCATGTAGCCTATTCCGTAGTTACACGATCGACTTCCTGCGTACAAATCGTCATTTTTATCCAAACAATGACGTCGTGCATCACAAAATGACAATGATAACGTCTTTCCCAGACTGTATAAAAGCCCGCGATTTACGAGAGCTCGACACGTGGTATGAGTCATTTACTGTACTACATGCGTCACTAACACGAGAAATATTCTTTTCAACGAAGGAACTTATAGATCAACGCTGTCTATCTCTGTGGAACTAACTATAATGTCCGTCCATGTATTATCTAACAGTTGTATTATCTAACAACGATTGTCGTCGCGATCCATTTTTAATTCGTTTTACGTACCTCGACGCAGCATTCTAGATAGATTCCGTTAATTATTTATCGTGAACAAATAAGAACTGGAGTGTAATTTCCGGCGCGTTCAAAGCAGCGTCTTTATACTTTTCGCGAGACATTATTTCGAACGAAAAGTGTGGACACTATGATGACCCAGTCGTCGGTTTTGTTCGATATATCGATTTTCTGACGACCAAAGAAAGAAAGAGAACGACTCCGGTAAACAGGCTACGCCGCGAATATCAGGAGTCGCAAAAGTTGCGAAATCGTCGACACGAATAGGATCCTTTATCAATCTATAAACGAATGTATTTAATATATATTTTTGTGAGGCATACTCGTGGAATGGAGCAGAATCAAAGAGTTGGTCCAAAAAGTTTCAAACTCAGTTTCAGAAACCGTGTCTACGCAAAAAAATAGAGTACGAAATACAACGAAATACCTCAATAATAATTCGCCGCCTGCCAAGTACATATCTCGTCATGCATCGTTCATAAATGCACACCCATGTTCTATTATTTGCTACAATACCCACCCTATCGATTTGACTCAACGACCCCTTTCTCACGTCGGAAAGCACGCGTTACCTCGAAACCACCCTGTGAATATTAAGCGCCGGAAAAGAGAGGTTCACGTAAGAATTTTATTATTAAAAAATTTTGTTTGTTTCTATCAAAAAAATCACTCTGTGAAAGAGAGAAAAAGAGAAAGAGCTTCCGCGATTCTGGTAGCCGTGTAAAGATTCGTACAAAGCTCTATAACATTTCTATTTACTATTATCAAAGAAATAAAAAGAAAGAAATAAATAAATACTCTCATGCATTTCACTATATAAAATTCAGTACTCGTGTTCAAGCATAACATAAACGTATGTGTAAATCAAATAATATATACATCAATTATAAAATATCGATATATTCGCTAAAATACATACAATATAAATTCGCTAATTTCTTTTATCAATAATACAAGTTATACACATATATTATATATTTGCATAACAATTATTATAAATTATCGAAGAACTATTTCCAATACATATTTTGTCGTTATTTTTATAAAATCTTCTACCCAAGGTTTGTCTTTTGCCTCCGCTGAGAAATCAAATTAATTCTTACTCCATTTCGCTAATGTAATATCGATTTATTTCATAGGATGACGGGTAATCATTCAAAAAAAACCACATTTTTTTTCGATAGAAGAGAAACATCCCCCTTGGGAGAATTCGAGGAATGTGTAAAAAAAATAACGTTTCGTGGAGAGGACAATCGATATCGATTGACGGATAATCGACGGCCGTTCGCATGCTCCTGGCATTCGCGAGTACGGAAAAAGAAGAGGAAACAAGTGGTTGCGGTTTAAAAGGGCCTTTTATCTCGGAGAAGCGCCGATCTCACACGTACGTTACGCTCACATCCTCGTTATCCCCTCTACGAGGTGTTGCATGTTGCTTGCGGCGGAGATCTGGCAGCTTTGTAAAAGGCTTATCATATGGGGAGGAAAAGAGCGAAGAAACATTAGAGCGTGGCGCGCGAGACGAGATCGCAATGAAAGTCAATAAACCGTGATGAGTAACGGAGAGTATAGTGGTCGGAGTGGCATTAATAAATTAGTGTCTACTTGCTGCTACAAGCAACAGCAGCGGCAGCAGTAGCAGGAGTCGGAGGAGGAAGAGGACGCGAAGAGGAAGAGGAGGAGGAGGAGGTGGAGGAGGAGGCGGTGGAGGAGGCGCGGACCTCGAGTGCGTGCGTTGTGCGTGCGGTGTGTGTACGCGGGTGTGCGCGTGCGAATACGTGTGACCGGCAGCCGTGTCGATGCGGGGATTTGGCCAGTGTGTCAGTGTGAAAGAAGACAATTGACTCGCCGTCCGTCGGACGGTACTCGGCTCGGCAGGGGGGCCTTCTGACGTCACATCCGGGCTGTACAAGCCGCGATCTCATCTGGACCACGGGCGCACGAAGGTACGCAGATTCGTGCACTCGTAAGCACAGCACAAAGCCCGGATAATACTCGGAGATACCTCCTTTCCCTTCCATCCTTCCTCGTCACTCGATGTGTTTGCATCATCCCGACGAGACGATAATGTCCCAGGGTCGATGAAAAATCACGGTCTAGGACTATAATCGTATCGATAATCTGAGTATTTAATTAACGATGCATTCTCTTTTCTTGAGGCTATATGCGATCTCTGAATAATTTGAAATTTTAGAATCATATCGTTTAACAACAATAGGAATTAATATTAATCTTGATTAATCTTTAATGTTTTTCGTGACGTACACATCCCCTAAATCTTTCGAGACTTCTATCTTTATAATCATTGTTCCAAACGCAAGTTTTGATGCTAACTTAATTAAATTCTTTCTTTTGGATTATAATTTGACATAAACTGGAAAAATAAATTTAGTGAATCAGAGAATTCCTAGTTTAGACTAATTCGGCGCAACCTACAAATCTTGAAATATTTAGATGATTGTAGTCTATATCTGTAGTCTATAGTCTAGACTACAATAAAATAAGGCAACATTATTATTAAATTTAAAAAAAATTGATTCACACACGCGATAGCAGCCAAATTTATGATTATTGCATGATACATTCAAAACAAATATTACTATACAAATATAATTATATTATGTAAACTCATAATAAAACGGTTGATTAAACACTATAATGAGCTAACGATGAAACATAGATTATTGAACATACGTAGATTTACATACGATGTGTACAATGTACATATCAAATTTGTGTCAATATGCGTATCAATATGGTGCTAGCAGTATTAGTGAACAAGATCACTTATATACAAGATTTATTATTATTACAAGATCACTAATAATATTGATTCAATAATATACTTTTTTGAGATACTTTTATTAATCCATTATATTGACACATTAATATGAACGTTTCTCATGAAAAAGAAAAAGAAAATTACGCAAATTGAAATGAAATCGAATTTTTTAAAATCTTTATATCAAATTGCTTATCATTTTTTGTTTTTTCGATACAGATTTAAAAATGCAAATATTTAATATGAAGAACGAATATTAATATGAGTTATCAGTTATTCAATATATATAATTTCTTTAATATAAAATTGTCATATTTGTTTAATTATAAGTAAAAAGATAAATTAATTTTTATTCTCTAGATTATAATATAGATTATAATCAAAAAAGATAATTATAAAAATTAATTCTAATGTTATCATTGATAATATCAAAAGTATTTATAATTATATGCAACAAATGCAAGCATTACAATCATTTGGATATATACATTTTTATGCATTTTTAAAGAAATATAATATATAGCAAATATAATATATAGCAATCAATTATAATATTTTACATTAATATTGATACTTTCGAGCATTTTTTTATTGTACAGAAAAAATTGTGAGAATTACGCGCAGTCAAATATTTCGAACCGGTAACATCTTCATAATTACGAGTGTGAGATTCTTCGCCATGGCATGAAATTTCAGATGACTTATGATAGACACATCTTCTAATTAACTGGGGCGTTGCACGAAACGAACATTGCACCGTGAGAAAGAGAAAGAGAGAGAGAAAAATAGAATTGGTCATCGCGATATTACGCTCAAAATATGCAAATAAAGAGAACAATCATTTTTCCGGATTCTTGGTATCGTTGTATGCAATGTAATCAAGGCTAAATTCCTCGTTATTTTTCAAGGTTATCGTATGTGTCTCGCTTCGATGCGCATCAAAATTTGAGATGCACTATTTGCTTCATAAATTACGATAACGAGAAAAAATGTGCGATGGTTCACGAAGGTAGTTCACGTTCGTGAAACACAGAGTTCCCGAAGAATCTTCATTAAGAACAAACAAATTAAAAGGAAACACCGACTAGGGATTCATCATCGGATGACGCGAGTCATCTTTCTGTCTTATTGTTAAATCAAATTCAATTGACCCCGTAAAAAGATAATTGTAAGAGCTTACGCTCCTCTCGCGAGGGTGTTCGAGGAAATGGTCGATGTCTGCGATTAGATTATTCATCGTGTAATGTAGTACACGGCATCGTTAGTCGATGCTTTATTTCGTCTCGCGGCGCTTATATTATGCCTTATTATCAGAGGAAGACGGTTTGATATATCGCATTACAATTAAATAGAAAGGATTCCATTCGAAGTATATATATTTGACTTCCGAATACTTAAATGTAAATGAACGATACCTCTTCCAAGAGATGAAAAATGAAAGATCGTATCGAAATGATAGCTTAAGAGCCGGTCGCATGGAATGCACTACTCGTTGCATCATTCATACGAGTTTTCCGATTCGATATCAGTGTCGCGACGCGAGGGGAAGTCATAAATCTAGCAGCTGCAATCGCAAAAATGCATCTATGGGCTCGTGTTAAGGTAGGCTTAACCAAGAACACACCGGAAGGACGAGCAGTTTTAAGCTTATGAAAGAGAGAGCGTGGGTGTCCACGTGGCCTGAATCATAAAAGCGTTCTTTTAAAGCGCACGAGACGAGCGAGAGGCTTTCGAGCATGAAAACGCGTCAGACTTGATCCTAATCGGCCCGTGCCGCTCCCGATTTAATCGATCGCATCGTGCTTAAAGCGAAGAGAAAACGTCACACGAGCAAAGCAACATGTTTTACATATTACATTTTGATTTTATATATAAAAAAAAAAGAAATTCCCTGAAGAATGATTTGATAAAAACTCGTGTAATTCGAAGAAAAGTGAATTAGCTTCATTCTTGAATTTTATAGTATTTCGAATTTTGCACATAAAGTGAAATGCTGTTGATTATGTTGTTTATTTTATATATCATGAAAAAAATGCGATACTTTTATAAAACGCGACTGAAACATATGTTCTTAAATTCAATGTTGTAAATTTAGTTAGACCAGCTCATTGAGTTATTACAATTAGAAGCAATGTGTGATTCATTAACAGACTATGGTTAGAGAACTGTTAATAAGTGCACATGTAGTTATCTATATATGTATAATTATTAAAAATATATATTTAATTATATATATTTTATCTATATTATATGAGAATTAAAATCTGTCTAAAAATAAAAGATGAAAAAATGTATATTTTAAGAATGCAATAATATTCAAGAATGATCTAATTAACTTTAAATAAAAGAAAAGTTATACATTATTGATATATTTTATTAAATGGGAAAGGTTTTTAGGATGGAAATTTTTAATTATTCTTTCAGCGAATGAAGAACGATGACCTACCGCGACAAGAGGATCCTCGGGATCCTTGTCTTGCTCAATGTAATAATAAAAATTTTGGCAAACCAGACGGATTCGTCAAAAACAGATATGGTAGAGGGAACAGAAGATTTCACTACGATCAAAAAAGTCCTGCCGGACAGGTGTCTAGCCAAAATAGAACAGGGACCTTGTACGCAGTTTGTTCATAAATGGTACTTCAATAAGACCGAAGGGAAATGTCGAACGTTTCCTTACGGCGGTTGCAAAGGAAATGATAATCGATATAACTCGGAAGACGAGTGTCTTTATTACTGCGTCGGTGGTGCTGATCGTAAGTCTTGTGAAAACTTATTCATTAAGAAAAAGTAGAAATAATATGTAGAAAGATCAAATAGAAAGAGCAAAAAGAAAAAGAAATGTTAGAATAATTAGACGAAATGTTAAAATATAATAAAAATTCAAATTGGAAAAATTAACTAAAAAAGTAAATGATATATATGTGTATGATATGTATGTCTATATGGATATGTAAAATTGCAAAATTACAAAAATTGTTTTTATCAATTATTTGCTATATCTGTCTTAATTAAATTATTTGCTATATCTGTATTAATTAAAATGAATTAAACATATCTCAATATGAAACTTTTTAAAAATATTCATAAAAAAAGAACTTTTTACATAAAATGTACACGTAAAGATAATATTCATAACAAACATTTTTATCATAAGAAAAATTTTTATCGAAATTTTTATTTTTATTTATTTTATTATATATTAAAATATAATTTATTTTTTAAGATACCCTACCGCCTTATCTCGTGACAAAAGGTAGTGTATTTGTTACAACGAGCGGTACAACAACAACAAATAGTCCACTCCCGACGACTTCTAGTACACCACGACCGACTTTTACACCTCCGAAACCGACGAAACCACCGGTACCGAAACACAAACGAGGAAAGGTAAAACCATCGTTAACTCGTATAAATATCTCATACGTTTCATCTCAAACCAGAAAAATTATTTCCCATATTTTTGTACCAAAGGAATTAACTTTCATGGAATCTGGCCACGAGAAGACATTCATGTTTGCGCAAAGTAATACTTTTATTCAGCTCGACGGTTCTGGTATCACAACTTTTCAATTGAGGTAAATAGGTGACAATCTTAATTATTTATGAACCTTGAACATTATTTTTTAATCCGTGCAGCAAAATATATTATCACGTTTTTAATATTCTTATTCTCTTAATTTAATGTATTAATTGCAATATCTTACACACACATAATATTTAATAAAATACATAAAATAACATGTATAATATATGTGTTATTTTTTATAATATGCTTCGACAGATTATGCCGCGAGATATCCTTCAAGTTTCGCACCAAGCTTCCGCACGGTTTGCTAGTTTATCACAGCGTCAAAAATCGACCAGAAGGCCTCGACCCTTACGCACTTTATGTGATAGTGGAAAAGGGTCAATTGAAAGTAGTTCATGTGTTCGGCAAACAATCGACCAGCCTAACTGTCGGCGAAGGTCTTAACAGAGACGAATGGCATAGCGTTCTCGTGAGAATCGATGTGCACGGAGCAAAATTAATCGCTAGAGTCGATGATAAGAAGGCCGACACTACTCTAAAAGTTCTCGAACGTGTTGTTAATTACGGGGTATCCGAAGATTTGGCCTCGGTCGTTTTAATCGGAGGTAAGGAAATACTTTGTGAAATCACTCAAAAATTGCTATTCATATTTTATCGATTTATTTTATTATTTATATTTTATCGATTTATTTTATTATTTATATTTTATCGATTTATTTTATATTATTTATATTTTATCTTGATTTTGTTAGGATTGAGCTCTGAAGAACGATTACACGGAGTGAAATATATAATAGAGTCGTTTGTCGGTTGCATCAGGGATATGGTTTTGAGTTCCGGAAAATCCGCCAGCGATTTGCTACCTATTCGACCGCTGATCGCGACTAAGCACGAGAACGTTAAGGAAGGCTGTATAGATAAGTATGTCTTTCCTTAAAATTTTTAAAAGACAATTGAGACGGTTCAATACCGCGATTATATCTCAAATTTCAATTTAGATGCAGGACACGAGAGAACTTGTGCTTCGTCCCCCATCAATGTGTGAATCATTACAATAGTCTGACATGCGATTGTTTTGGAACAAAGTACGAGGGTGAACGTTGCGATGTATATAGTACGTAAAGTATAATTAAATTTAATATAAATATTTTTTACAAAATATTCAAATTTCATTATTTATATATTCTTAACTATAAATAATTATTCAATTTTTTAATTTAATATTTGAAACATTTTATAATAATTAATACATCAAATAATTTGCTAGCATTACAAAAATATGAAAAATAAAGAAAAAAAAGGATACACAAATAATAATTTTAAGAAAGTCTTTATAATTGGAGAATAAGCTATTATCATAGACAAGAATTCAATTATCTATATAGAAATGATAGATACTACATTGTCCATTGAAAAAAAATGGATTCTTTGTGCGTCTAAAAGGATTCGACTATTTTAATATGAGCCTAATGGAGTTCGAAATATAATGTCATTTTTCAGCTGCGACGATACTGACACTAAGAGGTTCCTCGTACGTATCTTTCCGTGTGTACGATTGGAAGGATCGTGTTCATTCGTCTGTCAACAGGATCAGCCTCGCTTTTAAGGTATTTTATCCATGGGTGCTTATTGTAATAGAACTTTCTTTTCCCTTGTCATGGGTTCATTGATTCATTATAGCGAGACGTATCTTGTTGATGGAATCAAGAGACACTTTGTACTTTTACGAACAGCTGCTTTCCACTTATGGATCAATTTCTATGACGAAAAATTTACAGTGAAAATTCTTGTAGAGAGTGTTAAGTTCCACTTCTCAAATTGTACCGCAACGAACCATTGTGTAAACACAATGAAAATCGTCCCTGTTGTGTGTGAATATTCTATTAGTATTGCTGAGTAATCTCTCTTCGGATTAGTTAGAAAGATTAGCTTAAATATTGTTGATATTATGATTATGATTTTTTAAATCATAATCACAATATCAATAATAAATTTTCATTTTTTACTCTTCTCCTTTATTTTTTTCTAAAAATAAATATAAAAATTAATAATAAAGATTAATAAAAATTAATAAAAAATTATGTGAATGTTAAAAAGCAAGACTTTTTCAACAATCTTCTACATCATTACATATGATAAATTATTAATTTACAAATTTATATTGACAAACTTTTTCAGATAAATGTAATGGGGATATACACAAACTTTGCAATAAACAAAATTATCTTTCTTTATATAATATAATCACATTCTTAAAAAATATTTAAAAAAAAATAAATATATCAATGTTGTCAAAATTTGTTTTTAGACAAAATGGGATGATTCTGCCTTGTTTTATGCTTCCGGTGAGATCGATGGCACACCGCATTACATTGCAGCTTCCATTATAAACGGATCGGTCTACGTTGAACTCGATTTCGGACACAATTCAAAAATCTCCACTATGTTAGGCGATTACGTCACGTCTGACCATTGGAACAATTTGATTATATCCCATAATGGATCTCTCGTCTTCGTCAGCTTAGACGACGAGAAGAAGGTACTAGAAGTACCGGGAGAAAATTACAATATGATTATTGATCCGGAGATATACATCGGTGGCGGTCCGGAGCTTCACAAAAAGAAAGGTCTTCTGTCACATAATAATTTTGCAGGTCTGTAAGAAACTATTGCATATCATGGAATCTCGCCTTGTTTAATTAATAATTTTAATAAAAAATTTTATATTTTCTCAGGTTCCTTGAAGTATGTATTCTTCAACGATAAGTCGATTATATATGAACTGAAGCGCTCTAATCCTATGGTACACTATATCGGCGTCTTGGAACCCGAATATTATGAAGCCGATGTCGAAGTTATCCCCATCACGTATCCTTTTGCGGAAAGTCATATCTGGTGGCCCATCGAACGAACTGATTCGCTGAAGTTAAATTTTGACTTCAAAAGTTCAAAGCCAATCGCAGTCGTTGCATCGGGGGATATAAAGAGCAGTCGCGGTGTTGGTTACTGGGAGGTATGATTATATATATAATGCTCTTTTTTTTCTTTCTTTATATTTTCTATTATAATAATTTATATTTTTTCTTTTTCTTTTGTAGCTACGTCAAGTCAACGATGAAATTCGTTTCCAATTGATACCGGTTATAACGGAGAATATTACGGTGATAACTTCGGTAAAGTTTCCGCCTTACAATACTTCTTGGCACGCGGTCGAACTTAATTACACAAAAGGCGACCTCAACATCCTGCTCGATTACAAAAATAAGCAGAGCAAATTCTTTGCTTTGACATTCGAGTTGGGTGAAAAAGTTATTATAGGAAGTGGTATTATAGGAAGTAAAAGCAATGCGGGTAAATTTTTTTTAATTATGATAAATCTGAAAGATTATATATAAAACTAACATAATTATAATAAGATTTTTAAATTGGCAATTTAGGTTTAGTAGGATGTATGCGCGAGATACAAGTGAATAATCAAAGAATCGAACCTAGATACGTGATTAACACTGAGAGAGTAATCGGAGAAGTCGCTTTAGACAATTGTCAATTTGTGGATCCGTGTAAGAGACCAAACACTTGCGAACATGGCGGTAAATGCTCAGTCAAAGAAGATAGGATCACGTGTGATTGCACAGATACTGGATATATCGGAAAAAACTGTCATTTTGGTGAGATTATGCTCGCAATAATTAATTCACAATGAAACTTAATGCAATAATGTCAATTTTTATATGCATAAAAATAAATTGAAATATTCAAAAACACATTTTATATGCAATTTTCTTCTATATAAAATTTACTTCATTTATACCATAATTATTTATATTGTTATATTAATATTATTATTTAAATTTTGTTTTCGTAATATTTGCGCTTTTTAGCAACATATAGAAAAACCTGTGAAGAATTGGCTCTATTGGGATTCACTCAGGATGATGTTTACAAAATTGACATTGATGGAAATGGCCGATTTCCGCCCGCTTCAGTAAAATGCGAATTTCAATCGATCGAGGATTCAACCAAGACGATCGTCGAACACAATTTACCCTCCCAAGTGGATGTCAGATCTATCAGCGAGAACGACTTTTCTTTCAATATCAAGTACAGGCAGTTCACCGCTGAGATGCTTCAAGAGCTAATCTCACATTCGCTTTATTGTAGCCAATATGTAAAGTATGACTGTTATAAAGCACCCTTGGAGCTACACAGTGCCACGTGGTTTCTTGGCTCGAAAGGCACTACTGTCGATTACATCGGAAATGTCAATCGCGGATCATGTCCTTGCGGAAGTAAGTATTTTCTTAAGTAAAGTCAACATTAATGCAATTTATATAAATAAGAAAAAAATATGCATTTACAAATTTAATCATATCTCGCACAAAGAATGTTATTTATTAATTTTACTAGTGAACAGAACATGCGTGAACTCCAATTTGAGCTGTAATTGCGATGTATCCGCCGGAAATGCGGGAAAATGGCTATCAGATGAAGGATACTACGAAACACCTGATTCTTTAGGCATCACAGGGCTGATATTCTTACAACAAAAAGATCTCGAAGAAGATGCTCAAGGACGTATCACTTTAGGACCATTAGAATGCGTTGAGACAAGTATGTGAAAATGTTTTCTATTTAATTAATAAAATTTCACTTCACATATATAATTAAATAATGAGGTACTTTTTAAACCAATTATTTACAAATTATTAAATATTAATGTGATTGAATAATTATAAAAAATTCGCTAAATATAAATATATACTATTTCGCTTTTCTAATATTGCACACAAAGAGCTATAGACAATTTTTAGAAACAAACAACAAATCAAACAGATTAATTATCTTTAGATACACAAAAATACGTCGTAACATTCACGACATCGCAATCGTACATCGAAGTACCGGGTTGGAGAAAGGGTGATATAGCCTTCAGTTTTCGAACAACGGGCGAAAAAGCTATTCTTCTATATCAGCCGCCAATCCGGAACAACTATCCTTCCTTCATGGTCGCGTTAACATCCGAGTATCAGTTGACGTTCAATTTCACCTTAAACACCGGCACTATTCGCGAGTTAGAAGTAAGAAGCCGACGCAAACTCAACAATGGCGAATGGCAAAAGATATGGATCGACTATAACGACTATCATGTGAGATTCATGATCAACACCGACTTTCAAATGGTGGATTTATTGTCCGAGGAAGAATTCGGGCCCTTTGAAGGATCAATGTTCATCGGTGGTGCTACTGCGTGAGTAATTTTCGCAAATTGAATAATTAATTTTCGAACAATGAAGTTATTCATTATGATGAAAAAAGTACAATTTTCGTTTTATATTAATTAATTTTCATTTATTCGAATTATCACTTTAACAACACTTTTAGAGAGCATTTGAAAACTTCTTCCGTTCGACAAGGTCTCATCGGCTGCTTTCGCGGTCTCGTTGTCAACGGAGAGATATTAGATATCCATAGTTACATGTCTGTACATCTATCGGAAATTATTAAGGATTGCAAGCCTTCCTGTCAACCTAATAAATGTCAGAACGGTGCCAGATGCGTCGAGCTGTGGAGCAATTTCGAATGTGTATGCGAAAATCGATGGGCGCATTTAGGCACTTTTTGCGAGACAAGTAAGCTCACAACTTTATTTGATTAGAAAATTTTATCTTCAAACAGTTTTAAATTTATTAGAAAGTTTTATTTTAAAAATGAAGTAAACATTGTATATTTTTTAAAACTGTTTGGAAATAAACACATCAATTTCTTTGAATAGCTATCATTAAAAATAATATTCCTGAATTCCAGACATTAATAACAAAGCCCTTACATTCACTTCGCCTGGAGTGTTCCTGAAGAAGAACTACTTCGAATCGGACAATAATGAGGAGAAATTGCAGCTGAAGAGCATGCTACAAGAGAATATTCTGATTAATTTAAGAACTTACGATACACACTCTCTGATACTTTATGCGAACGATCATTTAAACAACTTCGTGCATCTTTACATTTCGAACGGCACTAATATCGTCTATCTTTTCAACGCTGGCAATGAGATCAAGAACATCACCGTATCAAATCCAAGTATGAATTAAAAGTTTAATATACAAATTTATTTCAATGAAATATATATATATTAGAATTTTAAAAAGAATAACTCGCGATTTTTATTAGACGTCAACACAGGAATCTCTGTGCAAATCGCTATTATTCGAGGCGAAAATTGGACTACGCTGCATGTGAATGAATATAATGTCACACTGAACGCGGTACCTATACTTCTGGATACATATTCGAATAAACCATGGACAAATCCGGAGAAAGAAGTTTTAGCACCGCAGCGGCCGCCAGCGCCTCCAACCGATTATTTCCAAGTAAAAATTTATAACATTTTTAAAAAAGTTAATTAATTAAATTAAATTTTTTGTTGAAATTCAAATCCCAAATAATACAAAAAATAAAAAAATTTATATAAAATTTAGAAAAATATATTATTTATTTTTAATTTTCTTATATTACAAATCATGATTATTATACAAAAGAATGGCTTTTCAGAAGAAAGAATGACTTTTTATACATATATTTTTAAATATATGTATAATAAAAGAAAAGATATAAAAATGAAATATACAAGAAATAATAAATTTAAAATTTATTTAGGTAAATTTAGGAGGTTTTGATTCCAACTTGCTCAGAGTCGGACAAGAAGGTGCCCTAATTCAAGGTTACGTTGGTTGTTTGCGAGGACTCATGATTGGCAAATATCTGGTCGACTTGCCAAATTTAGCTAACGAAGCAAATCATGAAGGCAAAGGCGTTCTACCAAATTGTCAAATGAAGTGCGATGCAATGCCTTGTAAAAATTTGGGAATCTGCACAGAAGATTTCAACAGGCAAGAATCTTCTTGCAATTGCGAATTGACGTCTTACTTTGGCGAGTATTGCGCTGATGGTGAGTTTTATTATTTATCATAAGAAATATAATTCATGCTTGAGTTTAAACAAAAATATTTAAAACAAAAATTTTGAATCTTAAGAGTTTTAAAATTAAAAAAATTGCGAATTACAAAACTTTGTAAACGCAACACTCGGAGAAAATTCAGAATTAGAAAATTATTATGTTTTTTAAAAATATAAAAATCTATTAATGTTTTAAAATAATATTTATGGGAAAAACAAATTATTTATTTTTATGGAGATCTGTCAAAGAAAGCGAGAATTTTATTCAACGTTTTCACATAAAAATGTTTCGTGTAGAAAAGGGCGCTGATTTCAGCGGGGAAAGTGTACTTCAACGAGAATTTGAACTCGAGGGCGAAGTAAATCAGGTGAAGGTTCAATTAGCATTCTCGACAAGCGAATTACGACAGCGAACTACTGCGTTGCTGCTAGTGCAGACCGACAATAAGTAAAGTATCGATCTTAATATTTACTTTGTATCGTATACTAAATTGTACTGACTTTTTGAAGCTTGGAAAATTCTGGATATCTTTCGACAAACTTTTTTCCAGAAGAAGCTACTACTTATTAGTGGCTTTAACGTCTGAGGGGCAGCTTATTTTCGAAGAGGACAGAGATGGCTCGGCGGCTTACGGAGTGCGTCTGAACGATCGAAATTTCCTGAACGGTGCACGTCACAGTGTTTATTATGTTCGCGATAACACCACTGCCACTCTCTTGGTGAGTTATAATTTATTATAATTTATTTTAATTTATTCTAAAATAATTTATAATTTAATATAATAAATTATAATTTATTATAATTTGTTTTATCCAAAAAAAATTTTTATGTATCATAGGAAAACTAACTTCTATTTATAATATAATATGTATATTTATAGATTGACCGCCAACCCGCCCAATTGATACCACTTCCGGGACTACCAATTCGAGTAGATGAGGACGAAACTCCTGGTGCAACAGAGATTCAACTTGGTGGATTAAACACTACCGATTCGCGATTTATCGCTTACAAAGGTTACACCGGCTGTCTCAGCAGTAAGTCGATCTATTAATGGATAATCATGTTTATTGGCACTTGTTTTTATCATTTATACGGGGAAAATTTTACAGTATAAATTACATGAAAAATATACTCCCTTTTAGAACATTTATTATAAAGCTGAAATGAGGATATTTATTATTATAACAATTTTAAATTATGCATTTATTTTTACATCAAAATATTTAAACTCCTTTTCAATATTTCTTTATAAAATAAAATACAATATATATATATATATATATATATATATATATATATATATATGTGTGTGTGTGTGCAATATTATTGAATAAAAAAATATTATAATTTCCCTTATATGTTCTATGATTACAAAAAATTATATTGTAATTTTGATTCTATTCTTACTATTGTAATATTTTCTCCGTGTATCTAACCGGAAATAAATTTTTTAAATATAGATATATTTATGTTAGATATAGCCAGCCATAATTTGCAAATTTCAAATTATAATTGTGATGTTTTTATAGATGTTGTGATATCAATCAACGGCGGTCCCGGCATGAAACCGTTAGAAGAATATATGCTTTTTACAAAGCAAGCTAGCGAGACTGTTCGGGCAACGATACCCGCTGGTGTTAGAAGCGCTCAATGCGCGGTCTTTCATATTCAACCTGGTGGTCTTGAACCGCCCAGAAACGTGCCTAATGAAGTGAGCGAAATTTAAATAATATTAAATTAAAATATTAAATAATAATCAATTTTACATATTATCTATTACTTCTTATTACAAGTAACAGCAAATAATATAGCAAATATAACAATACGAGTTTTTGTCTGAATTTAAAATAATTCATAATCTTTAAATGATGATAATTGTAAAATTATTACAGGATTTAAGGTTTATGTCAAAAAAAAGATTAAAGGTCAAAAATCCTGTTAATAACTCATAATTAATATTTTTAAAAATATGTAATTATTATTTTTTTAGTAAATTAATTAAATCTTTTTAAGCTTCTCATCAGCGTAATATTATTTGATACAAAAAAAAAATGATGGATACATCAAGTTTCGAAACTTCTTGTTAAAGGGCGGTGATCGAGAATGGGTTGAGGATCCGCCCGAGAAAATACCGTACAAGTCGCAGTATTCGAGCACGACTCAGGAAGAGCAAGGTGCGGGAACATACATTTTCATAGCTCTGTGTTGTGTTTTTGTGGTTGTGGTGACTGGGTGTATTTACGAAGTGTGGCGAAGTGCTCGCAAGGATCGTCAACGACGTCACAGAGCGGCCTCAGGAGCGGCAGCGACCGCAGCTTCCGGTTCGCAGCGTTGGCAGCCACCACAATATACGGAATCTTTAGTGACCACGACCGGCGTGAAAGCGGTCGGTTTCAAAAACGTGATGGACGACGATAAGAGGCCGAATGGCACGCATGTGAAAGCGCTAGGTGCCAAGGAATATAAACCACTGCCGAATACGGAACCCAAGGATTTGATAAACGATAAGAACGATAAGAAGGTTCACATAAAAGGTATTATAATCGAATGATATATCGAATGATTGATTTCTTATGTAAATCTGATAACAAAAATTTATATTCAATTTTTATAAAATTTTTCGAAGAATATATCTGTCAGCATTGCATAAGAAAGAGAAGATTCATTATTTTTGAATATTGTGTATAATAATGTATGATATTTATAATATAATATTTTTTTCGTCCTGTATACTGAGATTTAACATTTCATTTTCTGTTCGCTGCAGCAGACGAAGAATCAGAGAAAAAGGAGCTCCTAGGGGTAAATACAGGCATCATGACTAAACCTGCGAAACTGAACCCATTTGTAAAGATTTTTTCTTTTTTTCATAAAGAATTGCATATTAAGCTTTACCAGCCTTTGCAAAATGGCTTTTGCATGCACTTTTTGAATTCGACGCTGTTATAGATATGTTGCAGATATTCATACACATTATTTAATGCATTTCTACACATTCACATTGAACGGGCAGAGTAAAACTAAATCGCTTTTTGTTTAAAATACCCTGCAACGCATTTGCAACAAATTTGCACTAAATTTATCAACAATCTTATCTCGCGAAGAAATGTACAAGTATTTATTCAAAACAATAATGCTTGTGCAAGCTTTCATCAGCACTTCCAGTCTAAATTTTCAAATACTTTCATATATTCACGAATTCGCGCTTTTTTCGCAACGCCAAACACAAACATAGCATAAACCACCGCAATTCAATAAATTATCAGACATTCTATTTTTTTTTCAATAGTCAATGGAAGATCTAAGAGAAGAACCTGAACTGGAAGAACGCGAGGAGAAAGAAGAGGAAGAAGAGGAGGAAGAAGATGTCCAAGAGCAAGGGACGGACAAGAACAAGGATCAATCACAGAAACAGCAACAAGAGGAACAGGAAAAGAACGAGAAAAATGATCAAGATAACGAGCCCCTCGTCAGGCCGGTAAGAAACAAGGTGGCAAGGAGAGGTTCCTTGACCGATGAATTGGACCCAGACGACACGCAGGCCCTCCTCGAGACCAACTTCTCCGTGACGGGTTTAAATGAGATCAAAACCGAACGTATAATACCCCGAGTAAATAATGCCACGAAAAATATCACAATACCAAAGAGACCGATGAGTCTTGATCTCAACGCACCGATCAAGTTTCGAAAACTGCGTGAAAGAGCTTGGCCCGAAAAGGTCACGGCGAAGTTGCTCGACGGTGACGAAGTGAGTCTCCAGTCTCGAGGTAGAGGCTACAACGACGCCGCGTATCGCACTCAGGACAAATAATTAAATCGACTGACGACAATAATTAATACGTTCAAAATAATCCCACGTTTATCATTGTAAATATCGCGTAGAGCGATCGTTTTTCAATGACAATCACGTGTACATCTAAATTTTAGGACAGTATAATTTAGCAATATATAGTATTAACAAGAATCGCGTTGGATGTGATTAAAATGTGACACTTGTTATATAGAGATTTCTGATTCAAAATATCTAATATTTTATTTAAACTAGAAATTTGTCTGAAGATATTTGTTTGGAGATATTCTTTAGCATACTCTCGGTTAGTCATAATCTCATCCATTGAAAAAAGAATAGAAAGTGAAATAGTACAGCAACACGTATCTTCCATAATGAAAAATAATAATCGATCGAATATTGCAAATTGCTTCTGCTGAAATAATCACGTGTTGTTTACGTCTCGTATAGAGTCATACTAATTTCCTATGACACACAATTGTGTCTTTTATTTACTTAATTTTATGAGTTCTTTATATAAGTCTCTATATATGTTTCTTCCAAAATTTGGCTCATAATAGCCACATTCGGAGAGAGAAGACGTTCGAATAAATGTATTTAAAAGTTAGTGTACTTAAAAATTAGTGTGTAGTTGAGCACTCGTTTTTTATTACATATAGTACATCATCAGTATTTTTCCAGTATTAGCTATAGGAAGAACTCTTATTTAGCTCGAGTAAAATATTTTAAGATTCTAGTGCCTATACATATAGTAAAATTTAATGATAATATTGAAAGAAGCAAGATTAACGATAAGAGAGCAAGATTAAATATAAACTTACAACGAGTATTTTGAGATAAAATGGCATAGATCCGTATTGTCGAGTGCGAATAATAGTTAGTGCGAATAGTAGTTTTATTTAAAAGAACAAAGATAAAAATATTAAAAAGCAAAATATTATTTTATCAATTAAAATCATTCATTAAAAAATCAATTTTACGGTATCTTTATATCAGAATGAACTAAAAAAATTTACATATTATAGATTTATATTATCATAAAGGCTACGGTGTACGCCAAACGAACTGTTCATCGATAAAATTATTTTAAATAATTTAAATGAATTTTTTAAACTTTGGGACACAGATATATTTTCAATATAAAATGTATAATAATTTTTTTGTATAGTTCGCTTTATGTGTACACCTGTGAGCCTATTTAGTTTGATTTCGCTGCTTCGCAATTGTACAAAGCGATTGTGACGTTTGTGTGCTTTTGGTGGCGATCAAAATAATCATGCGATAAAATGCCTGCACAAAGCATATCGCAAAAATCGAATCATCCAAAAGTCTGACCTTCTAATTCCTCAGACTTCAATATATGTCACCATACTTTCAGCACAGGGATTGGTCTATCAGGACGAGTGTCGAAGAAAACATTATACCGTTAGATTCAATTTTAAAACCCGATGAAACGAAAACACCGTGTGAATTTTAGAGGTACGAGATTTTTTTACGCACGTCGAAAATAATCCGTACGAACTCGAAAAGAGCATCTTGTCTTACTCTCTGCAGTCTCTCGTTCTTTTCTCAATCGCGAGATACAATATTTAATTATATACTTTCAATATATTACGCAATCTAAATCTGCTTCCCCAGTTGCATTGGCAATTAACAGAAAAATGCTTCCGACTGATGCTATTATAAGTGCGAACAAACGCTATATTAATATCATTGCGATTACTTTATGATTCTATGAAACAAAAATTTAACTATTATTTCGATATCAGATATCGAAAAATCAGATCAATTCTTATTAATATTGATAAGTTGTACAAAAAAAAATTGTAAAAAAAAATTGTATTATACCGAAATTTTAATTATTTGGTTATTACTATTTTGTATCTTACAATTTCATTTTCTAGATATTACATTTTTATTATCGCAGGTTTCTTTTAATAATTTAATATTTTAATATTGTATGTGGACAGCTCATAATAGCATAATTGATGTACGAAAAAGACGCGTTGAGTATTCGAACGTACGATATAAACTTGATGATGCATCCCATTCGAAATAACAAAAAGATTTATATTCCTCGGAAATAATTATATAGCTAGATATTATCTCGTAAAAATGACAAAGATATATTTTATAGCATGTTATATATATATATAAAATGACAGAGAAAATATACAATTTTTTTCATTGACTCGTTTGTTGCATCGCTGCAACTATCTCATACTGCCTTTCCTACACTGCTAAGCTTATCGCAAGTTCGCCGATTTTTCTCACAACGAAGTCTCTTGAGCAAAGAATGGATAAACAATTCGATAGATCGATTTTATTTATAAATCATTACTATAAGCATTTTGTATATTTTTCTCTTACTATCAGGCATGTGCATGAAACATATATATCCTAATATATATGATAATATATTTGAATAATTAAATATTTTTTTATATCAATTAAAGAAACTTATTGAAAGTAGAATTGTATCCGAAAAATATGATGATTAATTCTCTCTAATATGATTCTCTAATATGATTATTTAATCTCTTTGATTCTAAATGTCTCTGGAAAAGCAAATCGAGAATTAAACCGATGTATTTTGTTGTGATTTTAGATAATTATAAAAATCATATTCGCATTATTTAGAGTATTGAAATTTGAAAATTAATATTATATCCTTATATATGTATATATAATCAATGTTTAATGTAAATTACAACCGGCGCAAATATTTCTAAATTAAATCATCAATTTATGATAATCATAGAATATTCTGCGAAGCCATCGATAAAGCCTTTGTCACGAATTGTACGTGTACTGCACAAATGATTAATTCCAATGATATCGAAAATGGATTTGTTCATGGCACGCGACAGACATTCATTTCATCGCATGCACGCTTTAAGCTACTGATTGTTAAAGCCTATTTAAAGTAAGTCTAAGCGTACTTGCTGCATACTTGCATTGAATAAAATGAATTTTGTCATTATATATGATAAATAGCGAGATCACATATGGTAAGAAATTGAGAGATTTTAAATATATATCTTCGATCTATTTAGGCATCTACAAACGGAGACATTGGGCGACAATTAAAAACACAAGGAAATCCCCGCTTAGGTAATATGAATTTAAAAAATGCCTCTCTTATAGAAAATTTCAAAATTATGCAATAAATTATGATTTGCACACAATTCAAGAAATAGAATTCTTATAAATTCTTATAAATAATTTAATAGAATTCTTATAGAATTCTTATAAATTATTAATTATTATTACTTGTTGTTATTAATTTTAATTAACATAATTATAAATATATAATTATCTTAATGTATAAGATAATCATATACATATATACATACATAATTTTTATTATAATTTATTATGTGTTAAATAAATTTTAACACATAATAAAATATAATGAAAATTGATATATATGCATATATATAATTGATATATTAGATTTTAAAGATGAAAAATTGTATAATTTAATTTTTGAAATGATTTTGAAGAATGAAGAAAAAGAGTTAATCGCGTTAAAAAGGAAGCTATTTTTGAATAAATTTCAATTCAATTTCAATTTTACAATACAATTTCAAGTAAAATTATTCAATCGAGTAGGGTTAATTAGAAAAATATTCCTTTTAGCACCAGACAATCCGATATTCTTCAATATGCCTACCATCTTCTTGCCGGATGGCCAACGGACTTTCAGCAATCCATTGAGTTATCTCGGTGGTCCGATATTACCATTGAGGAATAGATCTATCGAATCAGTGCTATCTCTGGATTAATCGTGGATTATCTGTACTTTGTTTTAAGGAATCATTGTGAGTGTGGAAAGAAACAATGAATCGCATTCCCTGACCGTGAATGGAAAGTCTCAAACGTGTTGAGTGTTAAATTGATAAATATTATAACAAATTCATAAACATATCATATAAACTAGATTATCCAAAAAATACAATTTAAAACGCGTTAAAAACGTTTGCAAAATTAAAATATACATTTTTTCTGTTTTGAAAAAACTGAGTTAATTGTTTAAAGCTTATAATTGCTGTAAAGAAATACATAAAATATTCTTTTCTTTCTTTCAGATACATGGACTTAATTAATGTTAAAAAAGTTTTAAAAAATTTTGATATGCATTTAGCACATTTGATATTTTCCAGTTACAATTCACCTTTCATTATCACAGAGTCATCCGCTCGAAAGGCTCGTGTTAATAGCTCACAACGAGCTATAAGCTAAATAGTTTCATCAAGAAAGGTTTGCTCGGACCAACAAATTCGCGACTGACGAATTTTACACGCCACAAGACATTATAGTTGCTGATAATGATTTAAAAAGTGATAACGAGCTTAATGTGGTAATTAATAATAAACTCGATACATTTTCTCGCAGCTAATAAGAAACTGTTGTGCTCAAATATATTTCGTTTCAATATAAGAAATGCTTATAAAAAAATCTTTGTAAAAGTTCTCCCTGCAAGTTTCTTTTCCTTTTATTGCACACCAAAACTGAAACTTTCTTTAATCTTAAAGAATATCAACAATATATAAAACAATCTATTTTTTTTTGTCTCCTCAAGAATCGTTCTATCAAAATTTAATAGAAAAATAGTAAATAGTAATTTCAAACTAAGTCATGACTCATATTCCTCATCCTAGTCAAAGTTAATTAATTTTCTGTATTATATCGCGATGAACAAATATTCGTAATTTATCGCATATGACTGCCTTGTATGTATAATAATATAAAAGCAGAATATAAATGCATCATTACGATAAGAAAAGGACCAGAGTAGAGTATGCAATGTTTAATAATTGATTACATGAATAAAAAAAATTTCCAAGGAAATTCAATGAAATTGAATCTATTTTTTATTTCTTAATTATCAGTAAACATACCTTTCTCTTGCAGGACATTATGGTCACTGGACTTTCTGCTCACTGTTTTCAGATTCAATTTTTAAGCGTTGCTTTGAACGAAGTAAACTTCTTGCAAAACTGTAAACAAAGAGAACAAAGATTAAATAAAAACAGAGATTATTTAAAAAATGATATATAAAATGATTATATAAAAAATGATATACAAAACAAAAATTAATTTTATTCTTATATATTTTTATTACAAGAGGAATAAAAATTATAGGAAGTGATAAAATTACATATAAAATCAAAATTATAATTAATTTGTTACCTATTGTTTATTATGATAAAACGGAACAGTCATTTCAAGCAAAAAATATACACACGCGCGCGCGCGCGCGCACACACGCACATAAATATATGTATATAAGAATATTAATTACTTTTAAGAATATTAATTACTCAAGACTAATATTGTCTTCTATTGTATCAAAATCGGCTTCTAATCTTGCGTATTTTACGTGATATTATAGCTAAGAATAAATCAAGAACTTTTAACGACCGAATTTTCGAAAATCGAAATCGCGAGAACGAAACCGCAGAAGTACCAGAATCTTCGATAATGAAATTACCCGCACAATAAATCGCAACAAATAAACCGCACTCGATCACGCGTGTCCAAACGTGTTTCTTGCGATCATTAGTTTTTATAATCGCGGTTGCGAGAATCACGGATTTTTTGTGCGAAAAAGAACTTGTGTCCCGAAAAAGAAACAGCGATACAAAAAACTTCGGACGAAGAATGGCGCGATTATGAATTGCGTTCCGAAATGTATTCATCGAGTACAGGCGTTGGATTGGTTAATCGTTTGTGCCTTGCGTTCTGATTGGCCCGACGCCGTTCTACTCCGAGTGGGTTTTCGAACGCAATCGCAATTGGTTGAGAATCCCGGACACGTCATAAACAAGCAACATGGCTGACTGTCGCGAATATTGACACGACGCGTGTTATTATTTACAAATTGAACGAAAGAAACTGGCTACATCGATGAAGCTCTAATTTTCCTCTTAACCTTGCCAGTCGCACGATGGCACAAGCGAAGTTCAACGTGCCAGAGAAATCTGGCGGCACCATTAAAGAAAAGGACAAAGAAAAAGAAGGCAAGTTTCTTATATCATCAATTATCACATTCGCTCGTGATTTCATCGCGTTGAATATAATACAAGATAAATTATAATTTTAAAATTTTGTATCTATTCCAGATATAATTTAATAAGCATCACTATAATCGAAGGATAATGACTTAGCTTTATCAATCTTTATCTAATTATTTTTTGAATAAATCATAAATATTTACATCTTTTATGTGCTAATAGGTCTCACTGTCGTACCAGAATGTGCTGTATGTCTGCAGCCTTGTATTCATCCAGCGAGATTGCCCTGTAGTCACATATACTGCTATCTGTGCGTAAAGGGTGTTGCTAATCAAAGCAAACGGTGTCCAATGTGTCGTCAAGAGATTCCACCAGATTTCCTGGAAAGACCTCAGCTGGTAGAGGTTGAAGAATCTCAGAAGGAGATGGAACATCCTGAAGAAGAATACCAGTGGTTTTATGAAGGTCGAAATGGTAAAGTATTATAAAATACTACTTTGATTAACAATTATATTTTAATTAATATTTAAAATTTGCATTTGTTATCTTTTTCAATAGGAAACATTTTTATGGAATTATCTTATTTAATATTAAATACATTTTATTGTTTAAACTCTGCTAATTTGCAATAACTTACAATGCCTTTGAACACTTATATGTAGGCATGTATAAGTTGATATCATCGTACCCCTTCTTAGGTTGGTGGAAATATGATCCAAGGACAAGCAATGACCTGGAGACTATTTACAAACTAGGGGAAACGCGATGCGAACTTTTGATCTGTGGCATGCTTTATGTAATTGACTTTGAAAACAAGTGTCAATATAGAAAAAATAACCTACGTTACAAACGTAATATCAAACGTGATAGAAAAGATGCTCCTTGTAAGGGCATCTCGGGTGTACGATAATAAATTACATATAAAAAATGCATAATTTATCTGTTAAAAACTTTTGCAAAACCATATTTGATAATATATTGAGTTATGTTCATATACTGATTTTGTTATAACATAAAAAGTGTATTATTTTTGTCATGTATAAAAAGTGTATTATCACAATTATTATAATCATAATAAAACATCTCATAAAAATAAGAATAATATTGAGTATAAAATGGAATTATCGTGCATGCAAAAAAAATGTATATAATACTATAAATCTAAATAAGTACATTATATATGAAAGAATTAGTAGATTTTAACACTTAATATTAAAAGGAGAGAGAGAGAGATTATTATTATAATGTATTATATAAAAAAACAATATAAAAGAAAACTACAACACTTTATAATAAAAATTATGTTCTATAACTAAAAATATCTTTCTTTTTATATTTTCTCAAATGCAATTTTTAATCATGTATTTTTCAAATTCATATCTTATAAATGAATATTATATTATTTCTATATTCTATATAATATTATTTTTATTGTAATGGAACATATGGCTATTAAACAAATGTTTGCAGGTTGGTGGCAATACGATCAACGTACAAGTATCGAATTAGAAACAGCATATAAGCAGGGCAAAAGGACCTGTGAGTTGCTGATTGCAGGATTCCTTTACATCGCCGATTTTGGTTCAATGCTGCAATTGCGCAGAAACGATCCTTCTAGACGAAGAAGGATTAAAAGAGATCTGTATAATGTGCCAAGAAAAGGGGTTGCCGGATTACGTCTCAATGTGCAAGACGAAGAAATTGTTAGAGAAATAAGAGGTGCAGAGCGACCAGCTAGTCCCGCGAGCGATAGTATGGGTATGAATCAATAAGTTATATGATGAATGATAAAATATGAATGCATATTTATACACACACCAGAATTCTGATTTAATATCTTTATCTAATATGAAAAGTATTTTATTTACAGGCACAGGAGACGGTACTAATACTCCCATACCACCTAGTAATACACCACAAACCCCTGCAGGTGGTACAGCGAGTGGCGACGCGACACCTCTAAACGATAGAATAGATCAGAGATCGGATTCTCTGCATCAAGTTCTGGAACAGATGCGTTCTCTGGTTTTGAGAGAACATCTATCCTTAAATAGTGATAACGAATTCGAAGAGGATACAGAAGATGCAACGATTTCGGATCATCCCGCTATATCATAGCTACAGATATCGAACACATCAGAAATTGTGGTAATCATACTTAAGAATCTCCAATTTGTTTCCAGGCTCTTCATATTACTGCTCAATTCAATGAGATAGTATATTACACATCAGTATACATTGTGTTTGCTAAAAATGTGTCAATGTACAAAATATATTAATCTAGCAAACTACATTGCTCAATTATAGGTGTATCAAAGTTGATATACAATTAAGTCTTTCAAGTTAGTTATTTTTATTTGGAAGAGATATTCATCTTTTGCTTTTAAAACCTATTTAAGATTTATACCTTTCATTAATCTATATATATGTGTGTGTGTGTGTATCAAACAAATATTAATTAAAATTAATTATATTAATTATATTAATTAAATTATCATTGGGCATAATACTAATTTACAAAGATAAATCTATATAATTTTTATAATATAATTGTTAATAAATAATGTACTTAAAAATTAATTTTCAGAGCTATTGTATCATATAGCAACACATACAATATAAACGATTAGACATGTAAAGATATAATAATCTTAAAGTAATAAAGTTTCTAAAAATGTGTTCATGCCTTAGAAAGGCCCGTGAAAAACAAATTATAACGAAAAAAAAAAAACATTTATTCTTATGAAAATCAAGTGCAATGTTCAATAATTAATGTAATTGCTAGTTTTAAATAAATCTTATAATCTTTGTTCTCCCTCCTGCTCCTCTCCTTCTCTCTCTCTCCCCCTTGTCTCTCTTTGCGATGTTTAAAACTCAAATTATCTTGTATTACATATAGAAATAAAAGATAAATTTTCTTCAGCATTTATACAAATTATGTTTTTTAAAATAAACCTTGTAATAATATTCACCGTAATACACATAATTTGTAAAAATGAGATATAAAGGTTGATCATTATATAAAAAGATTTAAAAATAAGATGTGTGTGAGAATAGAATAAATAAAAATAATGCAACAAAACTTATTTTTAATATATAAAATCTAAAAACACAAAAATAAAATTTCTAATTTACTTATCTATCAAATAAATATTGAGATAAAAAAATTGTACAGTATTTCGAATGTTTCAAATATTTAAAGCAATTATGTAAAAACAAGAAAAGGATAAACATTAGCATCAAATAAAACGCTTTTGATAAATAATACAATAAAAATTGTCTAATTATGCTTGGTTAGGCTTACCTGTAAGTAATAAACGTGTGTGTGTGTGTGTGTGTGTGTGTGTATATATATATATATATATACAGAGATATCTAAATAAAATTATAAAAAATTACTTTTTGGAATATAAAATATAAAAAAAACATACTAATCTTTCACATTTTATTACGTTTTGATCCGTAAATTCATATCCTGTTCACATCTTGCGTAGTTTAGAATCAAGATACGTTCAGCAACTAACAATTAACCATCATTCAAATCACTTGAATTTAGCGCGCTTTTAATGTATAGGAATCTCTCAAAAGTTTTTTTCCCGCTGGACAGACAAAAGATTACATTCAACCGATTCGACGATAATATGCCAGTGATATATGAGATGTAATATGAGTATAAACTGCGACGAGATGCGATAAAAACCGTATTGTTAGCGACGCGAAAAAAGATTGAAGGAAGCGAGGAAGAAGCACGAGAGAAGAATATATTGCGCTTTAGGTAATCGCGATAAACATTTAACCGTGTTTTTATCTCCCATTCTTTCATCGAAAGTCATACGACGGCGTCCATGTACGTAAATATTTTCGGGATCGGTAGCAAGGACAAAATTGTTTGTCTCACCGATTGATACAGTTCTTATGAAATGATTCGATGAAGGTGGGTTTGTCGAGAGGTGTAAGAACAGTAAAAATATCATAGTTATGATACAAGGCTCTTGGTAAAAAATATACGTGTCATTTTGCGAATCGAGAAAACATAAGGAATAAAATCGTGGGAAATTAGGATATAAATTAGAAACAATTTAAAATTCGCTAGCTCGATTTTAGGCAAATATGTTCGGTTGCCCTTTTATTTTCCAGTTACATAAATTGCGCATGTATAATTAATGTCGCGATGTGTAACCTAATTTTGCTCAAATAGCAGTTGGAACAAGAGTCTGATCTTCAAAAGTGTTAACGTATTTGTTATTTTGCAGATAGATGAGGAACGAATCGAACGTCTGAACATCAAGCTATTATATGTAAAAACGATTCAACCTAAAAGTGTGAATGAGACCAAAATGACACAGCATACGCAGTCGTCCTTTGAAAGTGTGATTTTTATCACTCATGTTGAGGCTGATGATATATACTTGAAGATCTGGGGTCAACTGGATAAGCAGGCTGCTACTAGTGTAGAGCATTATATATATCCTCTGATAGAACAGTTTAATCAGGGATATGGTTGTCCTTCCAAACTCAATAGACTAGCCATTGGTACATTCTGTTGCGCTAGATTTCAATCCGATGGTTATTATCGTGCAAAAATACTTGGCACACGTACCGATGGCATGATAGTTGTACAATTTCTTGATTATGGCAATGTGGAAGTCTTGCCCCTGAACGAGATTCGTCTGTGGGATAACATACGTGAAATGGAACCTCTGCGAGCCTTTCCACCAATGGCATACGAGTTCTCATTGATGAATGTATTACCTATAAATGGTGGTTGGGATAAAGGAGTTATTGAAGAAATTAAAAAAATCCTATGCTATAATGAATTCAGAGCTTTTTTTCATATGATGAATAATCGCTGTTTCATAAAATTATGGTACAATAATGAAGACTTTAGCGAATTGTTGGTAAAACAACAGTTGGCTTTATCAACTACTCTACCAACTACCGTACCAGCTATTATACCTGATATGTTTAGGTACAATATTTTTTATATTTAACTTTTCCTTTTTTTAGGCATCTTTTTTTATGTTATATTTTTATAATTGCTTAATTAATTATTTACTTTATAGACCAAAGCATGTACTGCAACCTCAAATATTAGCATATCAACAAAATAAGAGCAATATGAATAATTGTGCAACAATGCCAATAATGCAGAATCCAAATATGAATCATAATTCCAATGTACAAGGATTTCACAAGATTTTTTCCACTGATACAAATCAACACAAACATGTTGATCAACGGCCTTCACAACCACCACCTGTTCAAGAAGCACTCGTATTCAAATCTCGAGTATTAGACGTAAACTCACAATATCAAGTGTTAATATCACATGTGGAAGATGGTCCACAAAAGTTTTCCGTTCAAGTTGAAAGCACACAAGCTATATTGACTCAATTGATGGACAAAATAAACAGTCATCCAAAACAACCTTTGCAAGAACCACCATTGCCAGGATCTGTTTGCTTGGGACGATATAGGGAAACTGCAGAAGATGGAGTGTTATGTCGGGCAGTTGTAATGTCTGTGATGGAACATAAATGCAAATTATATTATGTTGATTTTGGCCATACAGAAGTTTTGCCATATACAGACATCTTTCAATTACCACCTGAATATATTAATCCCAAAGTGCTTTCCATTAGATTTACTTTAAGTGGCCTAAGAGAACTCAATATTACGCAAGAAATGAAAGCATACTTTAAAGAATTAGTATACAGAAAATTACTTATTCTACATGTTCGTCCGCCAGAAGGACCGCCGCTGATTCAATACGGTGACTTATATGACAATGGTGTTAACATAAAGGATATGTTAAAGAAAGCGTTCCCAGCGCCTGCTGTAACAATACCGATAACATATTCGTACCCACAATTACAACGATTATCGAAAGATGTTCAAGAAGTTGTGCATGTCTCTTATGTAGAGTCGTGTAAGAAATTCTTTGTGCAACTTGACAATGGGATAAAGTCTCTCGACTCAATAATGACTGGCCTAGCACAATATGCCAAAATGGCATCTGTTTTAAATACAACGCAGCTAAAAGCAGGATTACCTTGTGCAGCTCTCTATGATTCACAGTGGTAAATTCTAAAACGGCAACATTCTCTGTTATTAATTTTTTGTGTATTGAGTTATTCTTATAAATTATTAATAATAATAATAAATAATTCTTATAAATTAATAATAAATTAATAATAATAATTGCATTTTTCAGGTATCGTGCACAAATTCTTAGTGTTACTGCAGATAAAGTTAAAGTGGTTTATGTTGATTATGGAAATGAAGAGGTATTACCTACAGTATCTCTTCGTACAATTCATGATGATTTAGTAACAAGTTTACCAGCACAAGCTATAAAGTGTGCATTAAATGGTTACGAGGTGCTTTCATTAGATCAAGAAGTCTCTAATCATTTCGAAAGATTGACGCTCGAGAAACTTTTTTACATGAAAGTAGTTGCTGCACAGCCCAAAGGTTTATTAGTTGATTTATTCGAATTTGACACAATGAGAAGTATTCATCCTCAGCTGCTAAACAATTTATTCTGCGATAAAAATTCCACAAGTACACCAAATGGAGAAATTCAACATCCTACCAAACCAATAAATAATTTCCAGAGGTAAGAAAGAAATATTACTATTTTAATAAAAAAATTATAAAATATATTTTATAACAATTTAATTATAATAATATGTGCAAATGAAAATTTAACATTAAAAGTAAACAGTAAAAGATGCAATTTGCATCACAGGTCTCATATGAAAAACCAAGCAAATTTGATTCAAGGACAAAAATTAAAATTAAAAACAAATGTAACACGGTAAACATGATAATAACATAGTGCTTTTTAATATAATATGGTTGAGAAAGAAGAATAATTGCTATATGTAAATCATAACTATATTTTTACTATATATGCAATAACTATTTGTAGCATTTTTTTATAAGAATTTGTTTTATAAAAAAAAATCTTATTGCTATAAAATCTATATTTTTGTACTATATTAATATAGAATTTATATTATATTAGCAAATAGTAGCATTTTATGATACAATTCTATTTATTATGCTACATGAATTTATGTTGCAATTTTATGTTCTAATTTTCAATTATTTGTTTTTGCATGTATAAATATTTTGTATAGATATTAGTTATATGTAATAAATTTAAATAGAGATACTGAATACATTCAATTGAATAATTTTGATATTATTGCATTATTATGCATCTTTTTTATATTATATCACTCTGTTATATTGATTATTCTTTATTATTTCAATACATTACTACATTTTTTTGTAGTGGAAGTAAAGATCGATATAATAAAAAAAGTAACGTGGATACTTGGAATCGTAACCAAAACACTAAACCTTATCAAGATAATAAACCAAATTCCTGGAGGGATGAACGGTCTCAACAGTATGATAATAGACATGATAGAACCGGCGCTTATTCCCATCATGATGGTTTACAGAATGATCGGTCTATTAAAAATGAAATTGCACACAATAGATTTGGCAGAGATAAATCATATCACAAACATGATAAAAATGAAATAAATACATTCAACAGAAGTAGTAGAGAAACCTCGCGAAATAGTGGAAATAAATTTAATGATAACGAACGAAGATACAATCGTAATAATTCTGATAAAGTATGTAGCGATAAGGATTCGGATACTTCGTCTAAAGGTAGTGGTAAACGTGCGAAATGTTTTAACCGTGATGGTTTTAATAATGGACGAGAAGAGAGTTACGACAGTGGAATATCAAACAAATCACAAACTGGAAAGTGGAGTGACAGAAAATCGTCTATGGCTCGTAAGCCTAGCTACAAAAGTGGAAAATTCACTGGTATTTAACATTTAAACATATCACTTTATTTCTCTGTATAATATGAATATTATTTTTATTTAATAATTTTATTAAACATAGGTGACTATAACAGTAATGAGAAATTTAAGGATAAAGAGAATAATACAAACAATGTTTTACATGATCAGGTAATAAATTAAAATATTGATTAACTAGTTTGAATTAATTAGTATTATAAATGTATTTACATTTGAGATTTTAGTTTTTATCAAACATATACATATATATTATTATTTACAGATAAATACTTATGAATCTTGGGATACAGATAATGTTAATAAAAAACTGGAGAATAATATAGTTGTTAATAGAGAATCTCAATTTTCACCAATAAATGTTACTCTTGGATCTATAAAAAATTGCGAAGTAGTATTCATTAACAGTCCATTGGATTTTTTTGTTCAATTAAATCCTGATTGCTTAGAATTAGATACTATTATGGAAAATATAGCTGCAACTTATGAAAATAATGGAAAAACAATGCAAGTTTCTGAGATACAATGTGGTACATGTTGTATTGCTCAATATTCGGAAGATCTTAAGTGGTATAGAGTGGTAATCAAATCTGTAGAAGAAAATAGTGCAACTGTAGAGTTTGTTGATTATGGAAACACAGAATCAGTCGACTTTACAAAAATTAAAGTCATCCAAGAAAAATTTCTGAAACTGCCAATGCAAGCAGTGCGCTGTAAATTACTTGGATTGACTATTGATAAAGAAAACGAACATACGATTTTCTCAGAAAATGTCGAAGGAAAATTATTAGAGATAGAATTTGTTGCCGAAAAAAATGGAGTATACGAAGTACTGTTGCGTGAAATTATCAATGATATACCAAATATTAATTATATAAATGAAGAATTTTGCACAATGCAAGATTTAACAAAAGCAAAAGAAACTATGGCAATTGAAAAAACATTTAAAGCGACGATGGAGAATATACAAGAAGCTACAGATTATGCTCCCATTGATTCAAAATGGCAAACTACTTTTTATGAATCTGGATCCGAATATGATGCTATTGTTACATGGTTCATAAATCCTAACAAATTATATTGTCAACTATTGGCTAAAGAAACAGAATTTAAAGCAATAATGAGTGAAATTCAAAAAACATATACTAACAGAAAACCTGTAACAGATAAATTACAGGTAATTAATAGTTTTAGACACTCTTATTTTATGAAGATTTATTATATTCATTTTTAACACATGTGTAATATATGTATATAGCGAATAAATAAATATAATTATTATTCTAGATTGGTTCAGCGGTGATAGCCATGTTTGCCGAAGATAGAGCTCTTTATCGAGCGGAAGTTATAAATACCAGTGTGCAAAAAGATACATACGTAGTTCAGTATATAGATTTTGGAAATTGCGCAATCGTAAACTTACATAATATATATCCTGTTGAGAAAAAATTCATGCAACTGCCTAAATTAGCAATACAATGTTCCTTGAAAAATATCGTACCTAATAATAATTCAGACTGGTCCAAAACTGATAACAATGCACTCGATAATTGTTTTAATGCTGACAAGTATAAATGCATCTTCCATGATTTTAGTAACAATCAATATACGATTTCATTAATCTATAATGGACAAGATGTAGGTGATATGTTAGTACAGAAGAATCTTGCGGCCTTTGTTACAAAAACTTCAGTTGAAACAATCTGTGGTAAAAGTAAAGGTATTTTAAAATCCATTTAATAAAAAAATCACGCGAGACATTTTATTTTTATAATAAAAGTTTATTATAATATTCCGGATAGTATTAAATATTAGTATATTAAAAACATAAATTTAACATTATATCTCTTACATTTTAGCTCTAGGAACATCTGATACAGAAATAAAAATGCTCAATGATGTAGAGAGAGTAGACATAAGTCTTTTGAGTGGTCAAATTCTGAAAATGAAAGTTTCTAATGTAGAAAGTGTAACCCTATTTCATGTTCAGCTTCTATCAGCCTCAAAATATGAAAAAATTATCCACAATTACATGGCTGATAAAAATACAGAGGTATCATTTAGCATAAATGTATCTTATAAATTACAAATTGCTATCGTATATGTATTATATACTGATCATAAATGTTTCAAAAAAATTAGAAAAATAATTTTATTAAATGTGCATCATATACAAATAATTAAAAGTAGAATTTCAAAGCAAGATATTTTTATTTATGATGCTGCTTTTAAATCTAAATGCCTTTATAAATCTATTTAACCTATTATCCTCCAACTTTTCATTTTCTAACCAATATAAACTAACAGCTTGTCTTAATAACAAGTTGTCTTATAACATCTGCTGTAATGTAATAATTTTTATTAATAAAATTAATAAAAATCTTTTGTATATTTACAACAAGCTTCTCATTAGTTTTTTAAAAAAGATTAAAAAGAAATCTACTAAGTAAACTTAAAATCTTTATATATAAAGAAATATGATTTTTTGGATATTTCATATTTTTAAATTTAATACATTATAATGTGATAAATCAACGTCCAGAATTTTATGCTAAATTATGTCAAGTAGAATTCATAATATTTTTTATAAGTCAAATATTCCTCTGAAATTCTAACTATGTGTATATACATGTACATTTATACAAATATACATACACACATATACATACATATACATATATATATATATATATATATATATATATATATATATAAAATTTTAACTTCATAAAAAACATTTTTAATTTTATTGCACGATGTATGGTATTAATAGCTAAATAATAATTGATTATAATATTATTCTCATGAACGTTCCATTTTTTCATCATAATATTTAAATCTCAGTAATTTAACTGAAGTCAATAACTTAATATTAAATAACTTACATCTTTATCATTCACTTCAATGTATGTGTAATTGATCGCATGAATTCAAGCAAATTATATTTATAAGAAAAAGTTATGATAATGTTAGGTGATGCCGCGATTATCAACCGGCGAGCTATGTCTTGACGCAGGCTGTCTAATCAATGTAAATGGAACATGGAAACGAGCTGTAGTAATTAACTGTTCACGCTCCAAAGAATTTTATGTAAAGCTCATTGATACTGGAATGTGTCAAAAAATCCTGGATGGTGTGAGTCGAATATTCGATCAAATGTCATCATATCATAAAAATTTTTTATAAAAATCTTCCATTTTTCAAATTCGAGCTAATACCATACATCGTTATTACTTGAAATCGTGATATATTAAATCGGTTGATTAGAAATTTCCTTAATTTTTATATTTTTATTAAATTTTTTTTAATATAACAATGTATTTTAGGTTTTGGCTTTACCTGGAGAACTTGCGATTATGCAGAATCAAGCATTGGAATGCTCTTTGCAAAATGTAACAGCATCTTCAGATGCAGATAAACGATTGAAAGAGTTTGTAGGAAAAGAAATACTAGTTATAGTTGAAGAAGTCAACAATAACAGGTTTGTTTGCTTAATGATTGCAAATAAAAAATATCAATGTAAATGGATATGTTCCAATTTTTTTAAATGTTAATATCTTTTGTTTATATAGACTTATCGTGAAACTTTATGACCTCCTTGGCAATGGAATAATGAATACGGAAGAAAAAGTTGAAAAGATACTACCCATATGTTTAATGCCTATTTTAAGTTCTACTCACTTTGTATTTGTCTCATATTTGGAGAATCCTACCAACATCTGGTTGCAACGATACTCAGAGATGGAACTCGATGCTAGATTATTAAAAGATCTTAAAGAATATTACTGTAATTCTGGACAAAAATTGAAGAAACCAGAGATAAATTTGTTATGTGCAGCTAAATGTTTGGAAGATGGAAATTGGTATAGAGGAAAAATCATCAGCTATACCGAAACGACTGCCTGTGTACATTATATTGATTACGGCAATACTGAGGAAATTGCTCTGGAATCGATCATGATTTTAGAACCACAATTTTTTGAACCTCACCAGTTAGCGATAAATGTATCGTTATCGGTAACTCTTAGCGGCACTGAAGACGAACAGCTAAATCTGCTGCAAACTCATTTGATGAATAAAGAATTAACTGCTGTTTTTTATAACGTACATAAGAAATGGATCGTCGATCTGATCGAAAATGGGGAAAAACTCAGCGATAAATTCCGTTCGCTAAATCTGGTGTTGGAAGAACAGACATCTGAACAGACACCGGATTCCCAAACTCACGAAACACCAACGGTTAACAAATTCAATGTATACGTATCTCACGTTGATTCTCCGAGTCAATTCTGGTTACAACGAGTAGATGAGCTCACGTCTCTCAATGAGAAACAAGAACAACTTCAGTTGGAAGTGTCTAATTTTCCGACGATAAATGGTATACTGGAAGAGGGTACTTTGTGCGTTGCTACTTATTCGATCGATAATCTTTGGTATCGCGCCGAGGTATTAGATGGAGATGAGGATATAACAACTGTTCGATTCATAGACTACGGCAACACAGACGTCGTTAATAATAAAGCAGCCTATATTCGACAAATACCGGATGCTTGGAAAAGCTTAGAGAGATTCGCACTAAAATGCAGACTCGATGTTATTCCTGTAGATATGGAGGATTGGAACGAGTCGACTTGCGAGACATTCGAGAATCTAGTAACGTCAGAAACTGCAGAGACTGTTCAGGCTCTAATAATAGCGGATACTGTGCCTAAACGTGTAGAACTGTTCATAAATGACAAAAGCGTCAGCGAGATGTTGGTTGAGGAAAAGCTTGCCATCATGATCAACACCGAGCAAGAGCCTGTGGACGAGATAGTTGATCTCGAACTGGATCCACATTCCGCTTTCGTGTGTCATATTAATTCGCCGAATGAATTTTGGGTTCAAGAGGAGAAATCAGTTGCTGATTTGGAAGTGATGGCAGACAGATTCATAGTCGCTGATATGTTCCCGAAAATTGATGATGTGAAAGAGGATTTGCTGTGCGTCGCTAAATATCCCGATGACGAGCAATGGTATAGGGCGCGCGTAATCTCTCACGATAACAACGGAAACACGCAAGTCATATATATAGACTACGGGAATTCTGCTGTGTCGACTGAAATTCGCGCCATTCCAGAAGATCTGGCGATTATACCGCCCTTGTCACGCAAATGCTGTTTACAATTGCCACCGCAAATTAAAGAATGGTCGGAGCAGGCTTGCGAAGAATTCTTCAAGTTGGCCGCAGATGGTGCGACCATTTTCCTATTAGACGTGTTGAAGGAGCAAGAGGTATCATTGGTGAAGTTAACACTGGACGGTCAGAACGTTGCCGATATTCTTGCGAGTATGTGCGAGCAACACTTACCGGTTATCGAAGAAAGATTACCACCGCTAGGCGAGGAAAATTCGCCAAACGTGGTAGTCAGTCATATTAACAGCCCGAACGAGTTTTGGATCCAAGCCGAGAGTAGTATAAGCGAACTAGAAGTAATGTCAGATCGTCTGCGAGACGCAGAGAGTTTCCTCGCTTTGAACAATCTCGATATTGGCACGATCTGTGCCGCTCGATATCCGGAAGATGGATATTGGTACAGGGCGAAGATAATTGCACATTGCGAGACAGGCACAGAAGTTTTATATATGGATTATGGTAATTCCGCAGTGACAGAAGAATTGAGGATACTCCCCGAGGATATTGTGAATATTCCCATTTTATCGAAACGATGCACGCTCGAGAAGCCAAGCCACGTTGCTACGTGGAGCGAGGAAGCTTGTGACAAGTTTAAAGAATTAGCTGCTGAAGGAGCCACTATGTTCCAATTTGAAAATCTTGATGAAGATGATCCAATGCATGTTCGATTAAATCTCAATGGAACGAGCGTTGTTGATCTTTTATTAGCTACATTCGAAAATATTCCTACGGAAATTGGAGAGATAATGGAAAAATCACCAGAAGAAGAGATTATTTCTATTACAAAGGAAAAACAAGCAATAGTCCAAGAGGATCACGAATTAGTAAATAACAGTGAAGAAACTTTAAATTTAGATCAGGAAGCTCAAGAAGAACAAACATCCAATCAAATAGATAATCTAGATTGCATTAATCAAGTCGTGAAAACAGAAAAGAATGAAAATGGAACTGACGAAGAAGTATTTAATAAATCATTTATAAATTCTGATATAAATGAGGGAAACGAATGTAATGAAGAACAACAGAAAAGCAAGAGCTTGGATGAAATCGAAGAAAAAAAGAATGACAAATCTGAAATTACGATAGTTAAATGTACTTCAAAAGTGGAAGAAATATCAGAAGATATAGTCGAAACGAATAAAGATATAGATATCGCTACGAATGAAGCGATATCTAACGAAGCGGTGACTTCTACTATATCATGTTTTAAAGAATCCTTGCATGTAACAGAGCTTAGCGTTGATGAGATAGTTGGAAGTATGTTAAGAGACACGATTGATGATATAGAATCGCGAATTGATCATACAAATCTATCGATCACAAATGAAATGCAATTATCTGATATCGCGCAAATTGCCGAGCAACAAGAATTACTATCTCAAACACAATCTATAGATATAAATAACTCTTCAGATACCAATACAGATATACAGATCTTAGAAGTACACGCAACAAGAGATGACTCGGAAGCTACGGATAAGATTCCAAAAATTTTACCAATAACGAACGAATCGCAATTTCAGGATGTTGTACAACTTAATAATAATCAAGTCGAGGAGCAAAAAGTATATGTTGAGTTGCAGCTTGGTGCAAACGAACCTTCGAATGACTTCCAAATTTTAAAAACAATATCATTGCAGAAAGAAAAAGAAAATTTGGAGCAGAGACAAGAAAGTCCAACGAAGAGCGAGACTATTCCTGAAAGCATAGACAACAGTAATGATTTAGAAATTCAATCCAATAACGTAGATACGGATAATGATTTCAACACTTCCTCAAAATCGACATGTACGGTAAAAACGGCACAAACGACGCCGTGCGTAATTAAGACTGATTCATCTGAGCAACACAATTATTCGAGAAGACGATCAGAAGACAAGACAATTCCCGAATGTATCTCTAAAGACGAGTCACCCAGCGGTTCTAGAAAGCGTCCTGTAACACCAAAGACACCACATTCAGAAAAACTCGTGGCTGGTGCCGTGAATCCATTTGTGCAGTCAATACCCGATAATATGAACGAAGAGGATGAAATACTTACTGTCTCTGTAGAGAACAACATTCCTAAATATATGACATAGTTTAAATGTAGCGGACATGTATTGCAAATGTATATATAGACGTATAACGTATATACATTTGTAGTATAAAAAAAATGCAGATTTCTTACAGACAAATCTTACATTTTTTTTTTTACTCTTATTTCTCGTTTTTTTTCCACTGTTTATATAAATATATACTATAGATGGAGAAAGAAAAGTTATATCGCCATATACGCAATATACATGGTGATCGCGATTTGTTTTTTTTTTTCTCTTTTTATATAAATCTGCCGCGTTTCCTATGAATCTACATATTGCCGCTACAATGCACATTAGGCCATCAGGTATGCGACCAAAGATTAATTCATCTAATAATCTAATTGACTCATATTTACATTGTTCTTTTTTACGTTTTATGCTAATACTCGCCTGTGATACCAGTAGTGATCACACACAATTTTTCTTAATATTCATAATTTTTTTAAGTTGCAATAAATTTAGTAACCCACTTTGTTTTCAGTTTCAAATAATTGAATTTCTTTATGTAACTTTCTAATTTTGCAAATTATATGCGATATATAACAGGCTACTTTTGACTAAACGAGATATAAACAAAACAAAACTAAATGTTTTATTTGTTTGACATATGTCTTATTACCAATTACATTACACGCATAACGTAACTGCGACAATTTTTTAAATATTTCTAAAGAGTAAAATGGATTAATCATTTTTTTTTTGTAAATGTACAATTATAAAAATAAATAAATATTTAGAAATTATTACTTTTATAATATAATTACATAGTATAACTTACATAATATCAAACATGATTCTGCAAATTCGACTGAACATTATAAAAAGATAGCTTCGCGATATATATTTGACTCTATATGTATATATATATATATATATATATATATATATATATATATATATATTTGACTATATATATTTGACTATATATTTGACTATATATATATATATATATTTTTTTTTTAATCCAAGTTTTAAATAATTACATATTATATGTAATTATTTAAAACTTGAATTAAAAACTGCATATTTTGCGTCGTAACTACGTTATGTACATTTTCCATATGTAATGAAATTTTGTATTGGATCAATTTGTGAATTTATTTCTAAATTTCATATATATAATAATTTCATAAATATAAGCGTCAGATATTACTCTATATCGTTCTCTTCTTACAATATTTTGTATATTAACGTTAATATAATATGTTTATAGCAGGTAGTAGGTGAGGCTGTATAAATATTTGTATTCTCTGCTAAAATATTTTTTCTAATAAACACTTTAAAATGCATACTATCACGATTATCCATATATTTAATTAAATTCACAATTTTGTAATAATGTAAATTTTTTCATTATCAGTTTATATTTAAATTTTGAAATATTTTGTTACATTGTTTATATACATATACATATATAAATCTGCAGTAAATTTCTTTAGATTCATTTTTTCAATTTTCTTGTGTAATATTTCATTTTGGAGTAATCTTCCGCAAATTTCTTCTCTTGATGCGACTTCGACGTTCTCTTGCTTTATTAAAAATTTAATTAAAATATAGATGATTTGCAATTATAATAAAAACATATTTCAATTGTATATATTTTGCCATAAATATTAAATTTTATTTTTATATATTTTAAACTTTACATTAAAAAAAATAAATTTAAGGCGCTATGTAGTCAAATGTATTTTGTGAAGAAGAAAATTCAAACTCTCAAATTTATAATTAAATTTTATCACATTTTGAAATCTTATAGAAGAGATAATGAGTAATAGATCTTTACTTTTTTGTCTGGCGATCATTAAATTTCCTTTCATACTCGTGTTGTAATTGTCTTGTCTCATTTTAGCAAGAAATTCGCGCGCCAGCGCAATTTCGTCCTCCAAATACCATCGCAAAGGACCTCGACATCGCTTGCAACGTCCCAAATAAGCTATTCCTTTGGCTTCAAGAATTCTTCTTTGAATGGGAAACGGTGGCCGACCGATATCCTGAACACGGAACTTTACACCTGGTCCGCCGTTATTTAGGATTACATCCGTCAAAGAGGACACGAAGGGCGGATTTCGCATGTTGTAGCGTTTCTCAGGATCTTGAGATTTCTCTTCGCAACAAAATCCATATGGTTTCTGCGGCAGCTGCGCACGTGGTAGTGTTGCGAGAATTCGTTTGCTTACTTTCTTCATATTATCATAATTTTCTTCAATCAATATTGTATATTGAATATTTTAAAATCCTTAGCAATTATCCTTTTTTGAATATATACATTCTGTTTCAAAGAATTTTTTTTTCACCACGGTTGATATTGCTGATTGAAGAATCACATTATTGATTATAATTTTGTAAAATATTCTTTTGATTTGAATTAGTATTAGTGAGAAACAATTGAACAGAGCCTAATCATATACTAAATGAAAAATATTTATTTATGTCACTCTGTTGAGAAAGCTTATTTCTTTTATCTTTCTTTTGACCTCTGTTTTCATATTTTTAAGAAAAACGCAACCATATATTTTACTTAAAAAACTTTATTTATAAATAAGATATATTCAATTTAAATTTAAATTAACGTAAATAATAGTTTTTATATAAGGAACAACTTATATAAAAAACATTACGTTAATTTAAATTTGAATTGAATATATCTTATTTATAAATAAAATTTTTTTAAGTAAAATATATGATTGCGTTTTTTCTTAAAAATATGAAAACAGAGATCAAAAGAAAGATAAAAGAAATAAGAAGGTTTCTCTTATAACTTATAAAGAGAATAAAACTATTTTAAATATGATAATTTCTTCGAAAAAGAAATATATTTTGGATAATTTTAATTTCTTCATTAAAAATAATTCAGTCATTCAATACATGTAATCATGATCATATGTTCTATCAACATGAAATTTGAATATTTTAAATTTACTTATTTGCGTTCAAAAATCTACTAAATATACTCCTATTCAATTGACCAATCAGAGCGAAGAAATCTTTTGCTTTGATTAGCCAATCAAAAGTTACTGTACTCTGAAGAATGGTTTTTCGAACGTAACCTTGAGAAGGAATGGCGTAGAATTTTGAAGTGTACTTCTCTTGTGTCTTTGAAGAATCCTATTTTTCATTAAAATACTCGCATTTTATATAACATCGTCGTTTTGTACAAGGAGTGTACACGACTAATTCCCTTACATAAATATATCATGCAATATTGTGAAGCTCTCATTAAAGGTTAAGTTAATATCGTGACACGATGCAAACGTGATTCGATCTACAATTTGAATTATGAATTCATCTACCTTATCACCGAGCACTTTGGGACACTCAACGGGACAAAGGACACCGGAATCACAGGACTCGGAACTAACATCTAGTGCAACTCAAACATCTAAGATTTTAAATCAGATGAAAGCCGAATTACAGGAACAGAAGCAGCGCAAACAATTTCTCAAAGAACTGCATGCCAAGCGTGTACAATCCTTGCGGAAAGAATTAGATTATCTTAAGGCAACAGAGTGGAGATATCAACCCATAGATCGGTAAATGCTTATTTTTTCTTTTTCTTTTACTATTTATGCCTTTTACTATTTACTTTTTTTATTTTTCTGTTTTTTTTTTTTTTTTTCTAATTTTATATGAACTATTTTATATGAGTTATTTACATCAAATGCAAATTAGATCTCCTATTGATTTACATTTACAGGTACTTAGATAGGAGTCAGAGAAGTTAAATATGCTGTCGTTAATTTATAACGGATTTCGATATGCTCTTAACTATATGTATTTGACTAAACCTAAGAAAGAAGATACAGATGAGGTCATATCTCGCATAGAACATGCAAAGAGAGATGTGGATTTGGTGGATGCGAAAAGAGGGAAAAAAGAAAATACAAAGGAAGAAGATAAATTGAATAAAGGATGTTATTACAAAACAGGACATATCACTTATGTCGATAGTAACCATGTTGTCATAGATGATTGTTATACATACGAAAAAAATGATGACATGACCAGCAACCTGAAAGTAGGTGATAAAATTTACTACGTGATGTATCTACTAGATTCGAACGCGGAACCGAAAGTACGAAAAATTATCTCTATAATAAATGATACTTGGGATAATGCAAATGCAAAGTCAGAGAAACACACTCATATGATAGAAAGAAATATAGTCGCCAAAGTAACGAAACGCGAAGGCCGAATTGCTGTTGTTGAACCATATAATATTCGTATTGACTTAAGCAAAGTACAATCTGACTTTGTTCCCATGATTGGCGATTGGTTAACAATAGAGTCCTTTGTTGAAGTAAATAGCAATTCCACAGATTTGAGTGGCGAAGTCTTAGAGGTGGATAGAATCAAATCATTACGATCTAAACTAGACATTGGAGTGATATCAAAATATGATCGGCATAATGAAGTAGGGGTAATCGATAAGCGTGTGATATTTCATAAGCGTGCATGTGAACCAGGGTACATTCCTCACATTGGTGATAAAGTGGTGAGCGAAAGCATAGAAAGTGATCAAGGACAATATAGTTGGAGATCAATAACTATTGTTCCATTAATTCAGGCAAGAGAATTTAATTATTATATTATATATATATATACATATATATTTACATATAATATAAATTTCTAAGTATTTTTATTTTATTTTTTTTTTCCAGCCTTCAAAGAAATTCACTGAATTACCAGTTGCAATTAATTTCTCTCCAACATTATCAGATATCAATGATTTGCTACAAAACAAATATGGTATTGTTATAGATGATAATTTAGAATTCAATTTGAATATAGAAGAAGAAAACACTTTGACAGTTTCTATACAAAATAATGGCAGTTATGCTCATATGTTGAAAGATGGCTCCTTCATGTCACAAAAGACTGTGTCTCAGCTGTCATTAGAATCGCCGATCAATAAAAATACAATAATAAATCCTTCTAAGAATGTTACATATACATTTAAATGTAAAGCACAATTTGTCGGCATATCCGAAGAGCTGTTTATCTTTAACTTTAAAGATTTCAAAATTGGTAGAATGTTTCATATAAATGTTAATGCGAAAAACATTTCACAAAAGACTGATTCTGAGTCTGTTAAACATAAATATAGCCATAAAATTAATATAGCTGATTTGAAGGAATTAAACGAAATTACATGTATCCCTGGTATAAAGCCGTATAAATCACCTGCATTTATCCAAGTGCGTAACGGAATATTCAAAATACCTCAATACATTTGGAACGCGGTTTTGGATATCATACAGAGCGAAAAATCACAAATTGAACAAGAAGTCGCTATTGGAAATCAGATACCTTGTCTTCTGAAACCTCTTTCTTTTGAAATATATAAGGAACGTTTCCACGCTTTATTATATCTTGAGGAAATAAGTCAAATACTCAATTTGCAACAATACAGTATGGAAAGTGCAGTCATGCGACAACACGTGGATTATCTCGTACTCGAGGTACCAGGATTAGCGGAAAAACGACCTTCTCTTCTTGTTGGTGATAGAGCTATAGTATCTTTCAAATGGGATAGCTCTCAAGGTAATATATTTAAAAGACTTCATAAATTTCTACTTTTTTATATCAATTCATATGCATAAAAATAATTTACAAACAGCTCAGACATACATATATATAGACACACACACATATTATCGAGATTTAAAAAGTAATTGTAAGATTATTTTTAATAGATCATATTGTAAGATATATATATATATATATATATATATATATATATATATATAAATAATGCTTATGCCTTTAATTTTTTTTTAGGAGAGCTAAAATACGAAGGTTTTATTCACAGAATCACAGGCACCGAGATTTTTTTAAAATTTAATGAAAAATTTCATCAAGAGTACAATAGAGAAGCTTGTCATATAACATTTAAATGCTCACAGACTACTATGCATCGTTGTCACAATGCTGTTAACTTAGCTCTCAATCGTCTCGGATCTGATTTTCTGTTTCCTACCAAAGTGGTGCAAAAAGAGCCACAGTTTTATTTGGAAGAATATGACATCAAGGAAAAGTCTAATCATACACAAGTTTATCACAAACACAATGTATCTGTCTCCTCTAACAATATAACTTCTATTAATGATACAGATGATATAATCAAGATATCTTCAAAAATGTCAGTAGCAGATAGACTTTTCCCCAATAAACCTACTGAATTATTATCATTCGAAGAAACACAAATGTCGAATGTAAAAATAGAAACAAATCAGAATTTTAAAACAAATTTATCAAGGAATACCAATGATAATAAAACTAACATTGCTAATACCACAATTTCAAGTAAAATGGATGAAACAATCATTGATAATGAAATAGAATCATATATTGCTCAGATAAAAAAACGAAAATTAAATTGGTTCAATAAAAAGTTAAATTATTATCAAAAAGAAGCTGTAAAGAATATAATACAAGGATTAGCGCGTCCATTACCCTATATAATATTTGGCCCACCTGGAACAGGAAAAACAGTAACTTTGTGCGAGACAATTTTACAAATTCTTGCTGTGATACCTGAAAGCAGACTTCTTGTAGCAACTCCATCAAACAGTTCGGCAAATTTAATCACAGAACGCTTGTTGGATAGCAACATACTTAAGCCTGGTGATTTGGTACGACTTTTTTTGTATAAATCTTATCATTTAACATTTAACATGATCTAGCATGATATTTAAATCCTACTAATTATATATTTATTTTCTCAATAATTAAATTTCTATTTGCAAAATTATTACAATTTTTACAATATTCTGATCGCTTGAAAGTAAAAATGCGAGACACAAAGAGAAAGTCATGTCAGATCATTATTAAATATTTTATCTTTTATTATATTTGTACTCATTGTCATATCCATTTTATAGGTTCGATTGATAGCTCATCATTGTTTGGATGATGATTCTATTCCTGAAAAATTATTACCTTATTGCGCTACGGCAGAATTAGCCGCAGAAGGTACGTCCAGTCGTTTTTATTGTCGCGAAGATGGAACGAAAATGAACTGTACCATGTCGGTTCTGGGTCGTCATAGAATTACTGTTGGCACTTGCAGTACTCTGGGAGTACTATATAACATGGGTTTTCCCCGTGGACATTTCTCGCATGTCCTAGTCGACGAGGCAGGTCAAGCGACCGAGCCGGAGATCATGATTCCCCTAAATTTCATTCATTCCGATCATGGCCAGGTGGTCCTCGCGGGCGATCCAATGCAACTCGGACCCGTCACACAGAGTAAATTAGCGATACATTTTGGATTGAGCGAATCGTTTCTATCGAGACTATTACAACAATTTCCTTACCAGAGAGATCCAAAAGGATTCGAGGAATCTTGTTACGATCCTAGGCTCGTCACAAAACTCATTATGAACTATCGAAGTTTACCGGAGATATTGGAGCTACCAAATTCGCTGTTTTATGATTCAGAATTACAATCGCAAGTATGTATGTACGAATTATCTAAACTCTATCTTTCGTTAATTAACCGCAATTAATTTTTTAGATATCATCTGAAAACAGTAAAGAAGCTGAACTATTGGAAATGTTAAGAGCGGAACTACCTGAGAGAGACGGATCACCACCGGCCGTAGTTTTTCACGGGGTCAATGGTGAAAACCATCGAGATATTGAGAGTCCAAGTTGGTATAATCTTGAAGAAGCAACACAAGTCTATCTCTATTTATTAAAGCTATACAAATATGGACTTAAATCGGATGACATAGGAATTATAACTCCTTATCAGAAGCAGGTAAACAGATATTTTGAAGAATTTTCTCATTTATTATAAAAATCTTCAATATATTTTTTCTTTTTCTCCCAATGAAGGTACTGCAAATTAGAGATCTGTTATTGGAATTAGATCTTAAATTACCAAAAATCAGCAGTGTAGAAGGATTTCAAGGCCAAGAAAGAAATGTAATTATTCTATCAACTGTTAGATCATGTAATCATTTAGTTGACGAGGACATTAAGTATACTCTAGGATTCATCGCTTCGCCGAAAAGACTTAATGTTGCGATTACTCGTGCTCGTGCTTTGCTCATTATTTTGGGAAATCCAAAATTACTCGCTTCAGACCCATATTGGAGAAGTATTCTGACATATTGTATTGATCATGGTGCATATACGGGATGTAATTTTTTACCTTCATACATAACAAATCAATAATATTTCACAATACATAAAAGTTATAATTCTAATCATAAATGTCATATATATTAATATATAATATATTTGTTAATATAACATGTATATAATTATCATTTTACACAATTACATTTATATATTTCACGTAATTATACACACAGTTATATACACACAATCACATAAAATATATAATATAATGTAATATATACAATATATTAACAAAACATATAACATTTATGATTAGCAAATAGCAATGAGTCTTGTACATTACATAAGAAAACAACCAAAACAACAAAACCATTGACATTTAATAAATGGAAATTATAAGTTATTGAAATTCTTAATTAAATGCAATCTCATTTTTTTTAATTTTTTGAGAACTTTGTATGTTAGCATAGAATATTGTAAGACAAAAACTAATTTGTAGTCTTAAGTGAAAAGTGGGATTTATGAAGATATGGACATTGTGTACTGATGTAATATTTTCTCATATAAAATGTTTTAGATTTATTATTTGTTGCACAATATAGACAGAGACAATTCCAAAAATTGACAAAATAGCAGCAAATAAATATATATATATATATATCATTCATAATGTCATTTTTTAGACTTAAGAGACAAATTGTCTCAAGTCATATTACTGCTACAGTTAAAGGTGGAATACTCCTTTTGGATATTGCTTCTCCATGTATAAAGTTGTCATAAATCTAAATTCCACGAGTGTTGATACTGAAATGAAAAAAGAAATCGTTTGAAAAATTCGTACAAATGCAAGGAAAACATTTCAAAATATCAAACTTTTACGATTAACGATTATACAGCAAAACGATGTTATATATAAAATCTCATCTTTAACCTAATTGACAAAGGGATAATATAACAAAGAGATGATTGTTCAATATAACTTGCACTTATATGTGAAGACAATACAATAGACACACATGCTTTGAAATGATATATTAATTACAAAAGTTTTTTTTAGACGTTAGATTTAATTAAATGAATTATTATGTTCGAAACATTGAGTTAATGTTTATGATTGTATGTTAATATGTATAATCTAAATATATAAAATTTTTTTTTATTTATTGCAATAAGTTATACATTAAGTAAATATGACACCGCGCGTAATATGATTGTGAATGATACTGACCTCTGTTAGTTCCACACTATACTTACTGAGTCTTGATTCTTCGCTTTTAGTTTTCTCTCAATTAAATTCTCTAATGCCTCGCTTCGCACACTCAAAGTCTCGATCTTCTCAACCAATTGTTGATATGGCGATGCGGGCTGCCCGCCCATTACTACGTGTCCCAATTTGCTGTCGATCTTAGCATCTAAGCGTGCGTTACGAATTAAGTTCACAATCCAGCATTCTGCTACATCCGCCTTCATATTCAATTTTTCCGCAAGCATTCTATAAATTAGATAAAAATAATTTAATTGTATGTTTTTATGTTTCAATAATGCAAAAATGTAGAAAGATTACATACTGAATACTAATACATTGATGAATTCTGCAGAATGTCTCGAAAATCATCAATCGTGCATTTTCTACAAATTCATTCAGTAAAGCGATTAAAAAGAAATCGTTAAAGACAACAGTCTGGCATTCTTGTAATTTCTGCCGAGCGCCATCAAAATCGAAATTAACATATAAGTGCTCAAGAAATTCTGTGATGGGATCTCGATAGGTATAAGATTCCTATTATGTAAAAATAAAAAAATTTTAGTTAAATATTAAATATCTTTCTTTATCTGCATATGGAGCATTTCATTTATATGTAATGTATTAAAAATCACGCAATTTCTTATTTCTTATAAATCCACAAATTTGGAATCCTATTTTTTTCTTAACAAAAATTTAATTAAACATATTTTCTTTTTTTTTCACAAATTTTCTTTATCAGAATTCATTATTTACTAGAAGAAGCTTGATTACAAATAATGAGTGATAAATTTTTATATATGCTCCATTTAAAGAAATAAGATTTCAAGATTCAAACCTGCTGTATCACTTTTACAAGATCCTTTAAAATAGAACGCCGAGAACGATTGACAATAACTGCAGCAGCCAAGTAACGGAGTATGTGTGGACACATTGTTTGAATAGCATTTAAATAACTGTAACAAAATATAAGCATCCCTTAGCTTCTTTCTAAATTTATTAAAAATATAAAATTTTTTTTTAATTGTACATACTGTGGCCGATAAAGAAACATCTCGATAATCAGATCTCTGCCTTTCACATGATTGAAGAACACAAACAGACTCCAGTGAATGAGCCATGTGCGTTGTTGCAGTACTTGCAGTGAATTACCAATAACATTACTGTCAATATATTCTCGTAATTTGTTTACATCCTCTAATGCTGTTTCCCAATTTTGTACAAGAATCTCTGATGCCAATTTTCCCCACAAGACATTCAAGTAATTCTGAAAAAAAAAATTAAAAAATTAAATATATATTTTTAACTATATTATATATATATATTTTTTTTAATTTATAAAAACTAATACCTTATCAGTAGGAGGCATAATCAGCATATAAAAGTACAAATATGATGTAGAGACAGAATAATTGCCACACTCATAGCGATATTTTGCTAGCTTTACAAAGCTATCCATCATTTCTACCCTAAACTATAAAATACAAATAAAGTTAGATCATAAAATCAATAAAATAAGTTTTTATTTCCAATATTTTATCATTTTATTAATTGATATATATTAGATGTTATATATTTTTATTATTTAGTGTATTTTACTCACATCTGATTCTTGAGTGAGATAATTATTAAGCGCTTTGGAATCACGCATATTTTCCATCTTCTTCATAACTTCCTCGTTATTCATAAGAGCTAGAACTACTGAGACATTTTGCTGAAGTATACTGAGCTCTTGGAGTACATCGGCACGTCTGACTTTTATCTCCTGCAACAGATACATTGCTCTAACTTATAATCATTGCATACATGATTGCACAATTGTATGCTTAATGGCATATATGCAGTATGGTAAAGCGTACATCCGGTACTTCCACATTCGGATACAACTGTTTCCTAATGTCAATGGTGTAGTCAATCATATTTGTTTTACTGAGAATATTGAGTTTTACTTGCAACAACTCATCTTCGTCATAAATCTGCAACACATCACATGTGACATAACCAAAATATCATGACGCATGGCAACGTCTAGTTTTCACATCGTACCTGTTTCGCCGATAAGAATTCCAGCAGAGGAAATACCAAGTGGCGATCCAAATATTGACCTATACGAGACGTTAAATCAAACTTTGCCATCGTGTTTTCGCCACGTTACTCTATGAATGACGGGACACGAAGAGACAATTTAACACATGGCAAACGACGAGCTTGCCAGCTTGAAGTTCACAACGACTTGTGAACCTCCTTCACTTCACAGAGGTTCACGCGGAAGCGTCACGATCTACAATAGATAATTTAAACCCTAAGCCTTAAGAAATTGGCCAATCATAGCCGAGTATTCTCTTCATACTTGACTGAGATTGGTCAATCTTTTAGGTCCGGTTCCACAACTCGAGTTAATCCGAGTTTAATACGTTAAACTGGGTCCTGATCGGTCCATTCACTACTTAAACTCGGATTAACTGGATTGTGGAACTGGGCCTTAAGGTTTAAGGCTTTAAGCCTGCGGCACGTACGATTTTTCGTACTAGATCGCATGTGAGCGTCTTAATTGACCAATCGTAATTTCGATATTAAAGAATTGTCAAATCATCGTAATGCTCGCATGCAATCCAGCATGAGAGAACGCATCGAAACAAGCATCGTGTGCCACTGGTTTAAATTATTTATTGTAAACCCGGTCATACAGTCAAGTATGAAGAGAATACTCGACTGTGATTGGTCAATTTCTTAAGGCTTAATTTACCTATTGTAGATCGCGAGACTTAACTATAGCCAATTATATCGACTTGTGCCTTGGGTAACCAGTAACGATTGACCAATCAGAGAGAATTCTATTTTGAATTGACCAATTGGCGACGTGAGCTGCGGTCGGGAAGACGTTCCAGATGCTTTGAAACATCATTCTATCAGAGAGAAAACTATAAATAAAAAAATAGCTACTATACATGCAAGAGTGATTGCGCATGCGTGAAAGAAAATAATCTCCCACTACTTGGGATCTGGGATATACATATAGGAAAATATTTGAGAGTAAAATGGAGCTTTCGTGATTTCTCTTAGAATTTTAGGTGTTTTCTATTGACAAGAAGAAACTTGAATTTGTCAAAAAATGCCACCGAAAAAGGCACCGGCACCGAGCAAAAAGGCGGATCAAAAAAAAAAAGAAAAGGTTATTGAGGTAAGAAGCGAATGCCGTTTTCCATCTCTAACCAAAAAATTCTAGATTTCCACATGTTTCTCTTAAATAACCTGTGGAACTGTGATTATAATTTATATTCTATCATTTATTAATATGTATGAAATGTGCTCTTATTAAAGCTTGGACCTTTTTTTTTTTTTTAAGGACAAAACATTTGGTATAAAAAATAAAAAGGGTGCCAAGCAGCAAAAATTTATTCAGCAAGTTGAAAAACAAGTGAAATCGGGCGGCGTAAATCCGCGGAAGCTCGAGGATCCTAATGTCAAAAAATTGGAAAAAGAGAAAAAGCTAAAGGAACAAAAAGAATTGGCACTTATTTTTAAACCAGTTCAAACACAAAAAATAGATAAAGGTACTGCATATATACCTTTGGTGATGAAGTAAGAAGTTATGAAATACTACGAGATAGATGTATTTTTCAAGTAAAAAGAAAGCACTACGATAAAACAATATTTACAGGCACAGATCCCAAGTCTGTTGTGTGTGCATTTTTCAAACAAGGACAATGTACAAAGGGAGATAAATGTAAATTCTCTCATGATTTGAGCATTGAACGAAAAGCAGAGAAACGTTCATTGTATTGCGATATGAGAGATGATGATAAGGAAGAAGATACAATGGATAAATGGGATGAAGATAAGCTGAAAGAAGTTGTAGAAAAAAAACATGGTGGTGGCAATCGTCCTACTACCGACATTGTAAGTTATGTTAATAGTTAATTAGCATTTTTTTAAATTAATAAAAATTTATTGGAAATTTTGTTCAAGAAAAAAATAAAGTCAAATACTTTTCCTTGTTAGATCTGCAAACATTTCTTAGAAGCAGTAGAAAAAGCAAAATATGGTTGGTTCTGGGAATGTCCATCTGGTCAGAAGTGTATTTATAGGCATGCTTTACCTCCTGGATTTGTCTTAAAAAAAGATAAAAAGAAAGAAGATAAGAAGAATGAAATATCCTTGGAAGATTTAATAGAAAAAGAAAGGGCTAATTTGGGACCTAACCAAGTATGAATATTACATTAAGTAGGAATTTTTAATGCAAAATTAAATTTTACATAAAACGCAATATTCTGATAATATTTTCATGTAATAAAAAATTTCAACAGACCAAGATAACATTGGAGACATTCCTAGCTTGGAAAAAGAGAAAATTGAAAGAAAAAGAAGAACAGGCCATCAAAGATGAAGAAAAGAAGAGAAATGATTATAAAGCTGGTCGCCAAATTGGCATATCAGGAAGAGAAATGTTTTACTTCAATCCAGATCTTGCAACTGGAGATGGTAAGATGTTCGAGAGATATGACTTGTTTAAATTCTTCCTATAATAAATTTAATTTATTATTTAAATCGTAGGTATTGATGAAGGAGATGAAGCAATATCTAGTTATGTTCGTGAAGATGACGATTCCGAGGATGTACAATATAGAGAACTCGATATGGAACGTCTTGCTTTTGAAGCTAGCGAAATTGATTCTAATGGTATCACTGTGGCTACTGTAGATCGGTTAAAAGTCAACAATGTCACAGATAACAATAAGGATATTACAGGTTATAATTATATCACTTGATATTAATATATTCATAGTTTGTTAGTAAATATTTCAAATTCAAAAACATTGTGATTTATGTATAAATTAGGATATGATAGAATTTTAGAAGTCTGTAAATTATTATATAACTATTAATATCTTTATTATCCATTAATTATTGCTTTTCTAAATATTCAAGAAATTTTTAATCTTGTTAATAAAACATTAATATACAACGAATATATTAGTTATAATAATGTATTGCTGGATAATTAATACAAAAATTTTTATTCTAGTGACTCTGGAAGAGGGTGCCGCAGCAGTGGCTATTAACGAAAACCTCTTCATAGAGGAAGATTTAGAAGGTTTGGAAGAAGAATTGGGGGACCTGGACTTGGAGGAGTAATCCAGTTGTCCCGATCGTGCATCTCTCCTCACTCTACATCATGTTGCTCCTGTGTTTTATCTCTTTTAATACATATTGCTCAGATAACCATTAGCCTCAAATGTGATGTACTGTATATTAATATAATTTGCATCCTATTCTCACACAATGTTGCATCATCAATATTTCAGCATCAGTGTTGCATCTATGTATTCAGGTATGTGTGCAAAGAGCTGGTCTCACATCAACCATCCAGAATATGTAGCATAATAACTTAATATCAATTCAATTATTATCTTCGAAAATTAAATGTCTTTTTATAGTGTAGAGATTATTCAATGATTACAATATCTGTGAATACCACAATATTCAATGCTATATATATGAAATAGTACATATGCATATATTATTTTTATAATATTTCTATGTATGTATATAATTTTTCTTGACAAAAATAGAGGAAAACTATAGCGAGAATTTAAATCTGACATGTTAGTAAAACAAAATTTGGCTTTTTATCCATTGGTTTATTATGAATAGAGAATATCTGGAATTTTAATATAGACTTTAAAAATTTTTTACTCTTATTAATCCATATATCTAAATTTTCTATAAATATAATTCAAATAAAAAAATACTATTGATTGGAAAAAAATTAAAGTTACTTTTAATATGTCATTAGGCGTGTTCGGAAATCTTACTCTTGGAATAAGGTAGCATTTAAATGATCAACCAGATTCAAAAGAAGAAGAGATTTCTTTATTCTGATTGGTCGATTCAATGCTATTTTCACAAATAGAATTTTCGAATCATCCTTAACCTATAGTAACTTCATGCCCCATGCTTCTATGCACGCGTGAAACGGAACGCACCCTATGAATCCCATCATCTCTCTTGACATTAGGTATATTTTGTACGGCGTTCTACATAAATTTAACGTATATGTTATTTTTTTATACTAATCGTTCTTTAATAAGAATTCTTTTGAATTTCCAACAAATTCTCTTTTATATGCCTCTTACTTGTACTTATTTGATCCACAGTCAATTGATATAGGTTAGAAAATTTGATCACGTCAACAGAACTGACATCAATAGAAAACATGGATAGTAGTAAGTATTTTCCATTTGTGCGCTTCTTTTTTCGTATATTTAGAATTATTCTAAATTTCCAAAACTATAATTGAATTAATTTGTTGTCTTTTTTTTTTTTTTAGACACGGACGATGATAGCGTTTCAAGTAATGAAGATATGAAACTGAGAACAACAGATCCATTCAATAATTATTCTCAAGATCATCCAAATGATTCCAGTTACTCTGGGATGCGCAATATAATATCTGCTATTGATAATGATGATAATTATTTAAGTCACAAAAAAATATCTAGGTCTAGACATTCTTCCTCCTCTTCATCCGACGATAATAATGATCAACAATACAGTAATTTACCAAAATATGAGTACGAAATGAATGTTAGCAATTACAGTGAAAACATGTGCAAACATAGGAATAAAAGAAAAAAATTAAAGAACGAAGATGCAATTGATAGTATAAAGAAAGAAAAATCTGCAGAAATTGAGTTAGCTAATAATATGCTTATCTATGACAGCAAAAATAATCTATCTCATACCTCAAAAGCTCAAAATATGATGAAAAAAATGGGATACAAGCCAGGAAAAGGTCTTGGAAAAGATGATCAAGGTCGTGTAGACCCAATAGAAGCAATTACGCAACGAGGTCGAAGAGGATTTGGGCACTATGTACCAGGCCTAAAAGAAGCGAGTCTTAAATGGAATCCTGAAGAAGAAGAAATAAAAGCTGTAGAAGATATTGAATGGTTACCAAATGTGCATCCTGATACATTAACTGAAAATATAAGAGATTGGTTAAAATTGGGACCAAAAAAACTCACCATAGATGATGAAACTATGTTTTGCGATCCAGAAATTTTGGAGCAAATTATCATGTCGAAAACTGTATTTGACAAATTGGACAAGGTTGAGATGCGTAAAGCGAGAACTCGATCAAATCCTTATGAAACGATTCGCACTGCTAATTTTCTGAATCGTGCGGCTGTCAAAATGGCAAATATAAACAAAGCATGTAATTTTATGTTTACCGACCCAAAGGATTTACATCCGGATGATTTACTGTATTTTGCCGATGTATGTGCCGGTCCGGGTGGTTTCAGCGAGTATATTTTATCTAGAAAAAAATGGCATGCCAAAGGATTTGGATTCACTTTAAAAAACGAAAATGACTTTACATTGGATGAATTCTTTGCTGGTCCATGTGAAACTTTTCATCCTTTTTATGGTTCTAAAGAAAATGGAGATGTATTTGATCCACAAAATCAAGAAGAATTTAGATCTTTGATAATGAAACACACATATGGCAAAGGTGTACATTTTATGATGTCAGATGGAGGATTTTCCGTGGAAGGTCAAGAAAACATACAAGAAATTCTATCTAAACAGTTATATCTGTGTCAGTGTCTGGTGGCATTAATGATAGTGAGACCAGGTGGCCATTTTGTAACAAAATTGTTTGATTTGTTCACACCTTTCAGCATTGGACTTGTTTATCTAATGTACAGATGTTTTGAAAATATTTGCATCTTCAAGCCCAATAGTTCTAGGCCAGCTAATTCAGAACGTTATTTAATATGTAAAAGAAAAAAGTTTGATACACAAGCAGTAGTAGATCATCTTTCTTATGTTAATCATTTACTTTTAACAAAAGATGATAAAAATGATGTAATTCAACTGGTGCCGCTCGACGTGTTGGAAGCAGATAAGGCATTTGTAACATACTTGAGAAGCTCCAATAACGCTCTAGGAAAGAAACAGATAATAGGCCTCTTAAAGATCGCGGCATTTTGCGAAGATCCAATGCTGACAGAGCCAAAACAAGCGGATATGCGAAAGGAATGCCTGAATTATTGGGATATATCTGATAAAACTCGCGTGAGACCGCAATTCGTTAGACCACAAGATAAGATATGGGCGATTCTAAACGGTTCTGAATGTTTCTTTGGATCCGAAGCACAGAAATTGACGATTGAGAACATAAAAACATTATTAAATCAACCATACAATTGGTTCTGCATGCCTTGTGGTTTTACTTCTTGTGATAAACCAGCTACGTTTTATTTAGGCTTGGGAAGGAGAAAGGTATTTCGCTACATAAAAGGAGGCAAATGGGAATCAATGGGAGATGTAAAAATAGAACTGCCACCTGATACTCTGGTATACGCCGAACTAATCTATGAATCAAAATTGACGGGAAAGTTCTTCCTCAAGACACAAACATTACATATCTTGGATGCTTACATGCTTGGTGGAGAAGATGTTAGCAAACGATACTTACATGATAGGTAAGAGATCTCTTATTTTTTATTAAGCATAATAAAAAATTCTAAAGTGTCACTAACATGCTCTGAGCTGTTAATATAAATAACATGTCTTAAACATTGAATACAAAGTAAATTAATCATGTGTTATAATGTGTATAAATTCTTCTTTAACATATTTATATGTAGGTCAATATTACAAAGTCTATAGTCTATAAATTACATTGGAGTAGATAAACACAAAGTTAAATAGAATTACTAAAGAAAAATTTTATTATGAGTAAATTATGCTATTGTATTAATAATAGATAATATTTTTATACAATATCTGCCACAGGTATAAATTAACTATGAAATTTTGCGACGCATTGTGGAAACCAGTTCCAAATGATTACGTATGTGTGCGCGCCAAAGAGAGGTTCATGCTAACTTCAAATATAGGAAGGAAATTGCGTGTCACGCATCCATCTCAGGCAAAAGTAAATAATGCGTTCGAGTCGCAAAAAAATTTCTTAGAACGTGACAACGAAAACGACACGGAACCTATATATTCCACATTCAACAGTGTACTTTTCTTAAAAAGTATCGCCCACCCTTGGTCACGTCATATTAGCAGAAAAACAGGTGAACTTTATGTTTATAATCCACGTACTAAAGTAACGGAATATGAAATCCGAAACGGTCAATATAATAGACCACCTGAAGCTGAGGCAGATTTTAAAGAGACGTTTGAGAATCGTATTATCTGGCATTGGCCTTGTGATCGTGAATTAAATATGGACACTTTAGTTGCAATGATGAATCCATCACAAAATGTTTGAATCATGTTATATTGTAATATACCATAAATTTATATGTTGTCAAGTTTTTTTTTAAGTATTTGGATTTTTCTTAAAATATTCTATTTTTGATTATAGACAATTTAACTACAGTTCCATTAATCGATGATTTTTAATATTTCAAAAAATCATCAAAATGAAAAAAATTGTTAGAAAATACTAGTAACTTATAGCAAATTATAATCTATAGGGAAACATAAGAAACTTAAAAGACTGCATCTTCTACCCATATGTAATGATATACTTTAGTTTACAAGAAATTTGTTGCAAAATATTTAGATCGTGTATTATATTGTATATGAATTACAAATTTATTATTAATCATATAACTAATTCTTTTTTTCAGTTATAATTTTCCTAAATAATTTTCCTAATATAGACTATTTTTCATTAAAAATAATTCATTTGTGTATCACAGGTTTTATCTGGTTAATATTTGGAAAGTTATGAGAAATTAAAATGAAAAGAATTTGTTTAAAAAATGTTTAAAAAGATTAGAAAACCTTAATATTTTTAGACACGAAAAAGAGATTCCTTGTACAATTCTAACATGGATCCTAGTTTTATATATATTTTTTATGTTAAGACACTTATATAGAGTGTCCTAGACCACCCGTACACCCCTTTTCTTTCAAAAACTAAGCATTTTAGAGAAAAACGTTTTCGACAAAAATTGTATGGTTTTGAGAGGAACATAACGACCTTAACGATGCCATCCAAGGTCAAACCAATGACATCATCTTATGTTCCCCTCAAAACCTTACAATTTTTGTCGAAAATGTTTTTCTCTAAAATACTTAATTTTTGAAAGAAAAGGGGTGTACGGGTGGTCTAGGACACCCTGTATGTATAAATATCCGATATTAATACATTAATGAACAATTACTAACAAGTTCTCTTAATAGTTACAATCTGTACATGATCATTGTAAAAATATATTTGAGAAGACACAATAAACAAAAAAAAATTAACTATTATAAAAATTTATAATTGCGCACATATGTACCAATCTGTGCATTTCAATGTGTAGTGCATTTTTTAACCACACCAGGCATACTTTGAAAATGTCTGCCAGTCCGCAGTCTGACAAGTGGAACGGAGAAATGCGATGCATCTTCATGCAATGTATCTTCATGTAATATTTTTTACAAGATATAGGAATTTTTCATGTACTCTCAACAAATATTTTATATGGTAATATTGTATAAATATTATTATTAAATTCCAATATGTGTTATTTACAGTGTTATTATTTTTTCTATGTGTTTTATTATATTTTTTTAGAAATTAATTTTATTTAATGAACAATTATTTCTCTATTTTGCAAATTAAAATTTGCTTATGTAACAGCAATGCAATAATTTTATTTTAATTTTATTTATTTTGTGTATATATGCTTCTAACATATTAACTATCCATCACGTTGGCGAATAGTAAAAATTATTAACGTTTTATTAGACACAATATTACTGAACTAAATTGTAATATATGCATATTTGTCATTCAATAAATATCCTATTAATAAATATACTGTTGTAAAAAGATAATGATTTTGAATTGCAAGTAATATTATAATTACTTAAAGAAACAAATGTAATTATATATAAATTATAACATGTTAATTTATTATAAACAATCTCAATACATTATATACAGCTATTTTTTAATATGTTTATATGTATATTTATATTTACATTATGTGTATAAATATCACTCCGCGCACATTCACATATCATTTTCACACTCAATTTTTGAATTTATTCCTGTTTATAGTTTATAGAAGTGACCCCATTTCAAAATGTAAAGTGTAAAAAAAAATTTTATTTCGAGTTTATAAAAACAAATATAACTACATATTTTCTAAATATGTATGTATATACACAGTTTGAAATGAGATTCTGACGTTGTCTCACGTTTTTATCATTTAAATATTAGTCATATATAATATTATTGTGTAATATTAGTTATATATCAAATATTGTAATAATCAAATATTAAATATATCAATATATCAAATATTGCAATAATATTAAATAAAGACTAATTTGTTACATATATCTATAAAAATTTTGTTTAAAGATTTATAATTTATTATTATGAAAAAGTAAAATATGTCTTTAGATAATTTAGAAAAAAGCTAATATAATTTTTTTGTAAGATGTATTTTAAAATAATTTGCTTAACATATTCATGATTCAAAGATATAATGGCTCATTCCATTCTGTGTATATATTTTTTCGATGCATATATAAGTATAAATTTTTATAAACGCCAGCAATTAACTGTCTTTTTTTTAGTCTTGTATCACATTAAATATAATTATCTCGAAGCTCTTATTCTTTAAGTTCAAAATAAAAATCATTCTATTCTGTATCTTTAAGAATACAATGGAAGATATATTAATATGCAAATTATTTCAACTTAATTATTTTTGGCAGTTACATAGTTTGAACTATTACAATACTATTGTTACAGCAACAGTATATTTTCAACAACTAGGTAATCCTTGGTAACAAAAATTGTGCTAAAATACTTTATAGTCTTTGCTCCTCCAAACTTTACGAATTTAGATATTCGTTGGCATTATAAGTTGACCACAGATTAATATCTATTTCTAACTTTGCATCAACATGAATCTATTCAATAATAAAATCATATAGAATTCTAATCTCTGGTTAACTAAATCTCTTATAAAAATGAATCGATATATACGCATATATGGCACTTTAATGCGCGTATAGTGTCTTAGAATTCAAAAAAGGAAAATAAACATACATGGAACATAATGAATCACAAAATGTATCATCTGTGATAAGAAAGAATAGTAGTTGCCCATAGAAGACGTTGCCAGATCCAACGCGGTACCCTGCATGGTACAAAGTTGGTCATCGCGCCGGCCAAGTGGCGTACCCAATCCCAGATGCCCCACGGTGCGTGTCCGCCGTTAACATACAGAACGTATGTAAAACCGTCCTTACATTTTCCCCGTATCGAATAATAATATGGAAGAAAGCTATGCAATCGAAAGTGACATCTCTGATAAAACAATATTGCAGGAGCATTGCTGGAGAGCACGTGTAGGAAGACTGCCTTTACAGAGGAACGTTCGGGAGCGGTGACATGGGCCAACAGTTGTTCCAACAGCAACGAAGCTATTCCATTTCTCCTATACGCGCGTCGTACTCCTAAGCTAAGTATATAACCCACTAAACAATTTTTTCCTAAACTGGAACACAAGATACCGCGATCTTCTTTATTTAACCTGGCATAGGGCTTTATCTCTGCAACGATCAGCCCTATTATTACTCCACCATAACCCGCCGCAAGCGCATAGAACCTCGACGAGCTTGTAATGTCTTCGTACCATGAATAAGGATAATCTGTACAGGTAGAAATTAAATATTAAATATATATTATTATTTAAAATTATATATTATATACTATGTTTATTGCAAATTTCCTCTTGTAGTATATATATATATATATATATATATATATATATATATATATATATATACATATATATAAATATATATATATATAAATATTTCTTGACATCTGAAAAAAATATCACTTAAAATCTTTTTAATAAAAAGCACTTTACATTCCTGCATTAACTGCTATAAATAATACAATTCTAAAACTCAACTCATATTCTAATAACTGAAAAGTAAAAAATATAAAAGATAATTTGTACATATAACTTTGATATCTAAAAGGTTCTTTTAATTTGACATTATATGTAAACATTTGACATATACATAAACAAAACAATTTTGTGTCATTATTTTAATTTAAAGTTCTTTTCTTCATAGTTTTATCTGTCCCTGCGAAATATAGAATCATTTCTTGATCTTCCTATTTCTCTTCTTCCCCAAATAAATTTAAATAATAATTAATTAATTTTGTTCTAATAATTAATTGAAGGAGATCTCAAAAGGAAGCTAAAAAATTTAAATGACACAATGTTTTTAATTCTGTGTTACATTTATGTATTGTAGACAAGATCGCTTGTGCGGGTACCAAGTGTACGCACCTATGGGGAACCAATCTTGACAGAGCGAGCGCACCTCCTCCAGGTCATCGGGACAGAGGAAGCGCAGCTGCACCTCGCCCAGGACGCATAGCGGCACGGTGACCGCCGGCGTCGTCACGGAAGCAGCCGCTGTCGTTGTCGTAGTCGTCGTCGTTGTTGTCGGGCAACAGATGGTGGTCGAACAGTCTCTCGCGACGGTCTCATCCGCGATGTAGGAAGCACGTTGCTTGCCGTCGAGCGGCTCGACCCCGTTCACTCCAGCGACACGAGCGGACTCGCTATCCCCGATCTCCGGCAAGATTACCGGTAGATATCGGTTAAAAGACACGACCATCGCGCGACCGCGGCTGGCCTGTTCTCGTCTCACGGCTTATCATTTGTATATCGTTGCGGGTCAAGAACGCGATGGTAGAATCAAGAGAAATACGTCACGTCGCGCGTTGACAGCGACCGCTGCCGCTCGTAAACACGCAGCAGCGGCACGTCGTAGACATTTTGTTTTCGCGTGTCGCTGTAGTGCACGTTCGTTGTTATTGTTATCGCGACTCACGCGAATCCGCACTTGACATCGCGACCGCTGGACCTCGCGCATCCGCTATTCCTCGACGCGCGCGGTGTAAACAACCCTGCGTCCATTTCCGCGGACAGATCGACAACGACAACGGGTCCGACGACCCGAATGCGCCTGGTGGTGATGTTACGATGGATGGTGCGCGGTTTTTCCTCTAAAGATCAACACGAATCCTATTTTTCGCGGATTAATCGATCTTCATGATTGCGTTCGAAAATGCGCTCGGGATAGAATATCATTCGCTCGACCAATCGGAGCACGGAAATTTCTGCTCCTTTTATTCTGATTGGTTGATCGAACGCTGCTTTCTCCGGTGAATGGATTCTCGAACGCAACCCGGGATTTTAATCCGGTCGTGGTAGAGACGTGCGAAGTGTCTGCGCAAGTGACATTGCTTTGAATCAGCTGTTGACGGTCGTTGATATAGGATCTTTCAAATTTTAATAATCACCATGGCGGCAAACAAAGCTGTCACTGTCCTTGCGCCGAATGGTCGCCGGCAAAATGTAAAGATTACGATGAACACGACGATTTTACAGGTATATAAACTCGATATATTATATCTTTTTTATTAGCGGATTACGACGTTTGCATTCGTTAAATAAAGTGCCATCTCGAAAAGTCTTCATAGATTCTCTTTACAGGTTCTGGAGGAAGTATGTCAGAAGCAAGGTTTCAACGTCGATGACTATGACATAAAGTGAATATAACACTTTATATTTGGATTTTTGCAATAATATAATATATAATTTCCATTACATCTCCCTATTACAGACACAATCGTCAGATATTAGATCCTAATACGACATTTCGTTTTACTGGTGTACCAAATAATGCTCAGTTGGAGATGGTAGCGTGCACAAAGACGCGTTTCGCGTCGAATGTTGCGATTGCTATTCAGTCAGAGGATGGAGAGAGAATAATGCGCGAATTTTCGCCTAAAACAACGTTAGCTCAAGCATTGATAGAAATATATCCCGATTCGGATCTTGAGAGGGCTGTATTGATCTATATGCATCAAGAAGTATGTATACATATATAGATATTGTTATGTATTTATAGACAAAAAATTGATGTTTATGTATTTATAGACAAAAAATTGATGTTTTTATAATTTACTGTTAAGTATAATGAATATGTAAAGAAATAAAATCTTTCCACATAGGTATGTGGCAGAGAAGCATTAGAAAAGACAACATTGAAATCATTAGGCCTCAGTAGTGGAAGGGCAATATTACGATTAATGTATCGTGACCTTGAACAATTAAAAACTCAAGCACATGTATCTGTTCCTTTGCTTCCAAAGTCAGAAATGGCAATGGATAATTTATCAAGCAATAAAGATTGTTCCCTGAAAGTGCCATTATCTGTACCACATTGTAGTAAGACATTGGATGATAATATTTCATCAATAAATGTGTCAAATATAGAAAATCAAAAGTCTGAGGCAAAGATAGATAGAAAATGTGAGGAAGCAAGTGTGCTCAATGATAAAGAACAAGAAACAGATACATATAGGATAGAAGAAAGTCATGCCACTGAATCCAGTCATAAAGATCATGAGAGTGGAAGAGATCAGTACAATACAGAGGCGCACACAAAAGTTCAAGAAGATGTGTACGAAGTGAAGTTTGTAAGGTGTAATTGTGCAACGTGCAATCTCATTCAAATGACACGCTTACTTATCAATAATTTTATTATAGCTAGGGGAAAGAAACGCTCTAGTATTCGATCATGCCGGAACTCAGGCATTGCCGAGAGACGAACTGCCGGATAATTTCTTCGAACTCGATTTGCACGACGCGAATATTCTCCTTCGAGATGCTGCTAAGCGTCGCAAGGAACAACTCGAGGACGCTCCACTTCTGACAGAGGCGATGCGTCAACTGAATCAAAACAAACACATTCTGGATCGATTGAACAAATATGGACGTACTGTAATTCGCGTACTATTCCCGGATCAATTTGTTCTTCAGGGTTTGTTCAAACCGTTAGAGACTATCGAAACCGTTAAGAACTTTATCAAGAATTATTTGGACGATCCGAATTGCGAATTTGTTATCTGTGAGTAATAACATGCAATTATTCATTCTATGTGAATAGGGTAAATATATAATTTATAATAATTGTAAAAAAATTTTATTTTTTGCAGATACTAGCCCGCCAAGGCATATTCTAAATTCTGACGCGCGTTTAATAGATGAAAATCTTGTTCCCTCTGCTAACGTTTATTATTCCGGGCAATCGCTGCTCAGGACGAGTGTAAAAGAGACATTGACAGATCCTCGAGCTGCTGATATCGAAGCTATAAAATCTAGGTAAAGTATACTGATTGTATTGATCTCGATTGTCGCTAAATTTTATATTTATTTATATAGAACCGCCACGACGCGAAAAGAACAAGATCCAGCAACTGAAAAAGGTAGAAGCACAATTATCGAGAGCAATCATGTAACTCCAGGACCAAGTGGTAGTAAATCATCATCATCATCAACTCGAAATCAAAATAAGATGCCAAAATGGTTCAAACAGGCAGGTTTAAAATAATTAATTACTTTGCTAATAGCACCGAGAGAGAGAGAAATGGTTCTTCAAATTGTAATAATGTAATTGTATAAACAATATTCTACGGGATTTTTATGTAAATTATTGTTGTACGCGCAGTAATGTATGTGGCATATATATATGCACATACATATTTTATCCTTACTGCAAGACTAAAATATACAAATCTATGCACAACAAATGTTCAACGTGTATCTCATTATTCCAATTGAGATGTACAAAGCTGTACATAAGAGAGTCCAATATTTAGTAAAATTAGTTATAAAAGTGAAAACAAAATGCTACATATACAAATAGTAAAGTTCTTACAATCTATTCTATGGCCGCAGTAATAACATTTTATATATATAATTTGTATGAAAAACGGTGTTATATAGAGTCGAGTGATGAAAAGTACAATCGTGAAATATGCAGCAATGATATTAACTGTGTGATAAAGGTGCTTTGATCGATAACATTAAGTATATATATATTTTTTTAAGTAATAAATATAATAGTTTTTAGATATAGCATAACAAGACTTTAGTCCATGAGATCTTTTTTTGTCCTTGAAATGGTGAATGCTTATGTATTTTGCAGAATGAAGCGAAAGATTGCAATAATGTTTGCGATCATTAATGTGAATCGACTATATTAATCGTTTACTCGTCGAGGTGCCATTAACTTTGTAAATCGGGCGGTACCGTCGTGGGCGATTGCAATTGCAAGTGCATGAGCCTTCGAGCAGGACCACCGATTATGTTTCCGGTCGGACCGGAACCGCCGGCCTCCGCTTCGATACTTTCTCGTAAATTTGCTTCTACTGGATCCGCGGTGTTATCGTCGTCATTTGCTACCGTATTCTCATCTTTTACCATTTGCGATTGCAGTTGCGAGTCCAACAGTCGCATATATTTGTCCATATCGCCGCCTTTGTCCTCATCGTCACCGCCTAGTGATCCCTCCGAGCTACCTTCGAATTCTCCCTCTCCTCCCGGAACAACTAGATCGAGGATGCCTCTTAATGTACTATCAAATACGTCCGCGTCGAAATCTATTCGTCCACCATCCTCCGTATCTTGCATGTCATTGTCCGTCGATTGTTCTCTATAAATAAATCACAACTGTTTATTTTCAATTAAATTACGAGTAAATTACATTTGTTTGTTCGTAAAAATTACATCTATTCCTGTGATACATAAATGTCATACCCTAAGAAATGCACGCCATCAATATCACTAGCTTGATTAAGAAATGATTGTACTTTCTCTCGGAGACTTAAAGATTCTTGATCCAATTTTCTATCTTTAATATTGCCCCACTGTTGGTTCAAATATGTTTCTAATTGCGCAGGATCCACGTTCAGCCAACTATCGCTATCCGCAGGACTCAACATAGTTTCATCTTGAGCTATATATAAGAATAATATAAATATAAAATATAAATATACATGTAAAATAAAATTTAAACGCAGCAACAAGTATACGATTTAACGTAATCGAAAAATTACTATACTGCTACTTTATAAGAGAACAATTTAAAATATAAATTCAAAGTAATAAATTACCATGCATTTCAATGTCATTAGTTTGAATGTTCTCCCATGCTTCTAAAACTTTTTGAGCATCACTTTCGTACAAATCTGAGAGATTATCAAATAAAGTCGCATGCTTCAAGAAATACTCTTTTGCTGTGGATAGTAGCTTCTCACGTTCCTGGCTACCTTCCAACAGATCTCTAAAGTAACCGTTCGCTTCTAAACGAGCTAGATAAGCATTAAAAGCTGGTTCGTTCAGCTTTAATTTTTCAGCATCATCGGGAACGTCCGGGGACTGTCCCTTGGTACGTTTTCTACGTTCCTCATTGGCTCGAGCTACTAACATCTCTAAACCACATGCTATTTTAACTCCGAGGACATGAGCATTGTATTTTGAGCAAGTTGCAGGTGGTATGTTCCAACCTGTTCTTGGATCACCGGTATAACGACAGTGCGTCACCATCGCGTACAAACATTTGGTCATTCTGACATTGACCATAGTTCGCTGCTCTGGTGGGAAATATCTCATGGCACGACACACCTAGGATACAGGATAATATATATACATATATATAATATATATAAAATCGATTATATTAAATAACGTTTATGATAAGAACACACCTTGCGTTCTAGTGGATCCGAATGACAAATAGTTCTAATCACTGGAGCTATGAGTCTTGGTTCTAGGCGAAGTATAGAGGCTGCTTTTTCCGGCAGGAATGCTCTGGCCTTATGTTTCCTCTTCTGAATCTCATCGGGATAAATGCCAATTCGCTTTTGCAACACAAGCTGTACCTTTTCAGACATCTTGGAGATATGTGGCTTGCCATTTATATTATTTAGCAAATTAGGAAACGACGTTCCCCTCTCTCTGATAACATGAATATCACCGTTATGAATGAACACACGATCCTGACACGTCTCGGGGCTGGCCCACAATGGCAGGACATTAGCAGCTTCTATCAGAAGAAATTCCCCATCCGAGTCCACTACTCTAGCGATCAATCCATCGAAAACTTTGGTAAGCCTAAATATTAGGAATACTGTCAGCCATTCGTCGCCTATGTCCTCGTCGAAACGTAGATTCGCATAAATATGAGGCAAGATATGGTAATCTAATGACAAATGATTGATTATTATAATTGATTAGTGATTCTTCTACGGAAAATAAAAAGAAGATAAAAAAAATGATACATTTAGAGATGAAATAATTACCTTCCTCCACTGCTGATCCTTCGAGGATTCTATTCAGTAACATCGCCTGCTTGGTTCTAGGACGGAAATTTAAGCTATCACCATGCCAGATGTAATCTGTGATGAACGGGGCGATCTCTTCGTTATACTTAGCAATTTCCTCGCTCAATTTCGCCTCCGTTACCGCGTCCGGGTCGGACGCGTAACAGAATTTGGGATAAAGGAAACACTCGAGAATATCCTCCTCTTTGGCCTTGTGCGTGACCGCGGTATTTGCCATTTTTTGGCGTGGCATTTGACTCTTCGATAAACGTCAGTTTATCCGCCAAAAACGCGCGTTTCTCTACGTTACTCTGGGTTCACCCAGGTCAACTTGAAATGGATCACCTCACAGTGCTCGGTTCCCATGGGCGTTCCCCGTGGATGACCGCATAGGTGATAAAAAGAGTGAGTAAAGTTGTTTACTGCGTTATTCAAGATACATGACCATAACCTGTGTCATCGTCCAAGTCGTCCAACTGATGCAGCTCAGGCACGCGCTGACGCGCGAACCTAGCCTGACCTTTCGCGCACCTATTCTAACCTTCACGATCTTTCAGAGGATGCTGTCCTGTCACATCACGGTGCTTGCAAAGTGCGTGCAATGGAACGCGATACGAGGCGCACGAGTGGAGAAATGAATTCAATTTTTCGCTGAGAAAGAGATACGGATTGATCCGGATATGTAAATGAAGCTATCGTCGTGATGAGATCGTTAGCTTCAATGGGTCCGGCTTCTTGGATCGTACATCGTAATTGATAAGGTATTTGCGAGTGAATTTCGCAGAACATGGCGACCACCAAAAGTCACCCGGGCGGCCGATCATCGAGCTGTTTACGCAAGTATCGGCTGCTCTTCGCCTTCGGTATAACCGTATTATGTGTCCAGATCTATCTGCACACATTTTTCGGTCTGGACAATGGTAGAAATAAATCCAACCGGCTGTCATCTGGAGAGGTAATTCTTATCTAACCTTAGCCCCAGAGGAAACATGTATATACATAAGTGTATATATAATAATAATGAAAAGTTGATTTATACTTGATATTTTTTTGTTGAATTGCAGGGCGGCTCTTCTCAACCTGAAGAGGATGAAGGCTTGCCGAAAGGCTTACGTCAGCTAAAACTTCCACCTGATAAGCAAACAAATTTAAACAAACAAACACTGCAATCTCAATTAAGAAACCGCACTGCCCGAATTAAGTTAGATCGTAAATCGTTAAATTTTACACCTATGTGCGAAGTTACAACTAGAGAAGCAGTGAGTGCCATAATGCGTGCTCAAAATCAAGCATGCAAGCAACGCATTGTCAATATGACGTGCCTTAGTCAGCAGGGTGTATTGTACCCGGAAAGAGTACAATCTTTATGTCCTCACTCTCCAGGTTTTACAGGCATGCCGATCACCTTAGGCTGCTATAAAGATGATAAGACATTGAGAGTGCTTTCTGGTTATTATCATATCTTCAAAGGGAACAATACACCAGAGCGTTGCGCTTATATGTGTCTTCAATCGGGATTTCCATATGCCGGTACAGAATACTCGTTAGTGTCTCCCAAAATTTACAGCTTATATGTTGATACATTGTGTAAACTTTATAAAATATATCGTATAAAATTTTAGAATAGAATGTTTTTGTGGAATGGAAGAACCGCCACAGACGAAACGATTACCAGATTCTAGCTGTAATATGAAATGTTCCGGCAATCCGAGACAGATATGCGGTGGCTATTTAACTATTAATGTATATTGGACTGGAATTCAAAGTATGTGAATACATGAAAATATGCATAACTACTTATAGAATCATTAAAGATCGTTTTCTAATTTGATAGAATTTAAACCTCAAGAGGCAAGAAATTCGAGTTTAAGAAGTGAATCTGAACAACCTGTGCGAATAGCCTATCTACTGACAGTAAATGGCAGGGCAAGTAGACAAGTGAAACGACTTATTAGTATTTTGTATCATCCCTCACACTTGTTCTATATTCATGTTGATGCGGTAAGTTGTGCAACAAATTCTACTTATTTATATTTAGATATAAAAAAACTAAATTCATATATATATATATATATATATATATATATATATATATATATATGTATTTTTCTTTTACATTAATTTGTGATAAATTTATACAAACTTTAGATATATAATTATATGATGAAAAATTACATAAATTTTTCAATTATAATTTTAGTACATATTTCTATTTGAAATTATTAAGAATCCTTAGATTCTTAAGAAAATTATTAAGAATCTAAGGATTCTTAATAATTTCAAATAGAAATATGTACTAAAATTATAATTGAAAAATTATTAAGAAATTATTAAGAATCCTTAGATTCTTAATAATTTTTATACATATTATTACTCTATTCTATTTAATTTTTATACATATTATTTCTCTATTCTCTACATGCATCGTATTGGATGTAATATAAAACTGATGTAAAATTGATATTAAATATAATAGCTAAATTAGAGAAATATTTTAATCAAGTCATGTATTTTCAGAGACAAGATTATTTATATCGAGAAATGTTAGAATTGGAAAGATTGTGTAAATTAAATAATATCAAAGTGGCGAGAGGGGAGGGTTTGCGACACGCGAGCATTTGGGGTGGTGCAAGTCTTTTGACGACATTTCTGAAATCCGCGCAACAGATGCTCGCATATGAGCAGCATTGGGATTTTCTTGTAAATCTTTCGGAGTCTGATTTCCCCCTGAAAAACAACAGCCAATTGACGGACTTTCTAAGTTGGAATAAGAATATGAATTTTGCAAAATCACATGGAAGGGAAGTTCAACGTTTTATATCAAAACAAGGTCTGGATAAGACTTTTATCGAATGTGAGGCGCGCATGTGGCGAATCGGCGATCGAAAATTGCCAGATGGTATGTAATTTTATACATATACTTTTAATATACATATAAGCAATTTTTTAGAATTTTTTTATACATAAAGAATTGTTTTATAAAATTGTATGTATATATCATGTATATTAATTTTACTATTTTTATAGGTATTCAAATTGATGGTGGTAGTGATTGGTTCGCTTTAAGTCGGGACTTCGTCGAGTACGTCGCGAGTCCGAATCCCGATCTATTAGTAAACGATCTGTTAAAACTGTTCAAGTACACCTTGTTACCAGCTGAATCATTCTTACATACTGTTTTAAGAAATTCGCGATTTTGCAACACTTATGTAGACAATAATTTGCACATGACTAATTGGAAAAGAAAGTTGGGTTGCAAGTGCCAGTATAAGGCCGTGGTGGATTGGTGTGGATGCAGTCCAAATGATTTTAAACTCGAGGATTACAGTCGATTACAAAACACGGAGAATCGTAATATATTCTTTGCCCGTAAATTCGAACCCGTCATCGATCATAGAATTATCGACCGCGTGGAAGAATGGCTATATCCCGATAAAATGAATAAAACAATCAAGGGTTACGACATGTACTGGCAAAGTCTGTACCATCATGCGGATCTGAGTCCACTACCGGATGATGCATTATTAACGCTTTCATATTCCTTGGCAAGACTAACTTATCGTAAATTGAAGATGGATTACAAAAACGTTCGCTTATTGGAAAACACCGCATACTTTCGTGAAAATCGATTTATCGGTGTATTAATCCTTGTAGAATGCAAAGATGAATCTTTAGATATATCTTCAATGCGTAATAATCGCGTAAGACGCGTGGAAGCTCTTATTTCTGCGCGATATAACTTTTCTGCTGATAGATTAGGATCAAGATGGTCAGGAAAGATACGAAGTCTCTCCGTTGGGACGGATTACGATCAAAAGGAACAAAAGTTTAGAAATTTTATGGGCAGTATAGGACCATATTCGAATCCAGTATTAGCTTACGAATTTGATTCAGGTATTACAGTACCGCAAAATATATCAGTTTTGTGGATTGATCCATATGGCCATCTGGCCGATGTGAATCATATTTTGCTTGAGGAAATGACTTTGGTAATTATAATATATTATTTATTTTACAATTGTGAAACTTTTCTATTTTAATCTTATAGTATAATGTAACTTTATTATATGGCTTAATTTATATATATCTTATTTATGTTTTTTTAGGTAGGACATGTTAAACCACAGCTAAATGAGCAATTAGCTATTGGTACCTGGCGACTATTGTTAATTGTTGATACTCAGTTGATAACAAAATTGAAATTTCTGGTAATTCCATTGTCTTATTGGAGGGCCAAGAAGATAGATTCGGAAAGACTTAAGGAAATAATAGACGGGCCGAACACCATTTATCACATTACAGAGGAAATGAACAAAAATTGGTCTAAATTAATGAAATATGCGGTGGCAAATGAGCAGATTATTACGCACAGTCAAAATAGAATCGGTGAAGACCTCGACGATTGGTTAGATAGATTGGTACATGAGCATTATAAAATCGACGAAATATGCGATGCCGGCGAAGTTGGGACCGAATTAAAGCTACAAAAGTGTGTCGATACCCATTGGAGCTCTCTGAGCCCCGATTTAAAGGCTGATACTCGTAATCTATGTCAAAACTACTAATTAATTATTCTATCAACTACGTGCCATTTTCGCCGTTTTGAAACTTATATGTGTGTATAAAGATTACAAAACGTCTTTAGATATTTTTATATCGACTAACTGTGTACATATAGTTCATATTTATAAGAAAAAAATGTATATGTGTGTATATACTTATATACAAAATATGTATACTTACATACATATATATATATATATATATATATATATGTATATATAAGTATATATAAACTTTTGGTATATGTTATAATTAATAACTCTGTCTAATATTTTCACATTAAAGGAATTATATTGATAAGAAATTGTTGTCATTCTTTTTGTTTTATATCTCAAAACATACAACAGACTGAAAAATGTTAAATTAATAATTGCAACAATGTGTATTATATATATTTAAAACAAAAAGATAACTCTAATTATCGTATCATGATATAACATGATATATAATAGCTATATGATAGTATAAAAATATATAATATAATGATATATAATTATGTATTATGAAAGATAAATGAAAGGTTTAGAAAAGAAAAAATTTTTTAGATAAAATATTTCAAACGTTTAGAAAAAGAAAAGATTTTTGAGGTAAAAAATATATGTCTAGTATATATGTGTATATATATATATATATATATATATATATATATATATATACTAGGCATATATATTATTTTTACATATATATTATATATTATATATATATATATATATATATATATATATATATATATATATTTCAGATTCAATACACCTGAATCATTCAAACAAGATGGCGTAGCCAATAAAATGAGTGCAAGCCAAAGTTCGCTCGAATAGACACCTCACGACCCATCTAATTAACTTCTAGTTCATGCAGAAAGCGGTGAAGTGGAATATCTGCGCGATCGCATTGACATCTAGGAAGTTTATTGCAAGATGTCGGGGGATGTTTTGTGCGACGAGCCGCTGGTATGCTCGCGGGCGACGAAATGACTTGCTTGTCGTGGCGCACGTTTGCTAAATTCCGGCCTAAATTAAATCCCAAAGTGTTGTAAGCATCACGCCGCCGGTAGCGCCGAGCCACGTCCTCCAGTCGTCCGTCGTCGTCGACGCCGCAACGGAAAGAACAGTGGAGACGAGAGCCAAAACGAAAGCGCGAGGACTGTGCCAGTGTATGTGTGTGCGCGCGTACCACTGCCAGGACCTGAGGTACACCGATCTCTCGCATTTTTTCTTCATAAACTGAACAAGTGATCGTTTAATTATTTGTCGACGAGCTAAATAGGTAGATAGATAGACAGAGAAGGAGAGAAAGAGAGAGACAGAGAGAGAGACAAAGAAAAAAAAAGAGACAGGGAGAGGAACTTTGTAAACGGACACGTGGTGATAGTTTAAAATCTCAGCTGGGATGGGAGCCAAGGCAAGCACCGTAGCATCCACTGGTGGCAACGGTCAGTCCTCCACTGGACCCAACGAGACCACAATACAGGGTTTCTCCATGCTGCGTTCCCTGCCTGGCGGAGTGGGCATGTTGCAGCATCAACATCAGCAGGCTAATCAGTCGCAGAATACACGTGTGTCCGGGGACAGTAGACAGCGTGCACGCTCTTTGAGTTCCGTTCCTGACCTCTCTTCCTCCGAGCAAGCCAGTCTTTCTACCTCGGTAGGGGTAGGAGTAGGTCAGGCCCTTGGCCTGCCGCAGCTGGATTCCGACGATACGGATGAGGAGAGCGGTCGCGTTTACGCCGCTCATAGCTTGCCTTCGCACATTTGGTCCCTCAACGGTAAGTTTATCGGCTTCTTGGAACCTCGCTTATATACCTTTATCTGTTTACCTCAAGCCTCAGGAGCTATCTATTTTCAGGTTATAATCATTCATAAAAATTTGTTTATCGCGCATGCATTTTACATAATACGGCATAAATTTATCTCGTGTCACGATATGCCGAGGAAATTAACATATATAGATCATTATTCTGTCCTTCGTCGACGCGTAAATCATCACGAGTTTTTCGGTATCTACCTCTGAAAAGAGAAAGAGAGAGAGAGAGAGAGAGAAAGAAAACGAAAGAAAAAGAGAGACGGAGCAAATGGTATTGCTCAAATAGATTGTTTTTAGCTTCCGACTAATCGCTGCATTTCTGTTGACGCGTATCGATTCGTACGACAGAATTGTTTAGATAAGACGACGGGTCACGATTGCGTACGGCACGTTTCAAAAGTCATTCGATTCCCGCGGTGACGCGGAAAACGTCAATCATCTCTAACCTAATTGCGAGCAGGCGCCGCAAGTAAAGAAGCGAGAGGTTATGTCGCGGAAAACTTCGCGGACGGGGTTGGTGGTTGGTGCGCGGACGATGATTCGCGGGTGGGACAGGGGGCGTTTGTTTTGACGCGTGTTGCCGGGGTGGTTGGCCCGGTAACCGCGTACCACAATCGATGATACTGGGTTGAGGCCGCGCATAGCGGCTAGGTAAATGTTGGCTTAGTAAGTGCGAGCGATAATTATCAGAGGAATTTCTCGAAAAGACGGAAAACGGAAAGGCACAACGTCGCGAAAAGGGCGAGAGAGCGGAGAAGAAAAATGCGACCCGGGAGAGGATCGCCGCGCGGGACAGCGGGTCACGGCTGAGGTTATGTCGGGATTATTATGGGAATTATAGTGAGCTCGTGTTTGAACGAGCACGAAGCTGAGGCCGTAGTCCCGGTGAATCGAGTGAGGAGGGTCTTTTACGGTATTGCATCTTTTGATTCCTGAACACAGAACGTTTACGTCTCCATCAACCTTGTATTTTTCCCCTCCCCTTCTCTTTCTTTCTCTTTCTCTCCTTACTCTTCATGATACTTTTCTTCGTTTTTCTGATTGAAATTCGCCTGTGTTCAAGGTCTAAAGTGTCCCGTATGCTCCAAGTTTATCCTACCGGATGATATAGAATGTCACCTGGTCATGTGCCTGACCAAGCCACGGCTCAGTTACAATGGTATGCGAATGTGATAAAATTGTAATTATTTGATAGATACGATAAATTATACTTTTTACATGTTTGCTGCTTACCAATCAATGAATCATTACTTTGAGAGCAAAGCTTTTGTTTCATTTATTATTATATTTATTATTATATAGTTGTTCTATTTAATATATTTGATTATATATTTATATATTTGATTAATAATTGTTAGGAAGTTAACTAAATATTTTACTATCTTATTTATATAACAGAGGATGTGCTAACGGATGGTAAAGGTGAATGCGTCATTTGTCTTGAGGAATTACAATCTGGTGATCTTATAGCGCGCTTGCCCTGTCTCTGTATATATCACAAAAAGTATGTATCAAAATGTCATTCATCTGTTTTTCTCATTCCTTGCTGAAAAATTTTACTAATAATAAAGTATATCTTTGTGATTGCCTTAAAAACTGTAAAGAAAAAAATATATATTACTGAATTACAAAATTTCATTAATTTTGAAGATAATGGAATTATATTAAAATAAAAAATTGAGTACTTGGATAATTAATTAAATAATATGTTACATTATCATTTATATGTGATAGGATATAATATAAAGTTTGCGATGTGTCTTTCTTTTAGCTGCATTGATAAGTGGTTTCAAGTAAATCGTAGCTGCCCTGAACATCCTGGAGATTGATTTGTACCTGTTGAACTTAGCGGAGCACAGTGGAACAAGATGCTGGCCCAGAGGACATTCACCTCAATGGGATTGAAATGGCAAAAAATGGCAGAAATTTAAAAAAAATAATAAAAAAAGAAGCTAGTCAAGGTGGCTGCTAGTCCGCAATGGTGATTGATGCGTGCGGTGAATTGTTCGACTGAACGAGACTCGCTCATCAAATCGAACATATGGAAACACAGATGTTTAATTCAATCCTCGATTCTATTATTAAGTGGGGGACTTAAATAACAAAAAATCGCCATAGGATTCAACGATACACACACAATGCTATTACCTATACGTATCTATAATTAATCTATTATTGCTCTATCGCTTACTATCAATTGTACCATATTTATAAATTTTACTTAGTTTTACATCTTCAACTCGATTTAGTGCTTAAGCAGGACGATCTTTGTTATTATGATCATTTTTCTTAATCTTTTTACGATTTTTTTCTTCTTTTCTTTTTTTTTGGAAGAAAGGGACAGAACGAATCTTAGTCAAGAAGACCTGCATAGGAATAGGTGAGCTCTACCTTAGATGAGTTAGTTATACTTTTATTGATTTTTAGTATCGAGATGATATATCATAATTTTCGTTGTCTGTTGGGGGATGAGTGTTAGAAAGGATATTTTTGATACTTTCATAAAAGGGAGAGCCAGAATGTATAAGAGTTTCGAGCGCCGGAGATGACATTAATGCTGTTGATGCTGTAGTAACAATAAAAAGGTTCTGATTTAACCTTCCTTACTGAGATTCATACTAATGTGATAATCTCTTTTGTTGTTATTAGAGAGAATTGACATGCTCCGTGTGTTATTGAGATGTACAGTCTATTGTCGATTACACTGAGGATTATCTACTATACAATTAATCTCTTTTGTATATGAATAAGGATTGACATAACCCAACAGGAATAGTTTTTGTAATACGAACAATCAAAGTTTATCATTGTTCCAGTAATATACATAAACCGTACATGTTCGGCTCGGACTTATATTGCATGAGGTTAAAATGAAAACTAATAAAGCAATGTGTGAAAAGACTTAAGAAAAAAGGAAACAGTGCAGTGAAGAAAAGGAGCTAAAAATAAATTACATTAATAAAATTGAATGCATATAAATACGTATGTATGGTGTGTGCGTGTTCTCGCGCGCATGTATGTATGTATATGTACATACACACATGTATACATATGTATACTCTCGTAGATTTTCTCTCGATTGCAATTGTTCAAATATGTACTAAAAACCTTTTTCATTAGTAAACTATATTTAACTATTACAAATTGAAAAGTATTGATAAGTCAAGGGAATTGAATCGCAAATAATTTAAAAAATAATTATATATATATATATATATATATATATATATATATATATATATATACCCGGTGATCTTTTAAAATATATTCAATATTAAAAAGGGAAAATATGCGAGAGACGCCTAAACATTTTGTATATATATATGTATACATGTGTGTATATACAATATATATATGTGTGTATGTATATATGTACATATATATACATGTATATGTATGTACCTTTTTTAAGCTACGAGAGGTAAGTGATAGAGACGGTAGGTCCGGTTTCGTAAAGAAATAAAGAAAACAGGAGAAAAAAAAACACATGTAAAGAACTCAGAATAAAATTATGAGAACATGAATAAAATAGCGATAACACAATGTTGCAAGGAAGTTTTCTTTGCATTTCGTTATACTGATCGAGGCGTGAATTGTATCGCGGCTTGTCTTTTATCGATTTTACGATATGTAAGGTTTGTTATATATGCGCCGATTATATACAAAGACAGAATGCGAGAAAGAAAGTCGAGGGTAACGCGCAGTGAGACGAGGAGAGACGCAAATAGATCGCGTATCTTATAGCGCGCACTAGACGGGTCACGGGGAGAGGAGGAAACCTTGTATTGTATGTATGCACATGTAACACGTGCGCACGTGTGCTCGCCTCGCTCTCGTTCCCGTGGTGGTATTCCGTATTGTGTTAAATGAATCTGTTCGTCTTATAATTAGCATTGTACCTTGTACTTTTTTTTTAGGATTAAAAATTTAAAAAGGTACAGATTTTCTGAGGCTTAAAAAAAGCAAACGGGAGCAAACTAAATGCAACTGAAAAGAGTCAATAATAATTCTATAGAAATTTTATTAAAAGAAAAAACATGACAAAATAATAATAAAAAGTTCATGCGAGATTTTATTTTTTAGCTATTCGAGGCTATACTCAAAGTGTCTCTGAACCATCGCATCTTTTAGTAAAAATTTTTAATTTTTGATATATACTAAAAAATTGCAAGTGTTAAAATTGTACTAAAATAAATGTCATTTTAAATTATAAGATATGATTAAATCATTTTTTTTTTCGAAACTTGTCAATTTGATTTTTGTGATTCATCTAATAACTCGACTTATATATGTGTGCGGACGTTTTTCATCATAAAATCAGTCGAAGAATCTGTGAAGAAAGAAAACATTTGATTCTTGAGATTTCTTGAAGTCAGTTCAGTATAATTATACGAATTATATTCTTCAATATTTTAAGATAAATGTACAGTACGGAATTCCCCTCTACTTAAAAGGGCTTTATAACAATAACGATCTGATCACATCACTACGAAATAAATTGCGAGAGCCCAAAAGTGCGTAGCTTAGCTCCATAGGATAAAGAAATCACGAAAGGCGGAGGAAGCCTAAACTCGCAGGATTGTAACTGTGGATACACAGGTTGTAATGAAACATTTGTATGTATGACACTATTGACTTAAATATATAGTTTATAAGCTATGTTCGATTTACAATATAATTTTAGGGGCTGCTTTTTTATGTGCGAGCAGCAGCACGATATGAATCGTGCCTATCGCGACAAATTACGGGTAAATATTTTGGACAATTGTAATATACACGAGACGAAAAATCCGTACATGTGCTCCATACAGTATATATAGTTAATTTTTGGCTAGACTGACGTTGATTTATCCTTGTCTTCAAAATTGGATCAAACATGAATTTTTTTATATTTTTTAAAAAATTGTCTAGAGTAAAATTTATTTATAATTTATAAAAGAATAAAACTTGAACATTTATTTGCAAATATATATATAAATCGAAAATGAATTCACGAGAAACTGATAATTTTAAGTTACTACTAACACGGAATCAAGGATTTTACTTAGAATTTTTATCCTAATTTGACTAAAAATTCTTACTACACATTGTGTACATATGTATAAGACATTACATATCTCATATATTTAGGTGAATCATTGTGTTGAATGTTTTTTATCTAGTAGCCTTTCCTTATCGACGGAAATTTCCGGAATTTACTTAATCTGACTTTTTCTCCGTCTTTACATATGTGACATATGTTAACAGCATGAAAGGACCTATATCCATTATTAGTGCATCTAAGGTAACATAATTTATGAATACGATTTTAACTTGAAACTTATAGCTTCTACTATTGTTTCAAATCAATCAATCATTTTTGACATTAAACCGGTATCAGCACGAACGTGATAGAGAATCCATTAATCTTTAGAAGATTTGAAAATAATATAGTTACTAATTATTGATTTATATAATTTATTAAAAAAGTTAAAAAATTTTCTCGAATAATAATTTTAATAAGATAAATATATACACAAGTTGATTAAAAAACATTCAAAACTTTTAGCTTGTACTACTTTTTCAAATTAGTTATTTTCACATTAAATCGATATCAACACGAATGTGATGGAGAATTAATCTTTGGAGAATTTGTATTAAAAATAATTATTACTTAACAACTTTATATAATTGACTAAAAAGGATCTATCTAATAATTTTAATAGGATAAATATATGTCGATTTTAAAAAATTTCTTTATTGATTAATATTGTATATATCGTAATATTTATTTTTTAACATCATATACTGAATCCTTTACGCAATTACAAATTCGGAATTGAAGAAAATTCCGTATTAAATGATTTTGATCAGAATTTAAATTTGCAGTTTATCATATTCGGAACGATACATCGCATTACTTAAATCTATCCTCTTTAACTGCATTTTTTTTCGATGCTTAGTTCCTTTCTTTACGTTGCCAATTCGATCTACAATGATATATATCTTACGTGTCCTCACATTTGAAACTAAGCACTTTTCAAGTCTAGACATTCGTACATCATGATTGTTGGCTAAAAGAAAATCCAGAATAATTTGACTAATGTTTAACACTGCGTATATACAATCTGTGGGGGGTTTATACTTTTTAATCTTATATCTCTTATTTTTTTTTTGATAAATATGTCTGATTCTTGTTTGTGCATCTCCCACTTTTTCGTGAGTAGAAACACGTAAGTAGTACCGGCGACTTCGCTTCTTATCGCGTCCTATGTGCAAGACTCGCAAGGAACGCATAGGGATTGAATTGGCTGCGACGCGGCGTTAGTGGTGAGGGCTGGCTGGTGGTTGGTCGGTGGTGGCTTCGGAAGATTTTGGAGGTTATACCGAGGATTGTCCGGCGAGGATCAGGGATCGGATTTCCAATTGTGGGTTACGCGCGGGCGACCATAGCTCGGCAGACACGTTTCGTCGTCGCGAGCGAGGAGACGTGCGCCCAGTGGTCTCGAGTGACACGGTCAATTGCGGCAACAACAGCAGTCCACCGTTGACGTGAATTCACGCGTTATACGTACGGCAAAGTGGACTCAATGTCGATAATATGTCGGCTAAAAACGACATCAGGACGACGCGGATGCACAGGATGGCCCGTAGGGCCGTTTGACGATTATTTATGAATTTACGGAGAGATCTGAAAAGAGGGTGTCCACGGTACAACAACATGGTGAAGGAGAAGGCGAATTCGATCCGCATCTACGATTCCGAGGGCTACAGACGTAGAGCTGCCTGTATCTGCGTCAAAAATGATCTCGAGGACGAGGTAAGCCAGCCAGCAGATGGCAGCTCCCGATATTTTTGCCGGCACGTGTATCGTTCGCTTGTACGTCCCTCGTATTCTCAAGAACATAATTGTTTTTTCTCGCAAGAAGAGCCCCGTGAAAAGTCCCCTCGATCAGCTGATCGAGCTGGATCTGTCATCGAGACCGACGAGCGCGGATTGTCTCGCGTATTTACTCGTATCTTATTCATTCTTGTGAATTGCAGGTACTATTAGTTACATCTAGTCGAAGACCCGACAGTTGGATAGTACCAGGCGGCGGGGTCGAGCCTGAGGAGGAACCATCGGTTACGGCTCTTCGTGAAGTCCGAGAAGAGGCTGGCGTTCTAGGACAATTAGGCCGTTGCCTCGGCACATTTGAGGTTATAACCCGTGATGTATGCCATACAAACAGATATTACGTTATGCTCTATTAATGTGATGTTTTTTTTTTCTCGTTATACGCGCTGCGTTCTATTCATCGATCATGTATCATAATCCTATTCATGTATCATATTCGACCTATCGATTGAAACACATTAATCTCCCTTTATAGAACACAGAACACAAACATAGAACGGAAGTATGGGTTATGCAAGTGACCGAGGAATTACCGGAATGGGAAGACTCGCGCGCTATCGGTCGGAAGAGAAAGTGGTTCACCATCCCAGAGGCCCTGCTGCAACTCAGCCAGCACAAGCCCGTCCAGCGCTCTTACTTGCACAGCCTCTACAATACTAATCCTCGACATAATCCCACCTCTCAACTGTCCAACCATTCGCACTCCACGATGACATCTATCGAGCTAATGAATAATTCTAGTAACAATTCACGTTTAAGTGAACACAGCTAATATCGTCGTGAATCATCCGTTTCTATCGAAAATTCGATCGCCATGAAGTCTCACTGTTACTCCTCCTTTCTCCCATTAAGGGAATTTTATGGTAACAACTGACTCTCTGCTGTGTTTTATACATATAAATTTATATTACCTACATTTATCTTTATTATTATGATATTCTTAGGTTAATTATTATCATTATATTATGTTTACTTACATATAGGTCGTTGATGATAAATCGTTTTATTACTTTTTTTTTTTTCGTAGCCAGGTTCTCATTTCTGATGTGATTTTTTATCGAATGTGCGAGAAAAATAATTAAGTCAATGGTTTCATTATATTTAGTGTTTGTGCCTAATATATATGTAGAATGTCATACATGTGATCCTTTTCCATGCATCGCATATCCTGGATGGACACAGTTGTGCGAATACCTTGGTAACTTTTTCTACATTTTCTCAAGAGACAGGAAAAGTTACATACTTGTTAGCATACAAATAATAAATTATGTACTTTGTATATTAACTTCTTGAATAAATTTTGTAATGATTTCTGCAAAGTATATAAAGAAAATGCATAAAACTATCACTTTATAGTCTTTGATAAACATCAAAATTTTATTCGAATTATATATCGAATTATATATATAATGTAATTTTATTTTATGCATAATGTAACGGAACATTAAATTTATATTAGAAAGTTTTTTTGTTTCTTTTCTTTTTCTAGATTAAAAATTGCGAAATATGGACTTTCTTTCTTTTCTATTAATACAATATAATTTTTATCTTAAATTGGTGTAAGAGAGAGGGATAACAATCCTTGGATTTTTTAATTTTATTTTTATATTTTGTTATTTTTTTTTTTTCAAATATATCTAGTATAACTGCTACAGAATTGAAAGAAGTGCCGTGTTAGAATTTGTTCAGAAATACTTCGCAGCATATAAAGTAGAATAACTCTATCTCATAAGTAGGATTTTCGAATGCACTCTAGAAAATGCGATAATGAGCATGCGCGAACAGAGAGAAGACTGAGAAATGTCATGGCTCACTTTTAATCCCGATCTAATAGGTAATTTAAACCCTAAGCCTTAAGAAATTGACCAATCACAGTCGAGTATTCTCTTCATACTTGACTGTGATTGGTCAATCTCTTAAGGTTCGAGGCTTAAATTGCCTATTGTAGACTAAATAAAAAGAAGACACATAAATGATTAAATAATAGCGTGAAAAGAGAGAACATATTAATATCTTTATATAATAAATTATTATTAATTAAATTATTTATATTTTTATTTATATTATTTATATTATAAGAGAGACACGTATGTTAGAGAACATTCGTGGGCCGGTATTCATAGTCCGATCTTATATTTGAGATCGTCTTAAGTTCGAGCTTGAAATGCTACGCAGCTATTTGATTGGTTGAATGAGGTCTTAAGTCAACCTCCAAGCAGACTTAAGACGATCTTAAATATAAGATCGGACTATGAATACCGGCCGTGGACTTTGGCTTTGTAGTTCATGTCCATGTTTTCAATGTCCATAGAGGGAGTATCGCTTTCAGGGATCATCTCACCTAAAAGCAGGTCATGACATCTCTCAGTCTTCTCTCTGGCGCGAATAAGTAAATTTTCACACGTGTGCGATTGATGTGATTTCTCTTTAATTGGTAAATAATACGATTTTTCATTTAATTTCTTTATCTAAAAAAGAAAAAATATCGATAAAAGATTGATCGTGATATTTTTTGATGAGTACATTTAATTTCGAAAATATATTTAGTTAATATAGCCATATAATTTATACTTTATAATTTACACACTCTGTTAGGTTAGGAAATATTACATGTTAGGTTAGGAATATATTACATGTAAACACATCAGCATTTTTAACAGAATATACAAATTATTCCAAGTATTATTAAGGAATTAAAAAATTAAAAATCATAAAATTTATCCTTTAGTTAACGTTGTATCTATCCGAGATGCCTGTTTATCCTGAAAATATGCTCGAGGAAATGGAAGAACCAATGGAAGGTGTCGCAAATGAAGACGAGAGCAGCGAGAACAGCGATGATGAATCCATGCAAGACGGAGACGAGAATCAAAAGGAAACTGAATCGAAGGTGTACCTTCCAGGACAGGCTTTGGAAGAAGGAGAGGAACTTGCTGTTGATAAATCGGCATACAGATTATTGCATCACGCGCAGTCTGGTGCACCATGTCTCAGTTTCGACATAATACCAGATGATTTAGGTAACTGCAGGGAGAGCTATCCTTTGACCATGTACATAGTTGCTGGGACACAAGCTGCCAAGACACACATCAATAATCTCCTTGTCATGAAAATGTCCAATTTATATGGCACTAGACAACACTCTGAAGATTCAGAAAGTGAGTCAAGCGACTCGGAAGATGAGAATGATGAATATAAGCCAATTATGAATGTTGCACCTATAAAACACCAGGGATGTGTTAACAGAGTGAGGTATTTCAGATAAAAAGTAATTTTTAGCAAAAATATTTACTTAGAGACATTTTCATAATTTGTAATATATTGATAGATGTACAAAACTTGGTGAAACAATACTAGCTGCTAGTTGGAGTGAACTGGGGCGTGTAAATATTTGGAACTTGCAAGAACAGTTAAGTGCAGTTGAAAATCCCAGCTTATTAACTGCATATCGCAATAAGTGTGACAAAGCAAGTGGAGATATTAAGCCATTATACACATTCAAAGGCCATCTCTCTGAAGGATTCGGCCTCGATTGGTGCTGTACAGAACCGGGCACTTTAGCGTCTGGTGATTGCAAAGGTAACATTCACATATGGCGAATTGACAGTAGTGGTACATCTTGGCATGTAGACCAAAGACCATACAATTCGCATGCCCCACATAGTGTGGAAGATTTACAATGGTCGCCAAATGAAAAAAATGTTCTAGCATCATGTTCAGTAGATAAAAGGTTTGATATTCCTCTTATAAAAAATATACTTCTGAAAGATATATCTTATATATTGCAAATTATTCTATAAAGATTATTTTGTTTTTCATAACAGCATAAAAATTTGGGACACTCGAGCGAGTCCACAGAATGCATGCATGTTAACAGCGTCCGGCACTCACACAGCAGATATCAATGTTATTTCGTGGAATCCGAAAGAGAGTCAGTTTATAATATCAGGTGGAGATGACGGGTTGCTTTGTGTATGGGATTTACGACAATTCGGAGCTAATGGCACAAGTCCAGTTGCTACTTTCAAGCAACATACCGCTCCAGTTACCACTGTGGAGTGGCATCCAACAGAAACCACGGTGTTCGCTTCCGGCGGAGCCGACGATGTAATCGCTCAATGGGATTTGTCAGTGGAAGTAGATCGTACAGAGGAATCACAGAACAGTGAGCTGGCCAAGTTGCCGCCGCAATTGTTATTTATACATCAAGGTCAGTCAGATGTCAAAGAATTACATTGGCATTCGCAATGTCCAGGAACTATGATATCAACTGCGCATTCAGGTTTTAATATATTCCGTACAATTAGCATTTAATAATGAATATCTTTTTACAATAAAAGATTTAAATAAATAAATAATAAAATATTTATATAAAAAATTCTGGCAATATATTATGTAAAATATATCTATAACAAATTTCCTTTTTTTTTTTCTTTCAATTTTGTTCTTAAAATAGATATATTTTATCTAATTTTTTAATTGTAATAATCAAAATTTTATATACAGATTTGAATAAAAGACGCAGAATTACTCGTTTGTGTATTTAAATGTTGTTTTCGTAAAATATATTTATGAAGACATTACAGATTATTCATTTATTTATTAATAATAACGACAATATATGCCTTATGGTAGGCCTACCATGGGGGCAATTCCATGGATTCTGCATTTGTGCCATTTGCATTATCAGCTTGTGCATCTCATTGGTGTTTAGAGCTGTGCCAATCATTACTGCACTGCGACACGCCCTAGATGCTAGCATTTGTCTAACACGACTAGGACGAAATATATGCTTCTCCTTAATTTCGTTACCCGCTTCTCTGATGAGAAATACTAATTCCTCTATATCCTCTTGACCAAATTGCCAATGACCACTAACAGGCATTCCTATTAATTCTATCTTCTTGCCAAGTTCAGCTAAACAGTTATTACAGCAACATTTAAATAAAATTACAATAATATTTTATCAACATGACATTTCATTAATTTTTTCATAGAATAAATCGAATTAGTTATAAATTCATGTATACAAGAATTAAATACGTATGTACCTTGCTCGTTGATATTGAAGGTAAATCCATTATCTTCGAACATTTTTTGATGCTCTATAAGTATTGTTTCACTTAATGCAGAAAAATTCATTGGCTTTGGCACGATAAGCTTTTGGGTTTTTAGCTTTGTTTCATTACTGAGTTTCTCGAAACGAAATTTTTCGTCAGTAGCATGTTGATCGATAATAAATAAATCGTTCTCCAAACGAGTTATTATAAAACCGAGATTAAACTGACCTATTACCTCCATCTAGAAAAAATTTTTAAATTTAAAACAAATGTATAATGTTTTTTTCTAAATATTAATATTATATAGTAAATTTATATATATATTACTTTGCCAAATGAATCTTTTGTCAGTTCTCTTTGCAATTCTTTTTCAGCTTCATCTTGATTAGCCTCCATTTGTATTCTATATTTTATTCTTTTTTCTATATTGACAGGTGCTCTAACAATGATTTTTTTTTCTTTTAATTTTTCTTTAATTATTGTAAAGCTTATTGTCATTTCTACATCTATAGGTTTTTTCATTGATTTAATATTAGTCTGAATATCATCATTTTTTGCCATGTGAGATATTGAAGGTGATATTTGCAATCTCTTTGCTGGCGGATGAACATAATTAGATGAAATTGTCCTCTTAAAACCAAACTTTAACTCTGTTAAAGGCTTGGCTGTAAAATTTCCTTGCAGTTTATCCCATTTCGCCGTTAAACTAAATTTTAATGTTGCTAATATGAGACGTTCTTGCGTGAAAAATATTGTCCTTTTATCAGGAGTAACATTAACGTCGGCACATTGTCGATTTAATTTGACATTTAAAAAAACAAATGGATACTGCTTATTATTGTATTTATGGTATACATTGTTCACCAGTTTGCTGACTTTCGTGAGATCGCACGGTCGACCATTCACGTAAAAAAATTGTCGATCGGGCGATGAACGTCCAATCGCGTGATCACAAGTGCTCACATAACATTCCCAATCAAAATCTATTGTAACATCATTAGACAAATTATATTCTTGCAATGTTGTTTCATCTGGAGATTGTAATTCAAGTTTAATTATTCCATCTAAAGACTTTTTTCCAAACACTGAATTTATATTATCCAATACACTGTCTGTATTTCTTGTAGTTACTATAAGGTGAGGCGATTTGCTCGCTATCAAATTGGAACATGCAATCTTAATGTTGGTGGAAACTAAACAATAACTATACAAAACTTGAATTGCACGTGTATACTCCTTCTTCAGATTTTTCTGAAACTCCTTTGCTCTCACGGGTAGATTTTTGAATATATTCTTTATATGCACTGTGGTTCCCTTTTCTCTAGCACATGGTTCCTTTTTCGTAAGCATACCATTTTGATCAAATTCTAATTTGAAGCCATGTTTGCTAGTTGAATGCCTAGTGACAATACTCAATTCGGACAATGCACATAATGAACTCAATGCTTCGCCACGAAAGCCAAATGTATTTACTTCAGTTAAGTCTGTGAATTCCCGTAGCTTTGATGTATGATGCTTCAAGCCTGAGAAAAGAAAAGGAAGGTAACGAGAAGAATTATTATTATTTTTCTCTAGAAAGATTAATGTGTTCAATCAAGTAAAAGACAAGTTCTACAAAGTACTTTATATTTTTTGATAATATGAAAGATTCCAAGTAATTTATTATTATTATTTTAATTTACAGACTTACCTAAACCTTCAAAATCCTGTTCTAAAACACCACTACCATTATCACTAACACTAATGCAGGTTTTACCATAGTCAATAAGTTTAACATCAATCACCGTGGCATTGCTATCCAAACTATTCTCTACTAACTCTTTGACAGCGATTGCGAGATCAAATACTACCTAATGAAATATTTATGATTTTTATTAACAAATCAACCTTTATGCTACAAACTTGTATTTATAAACTTAACCTTACCTGACCGGAGCAAATGTGATGAATAGTTTCTTTATTTATAGCTTCTATTTTTTTCGACTTTTCCGTTGTTGCGACAGGTTCATCCATCATTTCGTACTTTTGTAACTTTACATCACATTCAAATCAACGTTAATAATTTTAAGTATTTTTAGTATTTTTAGTATTCTCATGCTATTGTTGGCACGTAATTATCGGCAAGTTTTATAACCTCTCTCGACATTACACTGGATAAAATCCTATAAATCTAAATATATTATCTAAATATATGTATTTATATGCAATAATATATATTTCAATGAAATTCTTTGAATTTCAATTGATATTATAATTTTTTTGACCAAATTCTCGATAACCTAACAATAAATGATACATAAAGTCTCGTGCAACAGATACAGCTTATATTCGCTTTTTGCCTTTAAGATCCAAACCTATTTTTTATAATAGTAATAGAGATATAATAGAGAATAGATATAATTTTTTTACAATGGTAATAGAGATATAATATTTATCTATATTAATTTATATATGAGAAAAATAATTGTGGCAAATTTAGATAAAAAAATTTCATTTATAACAAAAAAATGTATAGATATGATTTATATCAAAATATATATAATACATATTTATTATATATTTATTGATACCTATATAACTTTGTTTAACATTCGTTAATATATATAGATATATGTACTGTAATTTTACTAAAAACAAATATTTTACAAGTCGGATCTAACTCCAAATCCAGGACCTGGTGGTGGAGATGTTAATGATGTAAGTCCACCTGCAGGATCAGCCGCAAATCTCGGAGCATTCTGTGGTCCTGGTGGAGGTCTTTCGCCTTTTTTAAAAGCATTTATTACAGCTGTTGCAGTCTCTGGAGTCAAATCCTCCTATTAAAAAAACGAAAACGGATACAGTCTTTCATTACTGTTAAATTTATCGCGTTTATATCTAAGAAGATAATTATACATACATAATAATCATCGTTTACTTGAAACATCGGAGCATTCGCGCAAGCACCGAGACATTCCACTTCCGAAATCGTGAATAGTTTGTCCGCGGAGGTGCCGCCGATTTCACAATTCGTAGCTGCTGTAACAGCCTTGACTATCGCATCAGAGTCTCTCAACCAACATGGTGTACAGGTACAGATCTGTACATGATACTTCCCCATGGGCTTGCGATTAAACATTGTATAGAATGTGGCTACCTCATATACTCTCATACGCGGCACCTCCAATATCTCTGCAACTTTATGCATGGCAGAAATAGGTAGCCAGCCATGTTGCCGCTGTGCTAGATCTAATAGAGGTATCATGGCACCACGTTTGTGACCTTCAGGATATATCGCGAGGATAGCTTTGATCCGCTTCTTATTTGCCTCATCGAATTCAAATGGTATATTAGGATTGTCATGTTCACTATCTCTATGCTAAAATTAGAATACAATTAGTTTACTCTGATTGAAATTAATTATTATGTGTATTATTTATTATTACTACATACAATAAACAGCTGATCTGATGTACGATTTACTGTTGTTTGCAATCCCCTAATATTTCTTGGAGCCTGTTAAAAATGAAATTATTCTTAAATACGAATCATGTGATTGAGCAAAGGAACAAGTAATAGTTGTCAAATAAATAAAGAAAAAGAATTAAGAAAGTTTTATCAGATTTCAAATATTTTTGGCCTTTATTTCTCATAACAAAATTAATATAAAAAAGGAATAAAAATATTTAAAAAATATTTTAAATAAGAGACCATACGTATACTTTATTACAGATAATATATAGAAACTGTTACTTTTCATACATGTGTAAAAATATTAGATATAATTCTAAAGTTTTTATGACAAAAAGCGAATTGTCTAATTTTACAGAATTGATTTACACAAATTAATAAAAATCAAACATTATGTAAGATATTTGAGGTTATAGCAAAAAAATAAATTGATGAATAAAAAAAATAAGTAAAGTTTCCTCAAATAATCACTTACGAGGAGCCCGCAAGCTCGACGTAGAGATGTCAACATGTCAATACAGCTGTCAATGACAGGTGATACAAGAAAAATCCTTGTTTACAATACGACTTATAGTATTAAATGTCAATCACTCGTTATTTTCTGCTACATTCATGAGAAAGCAAATGCAGAGAGAAGGTAGCCAATTACATGACGAGATGGACGCCATGTTACTACAGAAATTCATATGGATAGGTCAAGTGAACACAAATCAAAATAAATTTAAATCATATATATGTATAATCGCGAGAAAAATATAAATTAATTTTATATATGTGTTAAAAAAATGCAATTTCTCTAATATATTTATATGTATATACATATATATATATTTGAAAAAAAAATTTATCATATTTGCAGAGAAAAATAAACAAGAGTGCAGTGAGTGCAAGTATGAAAGAGACAATGCATAATTCGAGTAATATCGTAAATAATGAACATATCCATGGAAATGTAGAGGTAATTCCTTTTATTTTTAATTCATCTTTTTAATTTTTTACGATATTTTTTATCATTTGTTTGAAAATCTTCTGTACGGCAAGTGTTACTTATGAGAGCAATCCCAATTTTCGTCAATTTTTATTGTGCTTACAGGTTATATTATATTAATTTTCACTATAAATTTATATATTGTCTATATATATGTATGTGTGTGTGTGTGTGTGTGTCACTTTATCTTTATTTTCTCGACATTTTTAAATTATTGTAGTAGTAGATAATTATATTTATGTATATATATATATATATATATATATATATATATATATATATATATGCTTTTTTAAATATACATATTTTTTCTACAAGCATTTGTGAAGTAATTTTTCATAAGTTCTCAAATATAAACAAAAGATTATTTAAAAAATCGATAGAATAAAATTTCCTTAGAAATATTTAAATTTTATTACACTCTTAAACAAAATATTATCATGTTATGTAATTCCAGCAAGCTATTATTCCTGAGGAGTCACCAGCAAAGCAGAAATTAAGAAGTTGGCTAAACCGACATTTGCGAATTGAAATGACTGATGGAAGAGTCTTAAGAGGAGCATTCTTGTGTACTGATCGTGATGCCAATGTTATACTTGGCTCGTGCACTGAATATCTATCTACAGAACATACAGAAGCAAGAGTTTTAGGCTTGGTAATGGTACCTGGTCGACACATTGTTTCAATACATTTAGATGTTTAAAGCAGCATTATTCTTACAAGTCTGTAAATATATGAAATGCTATATATATGCTTATTTATTATATACTGCCACAGATGTTATATGAATTGGTTAGATTTACTTTTTTAAAAATTTACTTTTGTAATAAATAAGTTAGCAGAAATTAAAAAATATAAATGCTGCTGTTAATTGTCAATCACTGTTAATTACTAATCCAGTAAATATAACAAATATTTGTATTACTCGATTAATTTCATTTAAAAAATATAAAAAAGTTTCTAATCCAAAAAAATTCTCTTTATTATAATTTTTTAATATATAATTGGGTCAAATAAAATAGCAAGGCACATTTTAGTTATTTTTGAAGGTATCAAATCTTGAACAGGGAATGTTTAAGGATAAGAAACCTTTATACCAAATATCTTTAATTCAATAACTGCATCTTTATGTAAAAAATAGATAACAAGAATTGAGATAATCGAATATGATCGATATTAATTATGTACAGTATATATATTAATAAATATGAGAGAAAAATGTATCATTAATACAAACAATTTGTTAGACACAAATTTTTATTTTTTATAAAGTCTAAATATATTCCAGAAATTGAAAACCATTCCCTAGAAAAATTCATTATTGTTTTTCAGTTGTTTCCTTACTGCTTTTGATACACTGTTCCTGTATATGGCAGTATGCACTTTCCAACTGTTTATTGCTGTCAGCTTCTATTTTCACTTTATGCATTGCATCATCTATTCTTTGTAAAAGTGTATTGTTCAAATTTTCCATCTCGTACAAAAAACATAGTTGTGAGGCAGCTATTGCCATTTTGTACACATCTTCCATAGAATCAGATAATTTCTATTTAAAAAGAATATTCACATTATATATAATTATTTATAATGTTTGGCAATATATTTTTAATATGTTTATGTTTTATGTATTAATTTTATATCACAGCATATAAATGTGTGTCCTACACAACATTTATATGCTGTGATATAAAATTAAAATATATATATAATAAAAATAAATTTTGTTTAAATAATAATTGCTTTAAGTCTTGTTTCAATATTGATGTATATTCCAAAAGTTATTGACTATATAAAATATGTCAAGATTAAGTTAATTGAAAACTCTTAAAATATATAATCATTAGAAAGCTTTTGCTATATGGAAAATATTTAATATATTAAAAATATTTTTGTTAAGCAAAAATCACTATTTTAATTAATAATATGTTACCATAAGTTTCTCCTTCTTATTTTGTATTTCATTTCGTAATTCTACAATCGAATCCCAATGCTCATCATTTACATTGTACATTAAAGTTTCTTCAAGAAGTGTAATGAGCTTATTCAATAATGTTCTATAAAAAAATAAAACGAATTTGTCCAATAATGTTTTACTATATTGCCATGATAAATGTCATATCATAAATATCTCATTTTCACAGATCTTTTATTTTTTTATTTACCTATACTCAGTACTCAGTTCTGTTATTGCCATATATGTAACAGTTAACGTCTGTGTTGTACTATTGACAGTATCCAATATAGATTGTTTTATCATATACTCATAAGTTAGCTTTTTCATATCCAGTGGTTCAAATTGTAACTTCTTATTTGTAGATTTATCAGAAGGTTTATCAGAAGAAGTACAATAGGCAAATAACATACTTGATGTATACTGTGTATCAAAACAAAAAATTTATTAATATTTTCAATGCAACCAAATAAACGTTAAGGAAGTTAAAATTATAACAAATATTCTCACCATAGCAGGTCTAATATTTTTTAATAATTTTCCGAGAGTTTGACGCATTGACATATTTGTTAATAATATATAATTAATTTTACAAGAACAGTCGGAGCCACTGTCTCCTTAATACTGGGACCAAGTAACTCTGACAACCCTTTTTTCCTTGATTATTTCTTTTAGTTTTCATTTCAATAGTTCAATCTTCTGGTTCAACACATATATATGTATATATGCATGTATAATGAGAATGCATTACGCGCGTAAAAAAAACCAAATGAGTGACAGAAGGTTCTATAACCTCAATCTTGTCAAAATCAGAAAAGTAATGGATAATAATGGCAGAGAAACCCAAGGATAAACAGCTGATTAAGAACAGAAAAATTGAAAGAATACAGAGATTTTATTGTTAGCGCTTAATTTTTTCTTTTTCTTTTAAATACTAAACGTACATTTTAAATGTAGAAAATGTGATTAAATTTCACTTTAAAAATTTTAGATTATAAATAAAATTAAAAATGAAATATTTGTTAAAGAAAATCTTTAAAAAGTGGTAATCAAAATTTGTATCTTTACTAAAAATATATCATACAAGACTAACTATATATAATATTAATACTATACATATATATATTTAGAATAAAAGGATATGTATATATGTATACACATACATATATGCATATAGAAAACAGTGTATTTTGTTTTGACAAGGCGTTTTTTACATTACATGTAATAATGTTATATTTTTTATTTTTTTATCCAAATTAATAAAAGTTACAATAACATTAGAAATTACAATTGTCTTTATTGGAATGATAAGAATTTGTTGAATCAGAATGTCTATTTAGCAATAGAATAATGATATCCATAATTTTTATTATTAGAGAGTTTTTCTAGATATTGAGAAAAAGAGTCGAAAAAACGATTTTATGATTCCTAGATAAGTTTTTGTCTGTATATATTGTAATGTGTACATTTGTATACTTATAAAAAAAATATAATTTTTTAAATATATATATTGTATAAAAAATATTTTAAACATTCATATATATATATATATATATATATATATATATATATATACATAAGAATATCTAAAATAATTTTCTTATACAATATATCCATAAATAACGAAAAAGAGAAAGGAGACTTATGCGCGTGAATTTTCACTTATGAAAAAATAATACAATTTAATATGGAATACATATAAAGAGTAAGAGAAATAAGTTTCTCTGAAAATTACTTGTATGAAAACATGTAAAATTATATATACTACAAAAAAAATTATTAGGAAATATATGCAAGTTTTTTTATCTGCATCTTTTATACAAACAAATATGCAGTATATCTTATATCATGTAACTCTATATGATATAATATATAAAAGATATACCTGCAGCGAGAGATATTTCATATGCAAGTTCAAAAATTTGTTAAGAATTGTAGAGATTTGAGATAAAATTTTCACAGAACTGACCTATTTTCTTTTATACCTAATAAATTAATAAATTCTAATAAATTTTGTATCAATAAATTAAATATTTGAATCTGCGTTATTGCTTGGCACTTGTATAACATAATTATCGCGAACAGTCTCTGATAAAATTAATATTTTTCAATAAACTTTAATGAATGAAATTGTGAATATTCTGATATAAATACATATTATTAAATGGGAGGAAACAACTTGTATTCACATTTTCACAGAATAATTTATCCAACCATAGCAATGCATAAGAATTTCCACTTTGATTTTAAATGCATTGGATGAAGGTAATCTACAGAAATTGCCTAAATCGACAGATATTGTCGATCAATAACAAATAGAATCACACACTCTTTTTAAATAAATTTTTTATAGTTCTTGATGCTTTTCTTCTTCTGGAATTCGCTCATCACTTAATCGAGATTCCTCGCTTTCCGATACAACTAATGAATCCTGTATAGCATCCATCGTTTCCAGCGTTGGTTCTTGTTGTTCTTCCACTACTTCATTATCTGATGCAGTTTGTTCTTCGGTAAATTTGTCATTTTCAGTATCAGGCATAGATTCTTCATTTTCTTCTGTTTTATCAGTCGTTTGATTCGCCGCATTTTCCTGTTTTGGTCTCCAAATCTTCACTTTATTTAGAAGATATTTAATTTCTCTGTCAAGTAACTCCATTTTACTTAGGATATGACGAATTTTATATTTTACTGGTTCATTTAATGATGTTTCCGCAAAATGTTTTAAAATTGTTTCGTAATAATCCTAAAAAAAAATATCGCTTTTTGTGTGTGTGTGTGTGTGTGTATGTATGTGTATATATATATATATATATATATATATATATATATATATATATCCTTATATATCATATATATATCTTATACTAGTATTATATATATATATATACTATATAATTTTTATAATACTAGTATAAGAGATATATATATATATATATATATATATATATATATATATATCTTATACTAGTATTATAAAAATCGTTATATTAAATATAATGCATTATCAATTTAAAATAAAAATATCATCAAAGTTATATAGTTACCTGCGTCTCGTTAATTACTTTTTCTAGTGTCTCGACTTCAACAGGTGTAATAATCTCAGTTGTTGAACTCAAGTTACGCATATTTTCTAAGAACGTTTTACTGTTGTTGAGTAATGTAACCATTCCTTTCAAAACTTCCGGACGATCTCGGTGTTCAGAAACTCTCTCATAGACGTCGTTGGTTAATTTTTGCAATTTTATTAACTTCTCCTCGTATACTTCCGCAGTTGCGGTAAATCCATCTTCATATAACCATTCGGAGATCTCGGCACAGGCTTCGCGGATTTGTTCGGCCTCCTCATTTGTAGCTGCAACCGAATACTCTTCGGAATCGAGCTTCTGTTGCGCATCGATTACATATGACTCGAGATTGTTTAACGCAGTTTCTCGACGCGTTTTTTCAGAATCATGCACGTTCAAACGATGTATTCTAAAGAAAAGCAACATTATTTTTATTCAAATTAATATAAATATTGTTTAATATTGTTTAATAAATATAATTATGCCAAATATTGAATACTTTAAATTACTTTCCAATGAAATAATAAAAATTAATTATGTAAACACATACATCAAAATATATATGTGTATAAATATAATATGTGTGTGTGTGTGTGTAAATATATATATATTAGATATATTTTTGTTCTCACTTTTCTCGAGATTCCGTGAGTTTTGTGCCAGATAAGATTTGTGATCCTAGTTTGATCTCGTTTGAATTGATAGGTTCTTTGATTTGAATAATGGTAGACTTTTTTTCTTGATCTGCCTTCTCAGTCTTATTTGAAGCTTTATTTTCATCTACTTTCGTGTCATTTTTCTTCTTTTCTTTTTCTTCTGACTCCTTTGGCTCGGAAGATTCTGGTTCTTCATGTACTGGTTTTATATCCTCTTTCGGTGTCTCTTCCGTTTTTTCTGATGGTTCTTGCTCATGAGAAGCACCTAAAATTTTTATAATGTATTCTTTTCTATATTTTAATGATATATAATTAATGATTAAAACTTTTTGTGTTGCTGATATATAAATGCAAATCTTTAAAAAGTTTAATCTTAAATAACATTTAATAATATGATGCACACAATTTATAAGTAAAAAATGTACATAAAATACGAAATCTGTTCTATTAAAATTTATACATAAACTTTTGAGAAATTATATTGTTACAAGCACATATATAATGCATTTAATTATCAGCACAACAATATAACCTGAACTTGTTTAACAATATTATTATCTGTGCTTTTCATATATATATATATATATATATATATATATATATATATATATATATATCTTTTTCATACAAATCTCTTATCACCATAATTGCAAAAAATGATATCAAAATAAAAAGTAAGATAATATTTTTGTTATTCTATTGCTTGGAATCTTGTTTTCAATACACATATAAATAATACAATCATTTTTTTGGAAAATAATAGTTCTTTAATATACATAAAGTATAAAAAAGAACTATATAATCATTAATATATTAAAATTGAGATCCATACATGCAACAAAAATTAATAGCATCATTTTTTGCATTGCCTTCAGCACAAACCTGCAAAAAATTTACTAATAGTTGAGCCAAGTATTGAGAAAGTACCCTCTTCTTTGTCAACAACAGTGCTTGATTTTTCTGACACTAATTCCACATTTAGGAAATTCAATATGCCGCTCTCATCCATATTAAAAAGCGCTTTGATTTTTTTACTCTCGGCACCTTCCTTAGCATGTTTTTCTAAAGCTTCAGATACACCACTTAATAATATAGTGGATATTTTTAGATCTCCAATAGACCTGTAAGAAAATTTAAATACTGTAGTTTTAAACATAATATTTCTCAGTACTTGAAATATAATTTATTCCCAATATTAAAAATAAATTTGAAATCTACAAATACTTACATTACTTCTGTGGGAGGCAAATAATCTAATTCAGAATAACTCACATCAAAATCAAAATCTTGTGTATATTTATTAAATGTAATAATCTTCTTTTGTGGAAAAGGATTCATTTTGCCAAATAGTGTCCTTTTCATCTGTATACAAAAATAAATTTTGGAAATATATATATACACACACATAATTATTCAAATGTAGAAATTTAAAAAATCAGTTTATACCTGTTTAACTTTGTTATTGCCGATATCTCTATTAAGCATAATTTGAATTGGGAACAATATAGCATCTTTTGTAATAAATTTCTTGACTTTAAAACCCTGACTGAGATCAGCTGCTTTATATGCAGCTCCCAAAGCAGCTGCTTCATCTGTATTTATATTTTTTGACAATTCTGTCTTTACATATTGAGACAATGTCTCTTGTACTTTTGGCATACGAGTGCCTGCTCCTACCAGTACAACATGTGATATAACATCCATTGTCAAAGCTGAAACAATTTTATATTTAGAGTTTACACAAATATTTGACAAGAGAATTACAATTATATGTTCTACTTATCAAAGAGTATTTACCTGAAGTTTCTAAAGCAATTTTCACAGGATTTGTTATACGTTCAAATAAATCTGCACATATTTCTTCCAGTTTTTCTCTTGTAACTTGCATTCTGAAGTCAATATCATCTATTAAACCTTCTATCTGGGCAAAATGATCTGCATTGGCGCTGAGTACAGTTTTGACGCGTCCAGCTTCTTTGAAGAGTTTTGCCATTGCTCTCGGGCTTGTAAATACTGATTTTGATGTTTTTTTTAATGCATCAAATTCTTTTGCTAAATAATTTTGCAATCTAATTTGCACTTCTAATCCACCAAGTGTACGATCATATCCCACACCCAACACATTAACATAAGGATTTGTCTCTACAAAACCTCTCTCCTTTGTCTTCATGTTTTGATAACTGACAACTGTCGCGGTTGTACTACTAGCTCCCATGTCGTAAAACAAAATGTAATGCGCAGAATCATTTATTTCAGTTCTGCCAAATACACCATAATTCAAAGCAACTGCTGTATAGTCGTTTATGAGCTGTAATACTTTTAATCCAGCAAGTTCTGCTGCTTGAATCAAGGCTCTCCTCTCGGCTTGATTAAAAAATCCTGGCACAGTAATAACCGCTTCGTTTATTTTTTGTTGGGCCGAGGTTTCCGCCATCTCTTTACCCTTGTGCAGTATTTGTGCAAGTAACTCTTCTGGAGTATATGTTGTATTTTCATTTAGTCTAAATACTATGGTTTTCCTTTCATCATCAGCAATGATATTGTAATAAGGAAATCTCTTCTGATAAAGTTGTACTATTGGATTGTCTATAGGCTTTCCTAAAAGATCTAGAATGTAGGAAAAAGTATTTTGGGGAAATCTTACTCCAACCACTTGGGCATCCTCGCCAAAAGATCTTTCTCCATCTCTAAATGCAATCACAGCTGGTGTTTTCCTCTTTGATTCCTTATTTAAAGCTATTTCCATAGGAACACCAGGCTATGAAATAAAGTAAAATAAGCAAAGTATTATCAAGGTACATAATCAATCTTTCATATGAAAATAAATCAGACATGTTTGATTAATAGATTTTTAATACAGAATCATCGATAGGAAAGTTGCAGAATCACTATATAAATACGATTATTTGTATTACATACCGAAACAATAGCGACCTTCATCCATTCACTACCAAGGTCGATGCTCATAACAGCAATTTCTTCGCTAATACCGATGAAAGTAGCGAGGATGAGTAAAGCTAACGACGCCATGGACACATTTCTTTGCGAAAATGCCATCTGAAAATGAAAAAAAATTCAAAATATATCTTCTTGGAATGAGAAATATCGTAAAAATTAAGAAACAAATCTAATATATACGTGTTCGTGTTGAATTAATACACAGTATAAAGACAGTATTAAAACAGTGTCGATCTGTCAATTTGGGTTATGAATACCGGCGCCGTAAAATATGTCAATTGCAAAATAGTACAAATTAATGACGCTCGTTTACCTTGTATTCACGCTTTCGATGACACGTTACTCGAAGACAATTCTCAGCTGTATACCATTTAGAACACACATACGTGTAACGTAATTTTTTTCTAAATCAACAAAAGTCCAAAAGCTTAATTATTCCTCGGCCGCTCTCCGTGAAATTTTGTAGACGCACCATGTGTCGGTGTGGCACATTGCGATTGGCAAGAGAGCGCTTGGCTCTCATTGGTCCGCGTTGACCAATTAGAGGCAATTCTCCCGCGACTGCGCTTTTAGGGCGCATTCACATCTTGACCAAAGTAGAAATTGCGACTACCAGCGCGAATTCTGATTGGCTTTCTGCTTTACTGTCAATGAGCCCTGAAACTTATCCATGAATATGTGAATATGTAAAACCCGTATCAGACTACACTTTAAAAATTGAACAAAATAAGAAAATTATAATTCTTTTTGTTCTAATTAATCAAATTCTAATCTTTAATATTCAAACAATATAAACTTTAATATTCAATTTTCGATTTTTAATACATAGTCTGATATGATTTTAATTTCATTATACAGTCAAGAATAATAAATATAATTGATATTGAGGGATAGATCTATCTAAATTGGAAAATTAATAATAAATAAATATATTAATAGATTAATTGAGAAAGATTTCATTATTTGATTTTTTTGATTAAAAAACAATGAGCTAATCTTTAATAATTATATTTTAAAACATGTTTAATTCATTTATTTAATTTCAATATCAGATATTTATAATTTGTAAAAATTTCAAATACAAGATATACATTCACGACAAAATGAGAGAGTACAAAAATGAATATAAAAATTAAAAAGTTTCTGATATGATTGCAAAGCAGAATATAACTATAATTCTATCACATAAAAGTTGCTATAATCTAATCTTACTTTTTTTAGATTATTATAAATCTCACATACATGTAATACATAACCACTCAATTCCAATCAATATAAATAAAAATTATTACATAATATTTATAGCAATAGTATAATGCCGCTGTAGTTGAATTGGATTTCAAGTTTGAAGCAATATAGGGTATTAATTTCATTTTTTCAATCAAATTTTGCATAGTGTGCTTAATTTATCCTTATAGTAATAAAAATATTTTCAACAGCACATCTCTATTAACCCCATTGATCCTCAGATCGACCAAATTTATACGTGAGCGAGCCCAAGAAAATAAAGACATTTTGCAAGAATAATCCTACACCTGGCCAATGATGTGGTGCACCTATATATAATAATATCTCTTTTATGACTATTTTATATATATATAATTATTCTACATGTATAAAATTTTTAAAGAAAATACCTGCAGCTACAAAATTGGCAAATAAAATCCAACAGGCTGCTATTACTGCTGCAAATCCCATAACAAATCCGATAAATAGCCAACTCCTTGCACCTCTTGCTCCTAAACAACCACCATTGTAAGCTTCTCCTCTTATTTGCGCATTTGTCACTGAGTTGACCCTAAATAAAAATATTAATTTATTTCTCCAATAGTATTATATTACAATTTAAAAGACTTTATTAACAATATTATTAATCTATTACTTACATAAAAAGTGATAGAGTACCAAACACTCCACATACGTGATACGCATTTGCCATTTCATCTGGATATTTTGCATGCGCGTCTATTATAAACCACCATCCTACAAAAAACTAAAACAACACCTCAGTGAAATTTATATATTATGAAAAGAAATAAAAAAACACACAGCATCTTTATATATACTAAATAAGTATTTATGATGAAGTAAAAATTTAAATCTGACAGAAATAACTAATATTCTTATTGAGATATTATGATTCATTTATAAGATATATATTTATGAAATTTGTAGACGTATATATATACTATATAAACTTTAATATAGATTTACCAGTGTTCCTGCAAGCATAGAAACAAGCGCGTTTCTTTTTTCGCCGCCCTCGAACCAAACGCAGGTCGGAACTTGCATGCTTTCGAAACAGGATGTCATTTTCTCGCTGTTTTTATTTACGGAAATGCAAGGATATTGAATTTCGCGATGAGACAGCTAACCTTAAATACAATGACAGATATCACAGATATCAACATATATGCAACACTGTGAATATAATATCAAGAAGGGCGAAGTTCCGATACAGACAGTAGCGCTAGTGACGTAAAATGGCGATTAGCATAAATTAATCATTTCCACATGGATCCAATCAATGGCCGGTATTCATAGTCCGATCTTATATTTAAGATTGTCTTAAGTCTGATTCGAGGTTGACTTAAGACCTCATTCAACCAATGAAATAGCTGCGTAGCGTTTCAAGCTCGAACTTACGACGATCTCAAATATAAGATCGGACTATGAATACCGGCCAATAAATAAAAATATAGATGAAAGAATATTTTTTATTTTGTTTGCACCAAACCTTTTCACATTAGATTCTTTTCTTTTTTTTCTATCCAATGCCCAAATATATATCTATTTTGTTTTAAGTGCAAAAATTTAGAAATTGCAAGCAAAATGAACGAACTTTAAGTATCAGATGAATGTATTGAAGATTCAGAATATGATTGTATTATTATTATTATTATTATTATCATTTTGTATTATTTTATATTATTTTAATTCATTAAAATATATCCAGATAAATTTGCATAAGTATATGCATAAGAAAATTTATTGATTTATAAGTATATATATAAGAAAAATAAATCAATCTATTTCTTTACGCTTACATTTATATGCAAGTTTATTTGGATAGATCTTTAAGATTAAAAATTGGAATTTGACTAATCAAAACAAAACGATTTAAAATTTTTTCTTCTGATTGGTCAAATTTCAATCGTCTATCTTTAATCTCCATATTCAATGCATAATTTGAGGTTTTAGTATATTGTAAATGACCAATGAAGTTTACAAAAAAGCGAGCGAGCACGTGTTGTTTTGTCAATCACCACAAATATGGAGATACTTGTTTAAAAAGAAAAAAACATTGTCTCGAAATATAGACATATATTTATTTTGACAAATTTCTGTTGAAATTACAGCCGTCTTATCAACTTATTGTCTTAAACATGGCAATCGATTTAGGATTCGTACAGACATGCGAATCATGGCGACTGACAAGTAGGTTCTTTCCTAGTAAAGTGGGTGGTAAGCCGGCCTGGCTCGATCTGAAAAATATTCCCGGTAAAAGTGATCTAGAATGCGAGTATTGCAACGATGTTTGCATATTTCTGTGCCAGATCTACGCACCATACGAAGAAAACACCGATGCGTTTCACAGGACTATATATATTTTTATATGCAAAAACGTAGATTGCTGCAGACTGAATCAGAATGGAAATTTGAAAGTTTTTCGATCACAGTTGAATAAAGTCAATATTTTTTATCCGTCTGAACCGCCCGTCGAACAGAAGGACTGGAGGACAGACATTGGTAAGTATAATACAACAAATTATCTTCTCTTCAATGACTTGTAAACATGTATGGAACAATATAGAATTGTATATTTTATTTTCAGATGTGTCACATTGGGCAAAAATATGTTGTATATGTGGGATTGCAGCACCGAGTCATTGTGGTAAATGTAAAGTTGTCAATTATTGCTGTCGTGTACATCAAGTATATGATTGGAAGAATGGACATAAATATACATGTAGCACAAAGACAAATAATGATAATAATGCAAATAATGATTTCTTGTTTCCCGAATACGAGATTGTAATAGAGGATGATGATTTTATGAAAGATAACATCGAGCAAGATGATCTTGAAAGCGAACAGAAAGAAATTGAAAAGTATAATGCTATGATCCACAGTGGCAAAGCTGGAAGTTTTCAACATGAAGATGTTAATGATGATTTACTACAGATAGCTAATAATGAAAAAGATGAAATATTTGCAGAGTTTCGTATGAAAACAGATAATTATCCAGATCAGATTTTAAGGTATACCTTTTTCTTGTAGAGAAATTAAAGAAATTGCAGTGACAATCTGTATTCTAATTTATATTTATTTAATAGATATGATAGAGGAGGAAAAATTCTATACATATCACAACATAACCAGATAATAGATATACCAAAATGTACAGAATGCAATGGCAATAGACAGTTTGAATTTCAAGTACGTAGAATTTATTTATAATACATATTGAAATGTGTGTAAAATGATTTAAAATTTACATCGAGATCCAAAAAAAAATTGTATACATTAGATTTACATATATATATATATATATATATATATATATATATATATATATATATATTTGCTATTCATACTATTATATGAATAATTTACAGATAATGCCCCAGCTACTAAATTTCTTAGGCTTGAAAGATATTGTCAAGAGTCTTGATTGGGGAATATTGGCAGTTTTCACATGCAAACAATCTTGCATACCTAATGGTAAGTACATAAAAGAATATATATGGAAGCAAGATATTGTACAAAAAGAAATTGACTCGAAAACAAACTAGGATACAAGGTGAATATATTCATCTTGCTTATTTGATATACATTTAAAACTTTTTTAAATATATCTTATACTTAAGTATATAAATTAGTAAGTAGTATTAGTAAGTATATACTTAAGTATATAAATTGTTCTATTTAAAAATTAATTTATTAAATCATAATGTTATAAATGGAGCAATAAAATAAAAATTGATTAACAAATATACATAATTAAGACTCCTAGTCTTTCATTACCACTATATTAAATTGTGACTGCAGTGATATACAGGATCTTTAAAAAAAGTGAACAATAAAATGATAAAAATAGAATTATATTCCTCTCATATAATACAGTATAAAATACAGTATAAAGATATATATTTCAATGAGAAAAACATTTCCTGAGATATTATCACAAAATGCATCTTTACTTTCAATGATAATATATAAATCAATTAAAACTTTCTCGCAACCACTTTAATTAATTACACGATTATATAATTATCAAAATATAAGACAAAATTGCATTGCAAAAATTATAACGCATGTTATACATTTTTTCTGTCAAAATATTAAATAACAATTTTGGAACATATCACTGAAAGTTTTCTCGTCATCTTGCAATAACAATAAAAATTCTTAAATATATTTTAAACATAAAAGAATAGTAAGTAATAATCACACATATAAATGTTGGAGATAAGAAAGTCAAACATAAAAATATCTAAATAAATGTATAAAGTACATATATAATTTATGACATATAATACATGATTACCACTTGTATGTAAATATCATTTTACAATTCCTTCTTTTTATTTTAAAAGTATCAAAATATTCTTAAAAAAAGTTTTACAATTCAAGTTTTACAAATCAAGTTTTTGTAACCTTTTAAAAATGTAAACAAAACTGCAAATTAGTATAGTAATGTATAATATTGTATAGTACTTCATACATGTAATACTATATAATATTTTATCACAATCAAAAGAGATATTACAATAGAAAATTAGTTCCTTAGTTCATTTCATAAAAATACTTACAATGTTAAACATATCTATAGTCATTTTATAAAAATACATTGATTTATCAATCAGAAATTAAAAAAGATGATTCTATATAATTATTTTTTTTTTCAATGAACTTATACATTAACGCAACATCAATGCACTTTCTTTACAATATTGTTTAAAGCGCTTAAGCGTTAAAATTGGCACAGCCTTTGTTAAATTGTGCGAGAGATCGAATGGATCTTGCACACACATAGAAGAATCAACGCGAAAATATTCCGGTTTCGCTTTCTGTATTTGCGCAATATAGAGAGCCATAGTATCTGGTAAAGCCAATATTTCTGTAAAGATTTTCTTACGGCATGTAATACCTAACAACGGACATACAACATCATTCATGTAATCAAAACGTCCGTAATACTCAAAGAATCCTAATAACAATTCAGGTATCGATAATTCAGGTACGTCGATAGGAACATTATTACCGACTCCAGTTTCCCAGCCTAAAATAATGTATATATCAACATTAAATTATGCTATAAACATTGGAAAAAGAATGTGTAAAATTACAACATTATTGTAAAACAAACAAGATAATTTCTTTTTTCCCATGACGTAGGTATCATATGAATATAGATATATTATTTCTTAGTTGATTATTCAACTTACCAGATACAATTTTCGAGCGATTATGACTTTTAATTAAAGTAGCAACACTTGGTATTTTATATGTGACTTGCAAATAAAAAATGACTAGCCAAGTGAGAGCATAGCTTGTTATTCCGAAATTAGAACCAGTCAAATTACCCAACAACATCCACTTTTTTAGAAATAATATTAATTGTCGACAAGGCGGATATGCCGTGTTGAAAGATCTAAAAATTTAACATTTTATATATATATATATATATATATATATATATATATATATATATTTCTTAAAGCATCAAGAAAGCATTCTTTTTAAATCCAATATTTCTCGTACTTGATAAATTTAGAATTTTCTACTGAAAGACCATTTGTAAAGGAGATATCACATTGTAATCTCGTTGGTCTGTGCCTTAGTCTTACTATAGGCGTCCTGCTTTTGTTCGAAATGAATTCTATTTCCCATTTTGGACCATCAGTATTCAAACAATTTTTAATTTGTTCACTTCTATTCTTAATTAATTCAGCTTCAATACATTCATCACCTTCTATAGAAAATACTTTTTATAATTTTTTTTCTTTTATATCAGAAGTATTTTTTATAAGCATTTTTTTATGATTCTATATATGTATATGTAAAAAAAATTATATATATAAAATAAATGTATTTACCAAAGTTGAGATATATATCAATATCGCTTTCAGACGATGCTAAACCAGTAACTCTTGAACCAAACATATGTACTTCTACATCAAACTGTTGAGTTTCGAAAGCATTTGTTAAATCATCCACGAGTTGAATTGTTCTTTTATCATTTAATGCATCATTTGATAATTTAAATAGATGAGCAACAGTTTTATTGATATTTTTTAATAATTCTTGCAGAGATTGTGGTAGTGACATAATTGCAAAGTCATTACTTTTTTTTAAGTATTGATGCGTCCGTTTTTTACAGTGTCGCTGATAAACTGATTTTTCGCAGTAAGAAAGATTTTTATACCACAAAGTGGCACATGTTATGCAGAAATCAAATTCTGAACTATTCTTTATATTTAGAAACACATTCTTATGTTTTTGGTAAAGATGTTCCATAAATTCTATCTTTATTTTAAATCTTGCATTACACTCGACGCAAGCAAAATATTGAATATTATACCATAAAGAATATAATTCTTCTTCTGATAGTAGCATACATTTAATATTCTTGATTAACTCTTTATGTTTTTTTTTGTGTGTGGAATAACGTATATGTTCCTTAATCCATGATTCACCATAATACACCCACTTTTCATTTATATTGCAAGCATAACATTTGAAGTTTGTATAATTTACCTTAATTGATTCTTTCAGTAAGTTTAGCCTTTGCTCTTCGCTGTTCTTATGCAATTGTGTAAATTGTATAACATGTTGTTCAGAATGAATATGTTCATACAATATGTGTATATTGATCGAATGCGCAACATCACATGCAAGACAAAGCATATTTTTATTTTGGAGGGCATATAGTTTTAAACTTGATTCAATCTCTTTCAGCTTGTCTTGATTGTAAGTAAACATAATTTTCTCAAAGTCTAGAAATTTTGTATAATACATTCTGTTATAACGATCCAAGACATTATTTTTTTGTTTAGTTCTTACAATATTATTTATATTTTTTTCTGCTGGTATATTTCTAATGAATTGTTTAATTTCAATGGATATATCATCAGGCATAAATAAACCAGAATTATTTTCTCTACTTTGAGATAGTATATCATTCTTGCTATTAGTATTTGTATTAATTAAATCGCTATTATTATCAATATATTGTGCTATCTGTATTTTATTAATATTATGTTCTTCCAATGTATTAATCGATATATTTTCAATACAAATTGAAGATTCTGCTGCTTGTGTTTTATTTATATCAAGTTCTTTTGTTGTACATATATTATATATGTGATTATATGTGAGCAAAATATTTTTAAAGTATTTCAAATGTCTTCTTTTTGTACTTAAATGTTCAATTACACTTTGGATTGTATCAAATTTACTTTTACAAGCAATGCAAACATAAGAAAATTTGTTCTCAACCAAATTATCTGAACTTTCATGAAAAGATGCAAGATGGTTTTTAACATACATCACAGGTTGCTCCATAGTTTGTATAATATTATCATTATTCTCAAAAGAAATTATATTTAAAAATTCGAGAAGTTCAAAAAAACTTTCTATATTTCTACAGTCATTATATTCTTGTTTTTTAATTGTAATTAATAATTTAATATTTTCTTTATGTTGAAAACTAGAAAAGTGAATTTTTAACATTGATATGCCATGTATTATCTCATTGCAGAAAGAGCATTTAAACATTGGATAATAGTTGAAAATATTAACATTTTTACTATTTACAGACAAAGTTGAATCAGAGATATATTCCATAGAAGACTTCATGTATTCTTTATGTATGGTTATGTCATGATTTATTATATCAGTTTTATTTATTGGTATATTACATCGATCACATATAATCACATTGGACATAGTTTTTATGTATTCTGGCCACATTGTTCCATCTAATTTTCTACTGTTTAACTGCAATGGCTTAATAGTTCTTCTATCATTTTCCAATATTATGATATATGTTGCTTCTTGATTAATTTTTAATGCAGATATAGCAGAAATATGTTTCTTATCTTGTGCATGTTTGCTCATGTTAAGTTTATTGTCAAATTTATCACACAAACTACAGAAATAGATATGTACACATCTTTCAACTTGCAAAACATTATTACTATTGCTATCCTTCTGATAAGATACAGAGGAAGTTGTACTCTCTTCTTCCTCTTTTATCTCATGACCATTTATTGACTTATCATTTGTCAATTTATTTTCACAAACTGGTTGCATTTTTGCAAGAAATTTTGATTTATTTATATGTTCCATTTGAGTTTTTACATTAACGGAAACATTGTCACTTATATTTTCATTTGAGTGTTGTTTATTTGAAATATTTGATTTAATACTGCTTATATATCTTTGATGTTTTTTTTCTTGTAAATGTTCATTAATATTTTTCAAAGCAGATATCGAACAATTGCATGGTACACAAAAATATTTCACATCACAGTTTTGTAATAAATCTTCCATTATTATACCATGATTTAATAATTCTGATTTATCACTTTTACATATTTGGTGTTTTCTCCCTTTCAAATGTTCATCAACATGATCTAAAGTAGGTATTGAGCAATTGCAAAATATACAAAAATATTTTGCATTACAGTTTTGTAATACATCTTGTGTTATTATTCCACGATTGAATAATTTTGAGTTACTTATACATGTTCTATGTTTTTTCCCTTTCAAATGTTCATCAACGTTAATTAAAGAAAATATCGAAGATTTGCATGGTATACAAAAATACTTTGTACTACATCTTTTGTCTTCTAAAATATTTTTTGTAATTCCATGATTTAATAATTTTTGGCATTTTGCATTTGACAAATTATGTGAAAAATCTGAGACTTGAATGCAGATATATGGATGAACTTCTTGCAAATGATATTTTGCATCTGTTAAATTTTCCAATTTACATAGGTAACAATACCATTGATTATTATAACGTGTTATATATCGCTCTAAAAAATATTTGGCAAGATCCATGCTGTATTTTTTTATACCTGTATGTATATGATAAATAATATCTGTAATTAATATATTATATAAATTATATAGTATTTATAATTAATTATAACAGCTTATATAGTACATAATTAATTAACAGCTTTTAAATTAGACTGATTAAGCTAGGTTAATTATTTAGCGTATTATTACTCGTTCGTTGCTTTTAATTTACATTAATCACAAGCAATGAGATAAAAATGAATTTAACTTTAATTTACAGAAATTTAATTTCAAAGAAAGCTTTCTGAGTAAATGAAAATTATGAAAATTATGAAAATTATTACCTGTGAAACGAATGAATAATATGGAGTGATATAAAGCACATTCGCTCGCAGCAAGAAATGCAGCGTACACATATCACACAAAGAATTTCTTTGTATGACGTCACTTAGAACAGTTAAATGGTATTGGTTCGTCATGTACGTAATATAATATCTTTGTTGTATATTCGAAGAAATTTAAAAATTCCGGGATTCCCTATATGTATTCCCCCCCATCGCTGAGTCATACATATCAACGTAATACATATCAAATTGATTATGGATATAGGATGTACACAGGGTGCATCAGTGCATTCCATTGACTGCAGGCAGCGGCTGTATTCAACGGACTCAACCGCTAAAGTAGCAATCGAACGTGATTGGTTTCTACTTTCAGTTCCGGCCAATCAGAATTACATCGGAAAATCTAGTAATGTTGCCCAGCGTGAATCCGCTGAATGCGGCCAATGCTTGCAGTTACAACCGCAAAGTTCCTCGTTTCAGTCAGTTGAGCCAAGAACACAGACTTTTGCATTACTATAAGCACAAAAAAATCTTAAATTAAAAATAATCAAACTTTGTATGTGTTTAATATAATATAAATGGTTATTAAAATAAGTCTTTCAACTCTTCACTATATTACATTTTCTTTACATATTTATTTAAAAGCAAAAAAATACATAAAATTACAAAGCTAAATAAGGAGTAAAGAATATGTAATCACACATACATATACAATAAAATTTTTCTTTGGCAATAAGAATATTAATCCTTTAAATTGAAAAACAATGATTTAAGGTATACATGATACTTTTATTGGATAAATTAAATAGATTAAGAAATTAATTTTTTTTCGATTTTTTAAATTATTTTCTTTATATAATTGTCTCTTTATAAAGCAATATAGTAATGTAATAACATCACAGCACAAGTATTATATTTAAAAACTAATTGGCAATAAAACTAATTACTAATGAGACTAAAAAATTGATACTTTTAATTGATTAACAAAAGTATCTCGTGAAAAACATATATTTATTGAATTAATGATATATCAAGATATCAGGAATTGCAAGCCTTATGAAACATCGCTTATATATCAATATTTTCGGAGAGATTGAATAACGAAATAATTTCGTCAATAATTATATACCGGTATCATGTATACTTCTATATCATTAAAAAATTTTTAGATTTGCTAAAAATTTTTAATTTATACCAGTATGAGATATTGAATATCGATACATAATGAAATTTTCATAATACACTATATACACAAAACCGATATAATATATTAGTACTACAGTGTCGACTTCAGCATTGGTAGTTTAATTTATTGATATAATTAAATAACTACATTAAATAATTATAAAAGTAATTATCTTTATTAATCTCTCTCTAATCTTTATTAATTTAGTAATATTAATATTCAATAGGATAATAATAGTGTAATATCAATATAAAATTTTTGATTATACATATATCGGTATTCCAATACCGATATGTCTAATCGATATATCCAGTAATGTTTAAAAATTTTTAGAATTGTAATTTTTTCACAATAGAAATATACACGATACCGGCATATTATGTCAATCCCTAAAGATATATCTGTATTTTATTAATTTATGAAAATAATATATCAAAATGTAGGTAAAAAAAATGCAATACATTAATTGTAAACAATCCAATTCCATGATTTTCTTGAATTATCAAATTGTCATTATTAAATTATCACTATAGACATAAGGTATAAGAAAATAATGTAAAGCTATCAAACTATATTAAGAAAGATACAGACATTTTCTATATTGATCAACTTAAGGTAACAAGGGTGACTTCAAGTATGGAAAAGTCTTCTTCAATATTTTTGCGCTATAATTACAATTGTTCTGAAATTTGTTTAACTTACGATTATGTACCGCTTTAGTAAGATTATGTGATAAATCAAATGGATCTTGCACACATAATGGTGATATGAAGAAACTTTGAGGCTTCTCTTGCATATAAACATCATGCATATAATCAATGTATGGTGCCATATCTTGTGGTAAACTTGACAGATTATTAAACGCACTTTTTTCTATCGGCTGACCCAACAATGGACAAATTACATGACTTTTGTATGTAAAATCCGCATAAAACATAAAAAATCCTAATAAAAGTTCTTCGAAAGTGTAATTTATCCTCCTAACAGGAAAATTGTAGCTTATACCAACTTCCCAACCTAAATAAAAAAAAAAAAGTAAAATAAGTATATTGAATATGTGTATTGAATATGTATAAATTAAAGTAAGAAATATATAATAAGATTATATAATATATATATATATGAACAGAATATATTAAGTAAAATAATTTGTATGTTGCACAATTTGATTAATAAAACTTAACATTTTAATTTATTTTAATTTAATTTATTTAGCACTTTAAGTGAATTTTGAAAACATTGCATTTTATGTACATATATATATGTATGTGTATAATCACTTACCACTGATTCTCCACGAACTATTTTTCAATTTTATTAATTGTGAGATACTGGGAAATACTAATAGAATTTGCAGATAAAAAATGACGCACCATGTGAGAGCATAGCTTGTTATAAGATGATGCGATCCTAATAAGCCACAGATGTGCAACCATTGTTTAAGAAATAAAATCAATTTTCGACATAGTGGAAAAGCATGATTAAAACACCTTGAGAAAATAATTTTCTGTTTATTTACAATACATAAATACAGCATATGAAAGAAATTTCTATTGAATTAAATTATATATAGGTGAGAGCAAAAAACTTACTTAATTATTTTTGTATTTTCCACTGCTAACCCATTTGTAGCTGAAATGTCACAAATAAATCCTGAGGGAACATGTTGCACTTTTATAATTGGCGTTCTACTATGCAATATCATTTCTTGCACTTTCCACATTGTTTTATTCAGAGATAGATAATATAGTATTAATGTAATGAGGTCCTGGCAATGATGATGTGATGAATTTTTTCCTTCATACATATTATCTGCATTACATAAACAAAATGATAATATAAAAGTTAATATTAGTAGATAAAGAAATATATATAATTTTCAAAGAAATGAAGGATAAAATAAAGATTGTTAAAAAATAAACAATATTAAAGTTATTATACATATGCTATCTTATTATATTTGAAATAGTTTTGCCTGTAATTTTTGTATTAATTATGTTTTATTTTTAATATTCCAATATGGATATATGATCCAATATAATACAACTGGATATGCTACAACTGTAAGATGTGATCTTAATAAATTCTATATATGCAATCATTACTTGAGATAAAACATCTTGAAAAAATATTTTTCTTATGGTTGATATTAAAATGATTGAGATAGATTTTACACAGTAAATAATTTATAGAACACCTATTCTATGTAAATAGAAAGTAATAATAGAGTTATATTAAAATATTAATATTTTCCTAATTTGTAGCAAAAATACAAGAATACATGTCTGTTTTAAGTTTTACATTTGCAAATCATACATATATATAAATAAAGATACACAAGATAAATATATAAATTATATTACAGAGGGACTTACCACAATCAAGGAAGATGTCAATGTCACTATCAGGAAAAGCTAAGTCTGAAATCCTGGATCCAAAAGGATAAGCCTTTATATTTAGAATATATTTTTCTAAGTCAATTATCAAGTCACACAATATGTTATCAATTGTTTTATCGAAACATGCATTATTGGACTGTGCAAGCAAAGCTTCAGCATTCTGGTTGGGCATAATTAAGAGTTGTATTAATTCTTCTGACAAATGATCGAGATCAGAACCATATAATATCCTGCGTTGATGTTCGACCTGCTCACAGTGTCGATCGTACATACCAGAATTACCAAACCACAAGAGTAGGCATGCAGCGCAATAATGAAACTTAAATCTCTCTGCATAATCGGGAACTTGTATTAATCGTGACGTGTGATAAGGTACACGCAAGTGTTTCGCGAAACAGATTTCCGATTCGCTTTCGTAATTGCAAAATTCGCAACAATATTTTTTAGCATTGTACATGCTTCGGAAATGATGATGAATGTCTTGTAGTACAGCTTTTACCGACAACGTCCAGGATACTTTGAAATTCTGATGCTTACTACTTAATATGTGTTCGTATAACGATGAATCATCATTCTTTATCTTAACAAAATTCTTACTATTGCATAATAAGCATTCAACACCATCATTTTTGTTTCTCATGCATTCTCGTGCCAATCCTAGCTTACTAAAAAGTTTTCCAGCCTTCAAAAATTTCTTATCATCCTCTATCATTTGGGACAATAGTTTAACATGATTGTCTGACTGAATATGTCTACAAAGATTTTTCCGCAAATTGCAATGGTTTTGAACTTGAAAGGTTTTATCACACACTAAGCAATAAATTTTCTTATCATTAGCACATAGAGAATAATATATATTAAGAGCAAACGTATCGATTATTGCGTGATTTGCTTCATGAAATTCATAATCGATATCAAAAAAAATAAATTTTGGGCTTTCTAAGGTAGAAATATCTTTGTCATTCATATTCTCTATGTGTACATTGTTACAATTAGTAAGCTGCACAGAATGAGCTTTGTCTTTTAAAATTTCTGTTGTTAGATCAATTTGCTTGCCATTATGTTGCAGAAAATTGCTTTCTATTGTATTTTCTATATTTCTCTCTTTGTTCATGCAGAAAGTTTCCTGAATGTCTCCTGTTGAACTTTCCAATATAGAGATACTCATGTCATTTGTATCTTCTGCATCCTGTTTTGCAGTATTTAATAAATCAATTGTCTTTGATGAAACAAAAGCATTGTCACTGTCTTCCTTATTAGCAAGCTGCAAAGTATGAACTTTATCAATCAAATTATTTAATTCAATTTGTTCATCCTGTCGCAAAAAATCAAATGTCTCTTTATTTTCCTCCTTCCTTGTGCCAGAGATTTTTTTAGTATCTTTTTCTAATAAATTTTCCGAGGTACAAATACTTTTGTCGATTATATTGCTTACTCTCTTACCCTCTTCAGAGCTTGTACTTGATAACTCTGTTTCTAGTAAAATGGAAGTATCATTAGAATTTTCTTTACTAGCAAAATGTAAGACTAACAAACTGCGCTTATTTGAATCATCCGTTTCTATGTCGCTTCGCGTGTTATTCCTGTGCAAAGAAGCAAATGCTTTTTTCTTTCGCTCTTTCCTTCTATTCTTTCTTTTAGGGGTTGTCTGAGTACTTTGTTCCATTCTATTATTTATCATACAATTTTGATTATTGCGCAGATCTAATGCTGTCAAATTTTGTTGTACAAATGTGTTTAATGAAAGATTATTATATTCCAGCATCTTCTTCATAACATTTGATCAAATTTTTGGAAGCACATAACCTTTACGATAACTAAACAAGAATATTTTTCCTGAATCTTCCTTTTTTTTTGATTTTCAAATTATTACACGTTTTTTTTATATTCTAATATATCTACGTTTTAATCAGTGTACATATATATATTAATTTTAAAACTTATCCCGCACATTTAATAAATTAAAAAAAACAACGTGAATAACTCACACCATCGGTATCGCAAATCGCAACGTTAATGAAAGAATATGCAGATTCAACACAGTTATAAACAAGATTACATTTATGTGGCAAAATACTCGTCAGACGATTGGCCATCGAATAGAGAATTCTTAAAATATCAATAGAGACCCTAAAAACTCTCTAGCCGATAACCAATCGGTAATACGTTTAACAAACATTTTGCATGAATGTAATCTTATCCTGACTAATCAGATAAGATCGTGAATTAGGGACAAGAAAGGACGTTCGTTTTCCGAACGCATTTGACGCAAATCACCCGTGAGCACGGAAGTGACAGCACAGCTGGTGCATCTCCGTGCCAACCGTTTCACTACGTGTCATGTACGCAAATCTAATTTGTACCAAGCGATTGACGATCGTGTGACCTTGTCTTTTCAGACTTCTTTCTCGTATCTGTTTGCTGCGAGTGAAGTCTAAGAGGTACCGGTATCTCAATGCTTCTCCATTCGTTGGTGGCGTAAAATGCGTTTCACGCGGTTTTCAATTATTTATTTTATAAAATCCGCGCGCGCATAGACATTTGTATCGACAAATGTCATAAAACATATGTGCGACAAGTACAGTTTGTGTTTCGCGATTATTGTCACTCTCCAATAAGTATACACTTTAAGTTTTTTAATTGGAATTTAAGAAATCTATGTTCCGAAAATTTCATTCTTTTTCTTAATAATTAAATACTAATGAAAAAATTAAAATTTTATTTTTGAATTTATTAATTATTTATATATTTACCTTTCCATTGATTGATTAATTGATAAATATTAATATAACCAAAGATAAACACAAGTAAACTTTTATCTTAATAGAATTTTATTGATTTGCAGTGGGAAAAACATGAGGCAATTAAAGGGAAAAACGAAAGAGACCAACAAACAGAAAAAGGAACGGAAAAAGGAATTCTTGGAGAATAAACAGAGAGTATTCACAATTGTATTGCCCACTATAGCCGCAATATTTGTGATAATAGCAGCATACATTTATGTTAAAACCCGTCCAAAACTCATTGAATATTAATGATAATACATGCCATTTTTGTCATCCATTTATTAAAACAAGATACATGCTATATTTGAACAATGCAACCTAGTGCAATGATATTTGAATGATTTCTCATTGCATTTTTATGAACGTATGAAAGTTTTTCTAAAAATAAGCACATTCCACTATTCTCTAAAATATCTTGTATCTAAATCATTGGAAGCAAGATAAATTTTGCAAATACCAATTATTTGATTTGATAAAATTTTTAAAGCAAAATAAAATATTACGTAATATTAAGATATAATTATTGGATAAGGTGTAAGAGAGGAAATATTTTTTACAAAAACATTATATGAAAAAAATTAGTTAATTTATATATTGCATTTTTCTAATAATAAAATTTATTAATATCGAATAATATAAGTTCTTTATATTAATTTATGTGTATGTCTTCCTTAATTCTTTCATGTGCATGCTTATTTTTAAATATACTATGAGATAAAATATACAAATTTAACATATTTCACTTTAAGAAATTATGTCAATTATAGTCCATCTTTATATGTAAAAAAAACCAAGAAAAGTCTATATCTATAAAATATAAATTCTAATAATTGTTAAATTGGGGAAAGATATTAGTATATAAAGCATTTAAATAATAAATATGGGTCCAATGTAGTATAAAAAATATATTTGTTACATATAAATTGTATTGCATTATATATATTTACCTTTTCCACTTTAAAAATTATTTTGTACACATTTTATCATTTTCTATGCTACAAAAATATTAACAATGTATAATTTTTTAACTAAGAAAATTTAATAAATAAGAATTATTAATTTTTTAAATTTAAAAACTTAAACTTCATACATTTATTTATTGCTTTTTTCTTTCATTAACAATACATTATTGCATAAGTAATTTTCAATTGTATTAAATTATAAATATACATGTTAATAAAAATATTGTTGATAAGAAAAAATATAAAAATAATTTAGATTTAAAAAAAACTTTGAAAACAGATTTTTCTCTTTTTTTTTCAAATATATATCTTTATTGCGGATATTAATATTAAATTGCCTTTATTTCTCTCATCTTAATTTAACTATGATAAGAAATGTGTTAAGAAAAAAAACATCGTGTATCACAAGACACGTGGAATGTGAAATGTGACCAATAGAAAGTTAACACGTCTCTACGCCTTTATTGGGGTTATGATCAGCTGTGATTCGAGAAGAGCCTGGAGCTTATATCATCTCGCCGGCATCGCTTTTTCAATTTAATTTCTTTGTGTCAGTTATTCTCAAGAGACGATCATGATGAATTATGCTATAAATCTGTTACTTTCAAGTTTTACAATATTTTCACTTTACATAAGTTGCATTCAAGGTACTCTTTATAATTTTTAAGATTATAATTATCAATAAATGTTTATATTTATGGGAGGGTTATGTTATTATTATTATACTGTTATTATTATTATTATTATTATTATTATTATTATTATTATTATTATGTATATTGTATTTTTTTATGTATATTTTATCACAGATTTGTTGTGTGATGTATTTTTATACATATGATATAACTGATCACATTCATATTATAATTAATATTATTAAATATACTTAACTGCAATAAATATTTCCTATGTGCAAAATTGAATATTAATACTTGATTGAATATCAGTGTCTATAAATTTAATTTCCATTTAAATATATTAATTAAAAAATAATTAAAATATTTGCAGCTAAGGGAACACAACATGTAACTTGCGGTTCTGTAGTGAAACTACTGAATGTGAATTATAACGTGAGGTTACATTCTCATGATATCAAATATGGAAGCGGCAGTGGACAGCAATCTGTAACAGGTATAAATACCAAAGAAGATGGTGATTCTTATTGGTTTGTAAAAGCAGAGTCAGGAAAACCATGTGTACGAGGGTAAGTCACAATTTTTAGTTGTATTACTTTTTGCCAACTATATAATACATTTATACATGAGCAAAGTTGAGGAAATTTTTTTCATAGGAAGCCAATTAAATGCGGAGAGATTATCAGATTGGAACATACCTCAACAAAGAAAAACCTCCATTCACATCTTGTTAGTTCACCTTTGAGTGGAAAGCAGGAAGTGTCAGCATACGGAGATCACAGAGGAGAAGGTGATACTGGTGACAACTGGATGTTAATATGCAATAATGATTTCTGGGAGAGAGATGATATAATTAAGTTGAAGCATGTTGATACTGAGACGTAAGTATACATGAATTCTATGAATTTAAATGTAAATAAAAGAAAATATAAATCAACAAGGGGGATAATTATGTACATGACATATTGTCATAGTGAGAATAAATAGCATATAGCATTATTTAATCTTTAATATTATATCTTTAGATATTTAGCTGTCAGTGGCAGGGGTTATGGTGCTCCAATAAGCGGGCATATCGAAGTAGTAGGTGAATATTCCGCAAATAATCCTCACACACAATGGATGACAATGGAAGGATTGTTTATTCATCCTAATGATTTCAATGCACAACATCATCGACATTCGGAATTATAAAGGCAATTTTTATAGCAACTTAGAATTATTTACAAACAAATGCATAAATAAAGGGCAAATGTATTGCATTATTCTATTGGTAAAATCAATATTTAATTATTTCATATTGATATTTTCTCATAAGTTTGATTAAATCCATCATAAAATTACTTTTTTTTAGAATTTCATAAACTAAATTATAAATTATTTAAAAGAGAAAAAAATTTGTAAATAGTTAATTTTATATTTGCAATACAGGAATACAAGAATTATATTCGATTAAAATTTAAAAAATATTCTTGATTGTTATTATGTTTTTATTATCATAGTAATTGTATCAATTTTGTGATTTGCAAAACAATATTATATATTTCCTAGGAAGATTACATGTATTCAAATGCTAGGATTTAGTATTAAATAATTCTCTCGTTTTCTTAAACCTTCCGTATAAGATACGTTCGTAAATATTATGTTCTACCATATGTATGAATGCATGTATTGTATATATTATTATATTTATTACAATATAAGTACATAATACAAGAAAAATATGTATTAGACTTAATTTTAATCCATTGTCCATCTAGTTTCATACTTCCTTTAATTCATATTTGCCATTGATATCTCTTGTACCTATGAGACCATTATATGGAAAAATAATATTTGATAGACCATAGCTTCCAAAGATTTCCTTCAAATTCTGCTTCCCTGTTACGTTTACATAACGTTGTTTGCCGGACAAACAACTGTGCAGTTTCCAAATTCCAAGCACCAGACAAATGCACAAAATCGACATCAACATATCAAACGTCGTGACTAGAAATATACTCGAACTATCCCTGGAATGTAGCAGTCTTGCTAGGGCGATAGGGAAGCAAAAGTTCAGGAATATATTAAAGTAATCCGCGTCACTTTTCACTATGTGATTAATGTTCTCATACATGTATGGCCCCAGCACGCACAGGGAATACAGACATGTCAATGAAGTATAGAAGCAAAATAATATAAAGTTGCCCATATTCTGCCGCAATACACAAGCACCTAAGAAGAAGCAGTGATGATCCTTGAAGTGGAAACACTTTCGGCAGAGGGTGCAATGCTGCGTCGGCTTGCACATGTAACTCTGACATCTCTCGCAATGCCAGAATCTGTAGGCTGTATTGTATGCTGGTAGCTGCTGCACATTAGCCAATGGTTGCTCAAACTTACGCTGTTGAGCAATCACGCTGCACAAGTTATCTTGTATTTCTTTAACTTTCATTGGATTTGATTTGTAACTGATGCTATATATTGAATACCAATTCAAATACACTTGCATACAGAGAAAGACAAAAATTGGAGAAATTTTCTGATTGATGTGAATAGTAATCGCGATAACAAATATAGTGCATATTAATGTCACTAATGGACATAGTTTTTTAACAATCTTCATACAAATTTTTATATACGGCGTTTGCGACATGTCTCACGATAAATACATAAATCTCTATATTTATGATTTGTAAATCTAATTTTCACACATACACATGATACATAAATCCAATTTTTTGATGTTATTTATGAATTTGTTCATTTTATTAAAAAAATTTCTATTAAAATATTTATATGTACATACATATTTTTGTAAAAATAATTTATCAGACAGATATCTCTTGATATGCACTATTCTTATCCTGATTTATTTTATGCTGAAAGGAAATATTTTTTTTTATATAAAGATAAATTATGCAATTCAATATTATAAATTATTATTATCAATAAATATATTTCATTAATTTTTCATTAATTTTGAGAACTCTGGATTATATTCATTTACTGACCTTGATTATAACCTCAACGATTCATTCTTACATGTTTTTATTAATTCTATTCAACTTGACAAGTCGAAACTCCTTCGAAATAGGCATTGTGATGTCCCTAATCTATCAGCTAAATTATTGTCATAATTTAATTTTTTAAAAATTATTATGCATGTGCATATTTCTTCTAATAACGCGTGTTTTACTACGTTCACACTATTATAGCATGTGTAATATGTATGTATAGTGTATATATATGGCTAAGTTCCATAAAACGCATATGCGCGCACGTACCTATAGTATCCGTCACGTATATTATAGGTAAATGCGCACATATGCGCTTTACGGAATTCAACCTGTTTGATCTATAAATATTTATCGTTAATCGATATATTATATAAAAATACTCAATATATTTTCTGTATCATTTTAAAAATATCGAATAAAAGAATAAGTATAAGTAAAAAATATCGAGTAAACATTTTTCAAATATTCATATTTTGATGAATATTTTAATTTACAAAAAATAGATCTATATAGTTGTAAATATAAGATATAATATTATTTATGAATATAATATAAATATATTATAGTATAATGTATAAATAAAATGCTTGAATTGTCTTTTATATCATTTGATTTAATGCTGATTAATAATGAAGATATTCAAGAAGTACTTTTCCAAATAAAAATGATAGAAATTAGATATTATAAAAAATTTTTTCAGAGAATAAAATAAATTACAAAATTTAATAAGATAATCTCTGATAATCAAACAGCTGTATAACAGTTATATGCTATTTATTCTCACTATAAAAACACTGGTATAGTTTACAATTACATTACTATAAACGAATTGCGTTACAAAAGGATATACATATATATATATAACAAGTCTATATAAAAATAAGATAAATCATGAAGAACTATTATTTAATCACATATAAATGTAGGATGTATTAAAGACTGACTACTATACTTAGCTAAAAGTATAACAAACTTTTTTCTAGACAAATAATGGAATAATTAGGAGCATTATTTGAATTTATAAAATAAAAGATTAGTTTTTGAATTTGCTCATGACTGTCAATCTTAACGTTATCGTGACCGACTGTCAATATCAAATGTTAATTTGAGGTATAATACATTCTCCTCCTTTTCTATTTTTCTTTCGTCTAATGCATTTTTTCTATCAATATAGACTTTTATACATATATTATACATGCATTTAGAATTATAAATATGTACAATACTTAGCATGTTTGCGCTATTTGTACATTTGCGTAAATAACAATGTTAAATAATCGAATGTATCGCTCTTATACGAGAATATCTTCAAAGCAGTCTATAACAATTACAAATACAAGACAATAATAGAAATTTGCATGTTATAATATAGAACAAATTCTTCAAAAAAAAAGGAGAAAAAAAGAAAAAGAACAATATAATAATAAAATTAGAATCAGGAAATATGATTAAATCATTATGCTTACATTGTCATTTTTTGCAATACTTTAATTATGAATACATACTCTTTTAGATTAGTTTTCGAAAGTTCATCATTAGAATTCCAGAAACTTGAATTGTGCATATCTGAAATTACACACACACACACACGTATTATTTTGTACTTTTCTTAAGGTAAAGAAAAAGAATATTTACATGTGTATGTGTATGCGATACGAAATATAAATATAGATTTCTGTAACGAAATAATTTGCTCTATATAAATTGTGTAAAACTATATAAATATTTTATATTATGATTTGCGAAAAATTTATCAAAATAGATTGTGATGATAATATAATTCGAATTTTTCAACAATGAAAATTGTAAAAAATATGTTTCTAGGACCTTCGTTTTTTCGTGATATATTCTATAGCACATCATGTCAAATCATGATGTGTATATATATGCTCAATTGCAGTGATACGTTATCATTGCTTTTCATAGCGAATGATTTATTATGATTATTTTATCCATAAATTCTGATTCTGTATTATCACTCATAATTGCTAGAGACTAGTTTAACAATACTCCTGTATAAGAGTAGTATGCTTCACCGTAGTTCTCCAATTGGAGCATTTTGAGACCATAATTCATCTATAAATCTATATAAAGTATCGCTGACAGCTACCTGTAACAAATATTAAGAAGTATTGAATTATTTTCTATAAGCATTTCAATGAGTAATATTTTATTTTAGAATAATATGCAAATTAAAAATAACTTTAAAATATATAGACACAAATCTAATATAAATTTAAAATAAATTGGTAGATTTTTATTTCAAACAATTTTAAGTCTGGTTGAGTTTCAAGAAATATACATTTGATAATCTATCCTTAGAAAGTAGCTTCTCCAAAATATCAAATATTAATTCTTACCTTATATGGTGTTGGATTCAAGTTCCTTTTATGATCATTACGCAATGTATTAAGTGATTCTTGTACTCTGCTGCGAATTTCTTGTAATGTTTGTAATGGTTGACATAGTTTGCCATCTTTCCAATATATCTGTATATATGTTTTTATTTATTATAAATTAGATATCTACTTGATAGCACAAATAATATAAATGTATATAAAGCTGTTAAAATATACTAATGTATATAAAGCTGTTTATAAAATATTTTTGCTATGTATCTCATATTGTCTTATTAATTAATGATAGCAAATACAATAGTGATTAATTCTTGAAAAAAAATTTCAGAATTTCAAATTATCTAAAGAATGTAAATGACAAACAGAATAATAGATAATATTTTTTGATTTACATTTATACATCATGATACATATTACATAATAATGTAAAAATCTATTATTTTAATCAGATTATACCTTGTGCAAAGGTTCTACTCGAGATGGTGTAACGTTAGCCCTTTTCGTTTGTTGAAATGGATGTCTGCAAAGAACTTTCTGCATTACTTGCGGTGGCTCTTCCGTCGTTTTCTGCAAAAGGTCTATCAATGCATAGCCATCCGAGCCATATAATCTATAGGCATCCTTCCTGCCTGGTATCGTGACTTTCCCGACCTCTTGACTAAGCTTAATTCTCGGCTCATCGTTGATCTCTACCATTTTATAAACGCAGCCCAATGCTGGTTGTCTCTGACATGTAACGAGATGTGTTCCGATCCCAAAACAATCGATCTTGTGGTTCTAAGAAAATATTCATCTCTATATTACGATATTTATCTATTGTTATTCGTGTTTTGCAAATCTCTACTCGCACCTTTACCTGCTCGTTTAAGCTTATTATGGTCTCTTCGTTGATATCGTTCGATGCGCAAATCATTAGTTTTGCGAACCAAGGAATATTATACTTGACGGCAAGTTTTTCAAAAATATCTCTCGCCACATTACTGAGATACGCTAAATCGCCGCTATCAATCCGGATCCCAATAGCTTTGTATCCCAAGTCGTTCAAAGCTAACGCTACCGCACAGAAATTTAAAAGTCCGCTCCTATTTGTAAAATATATATTTATGAAATATTACTGTGTGTGTATGATATAGCTTCTAATATGATTAATGTGTTGAGAACAAATCTAGTTATGTACATCACACACTTTTTGTACATTATAATATTTTGTATATTATATTATTGTATAATTGTTTATTATTATTAAGTTATATGTAAAAATGCAATCTAGTTTTTTTTATTTGTTTAGTTAAAATGTTAAAGAATTTGAGAAGTTAAAAAATGTGTTCAAATGTGTATGTTTAATTTATATAAAAGAATAACACACACACACACACATATATATGTGTATATATATATATATATATATATATATATATATATATATATAAAAAGATTGTCTAAAAAAAGTTTAAAAGATAAATATACAAATTTATATTTAATTTATATATCTTTTTTAAACTTATAACAATTTTTTTATTATACTTATAACACAATTCTTTTACACATATATGTATACTCTTTTCAAGACAAGTAAATTACAAAAATAAATTTGTTAGATTTTTTTATCATATTGTCTTGTATTTTTTGCTATATCAGCTCATCACTTTCTTAAATTTAATTTTGAATAGAAAATTTTAAGACAGAAAATATCATACATAAAAGCTTATGTATAATAGCTAGAAATTTAAATTTACACATTTATTATTAATTGATGTAAATAAGGTGCATTAAATGTTTAAATCAATTATTAAATCAATTATACTATCACTATCTCTAGTGAAAAAAATTGTACACTATTTTGACAAATGTAGATAAATATAGCTAACTGATACTATATGTATTAGAAAAAGAGAGATAGAGTCAAAATATTATGCTAAACTTAATGTTTGATTAAAAAGTACTCGCTTTTTTATGCAGTATATTTCTTTTTATATAATATCTCAGAATTAAAGTTTCCTGAAATTCCAATTGTTTGAGGGGTAAAAATACATATATCAGAATTTGTGTAACATTTGTGTAGTAAATATCCCCATATTAATTATTGAGAGAAAAACGGCAGAATTGGGAGGGGTACTCTATATAAGATCACAAGTGTGTAACGATTAACAACTAGATTGTAATGAAAAATGTAAGATTGTTTTATTTCTAATTGGCATGTCATGAAAATAACATAATATGATAACGTGTACAATTTGCAATTTGCCTGTTCTACAAAACATTTCTTCCAATATTGTTCTTTAATTGAAAAAATAAAATAGAGAATTAAATTGTAATATTGTTTTTGTTAAAAACATTTAAAAAAATTTAAAGCTTCAAAAGAAAAAATAAGAGAAAGAGATAGATAAAGAAAGAAGAGAAAATTGATTTATAAAAACATATAAAAATGCTACTTCAATAAAACTTTCTCTGTGTTGTTTAAAAAAATGTGATTTAAATTTCTTTAAAGTATTATGTCAGAAAATGTCAATTTTAGCATCATAAAAAAATAATATATATATATAGCTCATAAAGCGTAAATTTGACAAGAACCAGAAAAAAAATTTGCATTCTGCAAAACAGGCAAACAATAGGAGCAATATCGTACCTCACATAGAGCTCACCCAATTCGCCTCGTCTTAAAAAGCCATTCTTGTGAAGTTGCGTAGTTGACTCTGATATAAATGGGTTGTTTCTCACACTGTTTTGAGCATGTGTATTGGACCCGTAAATTAGAAGTTTATTTTTTACATTTAGGCTGGCCACTTGTGCCTGCCCCATGGCCGACGCCTCAATGCTATAAACACACTCCTTATTATTAAGCTATGTGTATTGTATATTTGTTCGCGACGCGCTGACAAAACTAAATTACATAGTTACCAACGAGATCGAATTACGAAAGAATACACTTCTGTCTCATTAAAATATGAATTTACTTTAAAATATGCCGGTTATTTTGTATTCATCT